TTTCCGACTCTTGACATAACATCGAGGATAGCTCCAGTTGAGCCTTTGGTGGTGGGGCTACGGGGAACACCATTGCTCTGGTTACAAGTAGGGCTTCTGCAGGAACACCATCCACATGAGCTGGAACTGATCGGAATGACAACCTTGGCCAAAGAATTAAAAATCCTAATATTTGGCCCTTCGTCTTCTTCACACCCCATCCGCGTTGAATGCGATACGAAGAAGGGGATAAGGAAAGGAAAAACGATATACTAATTAAACCTCTTCTTCTTAAGATGGCCGTTAGTGTTAAAGGAAAGTACGGTACCTATCGTAATCATACAAGCCCCACGCCTTGGGTTGTTATTTGCTGTCAAGAACCGCTGTTGTACATGTGCCTCGATAGTGTGTTCCTGCTGCCTAGACAACCAGAGCGTTGCTCCGCTCCCCACCACCGACCCTACCATCATCGCTATCCCCGTGTGTCCATCCCCCAATATCCTTTTACACCCGCCCCCTGGTAGCTGTAGCCAGTGCCACCGCCAATGCCAGCTGCGATCCTTACCTTTACCTCGAAGAAACATCCATCCGAGATTATCGGGCTTCACCCCATCGCCTGACGAAGCCGAGACCGCCAGACACACGCGAGAACCGTAGCCGTATGATACCGACCAGACGAGCGTCTAAAGAACATTGTTTCAATCAGTACGAAACGCTTGCTTGAAGCGATGGTTTCTGTGACATTTTGCGTTTAATCACATACCGAAACGGCCCATGCAGAAGAAACGACGACCAGCGGTCATCATGGCTATTTGGCCCAAACGAACAGTATATACACACATCCAAGAATATACCCATCATAAAGTATATACTAAGATAGTAGATCACATTCGCAGTAACAGCATCGCTGCTGCCCTGAGGAAAGAACCTTGTGGAGAACGTCCCGTGCGCCGCCATTGGAGCGAGCATGATGCCGTTATACTCGCCTTGTTGGAAACCATTTCCAAGCGATGAGGCCATAAAACTATCAACACTGTTGTTAGGTTCAGTAGAAGGAAGCAAGGAAGCTGTTGCCCATACCTCGAGTCAATGATCTTGCGTCATGGTAATACAATACTCCAATCTAGAAGGGGAAACCACCAGAGGCGTAGAAATAAACCGCATACACCTTTTATGAGACGCCACCTTCAGCTCTGGCTTCTTCCTTTGTCAGTTGTCCACCATTTCTTGTACCACGTGTGGTGTTATCCTTGCCCTTCAAACATGTGTTTCTTCTCTTTTTGACCGATGATCTTGTGTAAGCAGTAGCTGCAATCGTATCGGCTCACATCGTTGTCGTGGTCAACGTATCCTCATCATCGCTAGAGGAGAGAACAACTTCATCACCAAGCATAATCGTTGCAACAACAACCTGTGGCTTGCCTGCAGCTGCAACCTTGCTATCCGTGAGCGCTACCACATATTCTGCGCCCTTTATACAGAGATTTGCATGGTGCGTAACCAAAGTAACGGTCCGGTCTTGCAGGAACTCGCCGGTGAGACAGTGCTTATACAGATGCTTGGCCGTATGAGCATCCGAAGCGCTAAGGCAGTAATCCAGAATAATAGTATCCGCCTGTGAGTATACGGCGCACGCAATGGACACACTATAAATAGACAGAATAAGTAATGAAATCCATTTGCGACGTGTGTGTAATTACAACATCCAAAAATTATAATCTTACCGTTGTTTTTGTTCGCCACTCAACGTGATAGCTTTCTCACCAATTTCAGTTTGATCGCCATACTCCAATATTGCTGAATTCTTTGTCAGTGCCGCCATAAAGAGTACCTCTTTATAACGCTCTTGATCCTAAAGTAGTTTAAACAAGATATTGTCTCTGATACTGCAGTTTTGGAGCCAGGCCATTTCGGCAACATAGGCGATTCGGATACAGCTCTGCCGGTGCCTAGCGACAATGAAGGGAGTTTTCTTGGCAGCACGACTGAGCCCGTTAATGTGTTTGTTTCGCCCAAAGAGTAGCCAAAAGGGTAGGTTTCCCACTCCTTGTAATGCCCCAAACGATCGATAGTTTGCGTAGTGGAAACCCAAGGTTAAAGTCTCGAAGAGTAGGCACTTTGGTCTTGCTGTCCCAGCTAGATGATGCATTATTGATGGAAACCGTCCGCGTTCTTGTGCTCCAAAGAGACATTGGATGGTGAAGGCTCAACTTCTTCCTCGTAAGAAGATACTCTTGATGAGTACGACGGCTTCTGCGACACTTGGCGTTTAATCACATACCGAAACGGCCCACGTAGGAGAAAAGACGACCAGCGTCCTCGTGACCTAATCGGCCCAGATGAACAGAGCACACAGCTAAGAATAAGCATACTTTTGATTAGTACACCGTGGTATTTGAAGTGGCAACTATTGCAAAAGAATTTTTCTCTCACTTACAACCACGACGCCCACAGGCCGTCAGCGACAGCAGAGCCCAGAACGCGACAAGCAAAGGTGGTGACACACCACACACAAACCGTGCCAGGAAGGCATCGAACCATAAAAAAAGCGGTAGCAGAGGAGAACATAAAGCGGTAGCAGAGGAGAACATAAAGCGGTAGCAGAGGAGAACATAAAGCGGAAAGAAGGATGAATAGGAGGGCCTGTTGAATCAACAGCAATGTTAATAGCAGTCGTTATGTCTTGTAGGCTGCAATGTATTTGACGCAGGCTTCGACTTACCAGTAAGGTATACATACTCAAGTCCTTTTGGGGAGTTTTGACTTTTCGACTTTTCTTTTTCTTTGGACTATAACTTTTTGTAGAAAGGAAGATCAGCAATCACGTTCAAGCAGAGCACAACAGAAGCACAAGACTACTTACTTCTCGGGGGGCTTTTTTCACTAGCACCACCAGGGGAACGCTGGCGCTGGCCCTACCCAGTCGACATACATCTCGTTGAGATCTTCTTCTTCGCACCACTCGTCGATGTCCATTGGCTCATCAGTATCCATGATATCATCGTCGTCTTGTTCTTCTTCATTGCTAGGGACACCGAGGGGCGGAAAGAGTGGAGGTGGAGCGAATAGAGGGATGGTGGGGGCAGCTTGGTGTTGTGGCATTAGTGATTGATGTTGTTGTTGCGATGATTCAGGATGCTGCGGCGGAAGCGATTGATGTTGTTGGTGTTGGGATGGTTCAGGATGCTGCGGCGGAAAGAGTGGAGGTGGAGCGAATAGAGGGATGGTGGGGGCAGCTTGGTGTTGTGGCATTGGTGATTGATGTTGTTGGTATTGCGATGATTCAGGATGCTGCGGCGGAAGCGATTGATGTTGTTGGTGTTGGGATGGTTCAGGATGCTGCGGCGGTGGTGATTGATGTTGGTGTTGCGATAATTCAGGATGCTGAGGCGGTAGTGATTGATGCTCTTGTTGCGGTGAGTGAGGGTGCTGCGGCGGTGGTGATTGATGATTCTGTTGCGGTGATTGAGGATGCTGCGGCGGAAGCGGTTCCAGAGGGAGCACGGGAGACGGGAAGCTGTTTGGCTGAGGTGATGCCGGTGGGGACGAACCCGCACGCGACAGAGCACGAAACTCATCATCATCACGATCGAGGCCAAGGACGAACGAGGAGGCGGGGGAGTAGGGTGGCTCAAAGGAGCCGTAGGAGGCGGTGGTGGGGTTGTCATAGTTGCTGTTGAAGGAAAGAACGGGCGAGAGATGAAAAGGCGAGTTGATGTTGAAGGTGGAGTTCGTGTGGTGAGATAGTTCGGAAGTCGCGTCAGGGTCATAGGGGGCAGTGGTTGCGTCGTCGTCAAAGTCGTAATAACCAGTTTGGTGATTGTAGCTGTTGCTTACAGAAGTCATCGTAGTAATACGGAAAGGTGAAGTGGTAGAGAAGAGAAGTGAAGAGTAGGTGCTTTTTTATATCTTGCACTAATCTCACAGACAAAACATGTGAGCTAAATGAGTTGCCTTTTCTGGGGTAGTCCTGGTTTTTACGTCTTTAAACCAATGATGGGACGAAGCTCTAAGCAACGCATGTGAATACACAGTCCTGGCCTCTTTTGATAAGAGAATAGTTGTCATGGCATCAACCGCAATGACAATCCCTGTGGCGGAGATCCGCGTGTTGCCATGTCAAGCTCAAAATCATGTCAGTCTTCGCGTCACCAATGTAGAGTAGAATGGCGGCTGCTCTCCCACCGACATTTGCATAAGTTGCTTCACACCATCATATACAGCGTTATTGTGCAGACGCGTAGCTTCACATACACACCAGACTCTTGGTTTTTCGATGGGATCAGGCCTACATTTGCGTGTCAAAGTTCGGCTTCTTCGTGCGGAAGTGTGAAGTCAGCAGCTTGCAGAACCTATGGCAGTATCGGCCGTATCGGAGGGTTCCGAGCTCGGCAACTCACTCTCGTCCACCCAGACGCGGACAAGAGAATTGTCAGCACCAAAACAATAGGGAGATCACTCGTCTGGTAAACTCGCTGGATATGCATAACTGTCCGTAAAACATTGGACGCACTTGCAGAAATCTATCATCAAAGCATTAAGCAAGTAAGACTGCAGATGAATGTTTACTATAGAAATAGAAAGAATAGAGTAAACATGCATCATGCACAAGAGCAGAGACCGTGTGGTCCTTTATTTTGCCCATAAACATAGCAATGAGATATTGATATACGTCTATGTACAGTACTTGTTGCCCGTGTCGCTTTGACATCAATCCATGTATTAATAGTTTCTGGAGCACAATTCAAACTGGCTTATTTCATCATAATAAATAGTTGTTAAGCAAGGAAGCAATTATAAGAGTAAGTGTCTGCGGATAATCAAGTAAGGAAAAAATATACAAATTGATAGTGTACACAGTGGTGGGTGGGGGGGGGGAAATAACTTATGCAATTTTTGAAGTTTGACGGTGACCGGGAAAATATTGGTTAACGGCCACTGCTTTGAGCGATATTGTCCTCCAACTCCTTGATCTTTTCCTTGGTCTTTCGCTTCCAATCTGGATCCGTCTTGTTCAACACAGCGTGAGGTTCTCCCGACTGAGAATCCTCAATGACAACATGCGAGTTCTCCTCCCACACCTCGATACGGGGATTGATAGGTCTGTGGTAGCTCTCTTCGGCCCTTTGCGCTACCTCTGGTGGGACGCCAGGCATGTCGCCCATCTGCTCAGCCTCTTTTTCAGACCGTGGTACGATCTTGGAGCCAGGTGCTGAAGAAGATGGGGGTTGGTCGTCTCCTGCAGCTGGCTGTTGTTGTTGTTGCTGATGAGGCTGTCTTCGCCGGAACAAGTTACGCAAACCACTTGAACCCGACACTTCGCTGTTATCGTTCACGGGCTGTTGCTGCTCCTGTTGCTGCATGGTATTATCTGGTTGTTGTTGCTGCTGCTGCTGCTGCTGTTCTTGTTGTTGTTCTTCCTTTTGGCGATGAAGCCAGCTACGTACACTAGAAACACTCGCCTCGTTCTTTTCAGCATTTAAATTGGCCTGTGACGTGCCTCTTGGCTTGACTGGCTCCAAAAACCGGATACTCTGCAGTTCGTTATTGCGGGCTGCTTCCGTCACTCTTTCGTCATCCGAATCACCAGGCAAGAAATCCTCCTCGGCCGTATCGTCGTCTTCTATGTCCACTGCATAATGGGGTGCATTGCCGTTTGCATAGACATCACCTTCCTTTTCAGCCTTCTCACGTTGAATTGTGTTGATCAACGTATTGCGCTGTGTTTCACTGAGTCCCAATGGATTATCGCCAAGATCGCCTTCTTGTGGCTGCTGTGAGTGATTATTGCGTCGAATCTTGGGCAGTCGCACGACATTGTTGCTGCCTGTGCTCGTAATCGATAGTGTGCGTGTGCGGATACGTTTGCCGAGCTGGAAGAGGGGAATGGTCGTGCCGTGCACTAGGGTCGATGCAAGCACAATGAACAGTACTACGGGACTAATCAACTCTATCACAACCGGTTTTTCCACTTGATCTTTAAAGACTTCTTCCATTTCCTCCTTGGCAATCATGGACAAGAAGACAGCACCAACGCCCATGGGACCGAACCAGCCGCTGAAAACGGCTTCACGATAGGTCTTGATGGCAGGCATGACAGGCTTGAGCGCAATGACAATTGGGAGACGTCGAAATAGCAGGATCAGAATGGCAATGACTACAAGTCGCCACGGTGTAAGTCCGATATCTGCATTGCCAAACTCATGCCAAGGCTAATTTTACATGTTTGCATTAGTCCTTTTTTGTCTCTTACTCCTTCGACATCACCGCCAGCAAGCAGCCTCCCCCCCCCCGCTCCTTTTTTTTAGGAGTATCCATCATCCACAACACACATCAACAGAAAACGCGACTCACAATGATGGCGCCAATGTATGCAAAGACGCCCAGGTTGAGCATCATATCTATGACATCTTGAAAATGCGCTTCTTCAGTTTCTTGTCGGAACCAGTCATCCCAGGAGAATGCATTGCCTGCCACAAAGCACGCGAGCACGTCATCGCTGCCAGAAAAACCGGTCATGCTCATTAAAAATAACTAAGAATTCGTACTTTAGTAACAGGCTGCCAAGCTTTTGTGTGTGTGTGTGTGTGTGTGTGTGTGTGCCCAGATCATCGTGCATAATGTGGTATGTTGTACAAGTGCTACCACTATGCACTGTTACTTACTGCAAGCGCAATAGCAAAACAAAGAAAAGAAGGCTTGTCGATGAGGCGGCTTTCGTGATTCAGAGATACAGATTAGCGATTTCTTATTCTTGTCTCTGCTCCTTCCAAATCAACGACAACGATACAAAGACTTACTGTTTTTCTGACCATTGCAAGATTTTGCGAGCAACCCAGCCCACAGCAATACCGATGACAATTGACAGCACGATTTGGAAGAGGCAGGTTTCATAGACCCACTTGCCGATGGCATGACCGGTGCCCGGCTCGCCGATCAAGAAAATGGCCAAGAACAGAAAGGGGAAACCCATGCCATCATTACCTCCACTATGTTAAACATGAACATGATCGAAAAATAGGTGGTGTGAATGAGTTAAGCTTGCATATATTTGCAGCCCTACATGGCGTGATAAGACACTCCACCCCATGCGACCGTCATCGTCATGGCTGTCGCCATCGTACCTCTCTGCGGACAGGGCATTTCGGATGTGTGCGGGTACGTGCTTCTCTGCAAATCGACCTTTTACAACCGAGTTGGCCAGGATCTGTAGAAACGAACGTGTTATAGAGTGGATGTAGTGTGCAAATGTGGGTGTCGCGGAAACAGAAGAAAACTTACTGGATCGGTAGGGCATACACATGCGGCAATGACGAGTGCATTCAACTATTTTTTGAAGGTCCAGGAGAGAGGGTTAGGGTTAGCCAAATATGCAGCAGGGTGACTGGACTAGAGAGGAAGATCACTAATCATCGACTCACATAATCAAGGGGTGGGATCAACGCCCAAATAAACAGGCCGCTACCCAGCCACATGAAGATCATGATGGGTATCATCAGCATCAAATACGTCTTCCATTCCTTCCAAAGGTAGTGTCTATGTGAAAAATAATCAATTTTAGATATCGGTTTGCTAGATGCTGTGCGTCGATCGCATCGATCCCATGCTGTGTCACTGTACTTTGGCAAATCAATTCCGACAGCCATCACCTAGAACAAAAGATATCGAGATGTGAGTCGATGGAGGACATACCGAAGGCGCTACTGACAGATCTGTTACCTGAATGGCAATAACGCACCGGGTTATCTGCTTGGTGATCTCGTCTGTGTCATCCCAGTCGTATGGATTTAATCCGTTCGATACCAATGGCCCAGCAATAATTCCAACGATCAAGGCGACAACTGATTTGAAGGTTACCCCCCCCCCCCGGCCAACGCATACACACATCAGTGACATTTCGAATGAAAACAAGGTTTCTACACACTGGTTTTATAATTCTCCTAGAGGAAACAAGGAACTTACAGGCTTCGGATATAAACAGCTTCTCTTTGACAAACATGGACACGAATCCAAAAATGACAATGAAGCCGCTTAGGATCGCAATCGCAATGCTGAATGTCGAGAATTCACCAGGGATCAGCTCGACCGACATTATGTTGTGTGTTATATATAAAGTACGTAGTTATAATACAGGAACTCTGAAAGAACAGATTTTAGTAGTAGTGGTTATAAAGGGGAAGAAGTAGCAGTAGCAGTAATAATACGACGAGGGCTTCTCTGTCTTTTGCGTTTTATCTCGACGTGTCCTCTTTCCAAAGAGCCCACTCTATTCCACAACAAAGAAGAAAACGAAAAGAAGAGAACGAGGAACGAAACGAGAGAGAGAGAGAGAGAGAGAGAGAGAGAGAGAGAAAGAAAGCGCAGAAAAAAAGAAAAAGGCGGGATCCACCCTCAATATATTGCCATAAACGGATGAAAAGGTCCCTGTTGAGTTCAAAAAAATGCCTAAAACGGGTAAAACTCTCTGCTTAGTGAAAAAAGAGAAAAGACACTCACACCCCGCGCCTGCCGACCGCTTGTTCGCCACCGGAGCGTATATGTGCTACTTTATGTATTGCTAATATACATATGCATGGACACGATGCAGACAGGAAGATATCAGCAACAGCATACGCAGTCTACTGCTTCTACACCCGGCGGCAGTACCCGACATAGAGAGCGATGATGCATAGTAGTCAAGCGTGTGTGCATGCAAAGGAGGCACGTTGCCGGCTTATCTTATGGGGACTAGCATGCTTGTGGACAGACAATTGTGTGCTGTGTGTATTGCATATCACCCACAAAGCAGTGGGTGGTCCCCACGCTTTTCTGCCCCTCGTTGTTTCAGAAACTAAACATGTCGTCGATCCAATGGTTTTTAAATTGTCTGTATATGTGCAATAGACTCTATTACAGTTTTAGTCAATTTGTCGTTTTTTGACCATAGAACGTGGGTTCCTACGATTCTTTTTCTTTCGCATAAACGGCATTGCTTAGTATCCCATCTGTCGGTCTGCCGTTCTGCAGTAACACAGGAAGCTGGGTGGTGGTACAGGGCGCGCGCCTGCCCGATTTTACACATGGTCTCAGTTGCCCCCGAAATGAACTACAGCCTACTTTACTGCAGCCCAGCTGAAGACCAAAAACAACAACAGATCCCGCTCTAGAAATCATAGTTTAGTCTCTTTTGTTGTTGTTGTTGTTGTTGTTGTTGTCAAAACAACGGTCGACTTTGTCAAATGTTCTTCCTGCCGTTTGGTAAATTTAGAAACCCCTACCAGAAAAAGACGTTTGAAAATATATCACTGCACCAGGGCGAATCTATCTCATGCACGATACAATAATCACGGGCACAACCGAACAACGAACGAGAAAGAAGGTGGAGTTCGCAACCTGATAGCAGAGGAGATGATGATGATGTAACCAAATTCAAATACGAAAAAACAGGTGATCTCAACACAATATAATCTGTTTTCGTCTTTCCATATCTTCTATTGTTTGCTACTAACTACATAAGAGTAGATCACGTATTTGCTTTCTCTTTTGAACCGGTTCCATTGGCTCCTTTACATACGCATATCCTCAATATTAGAAAATGGTAACTTTTGATATCATAGCCGGCATGAATCAGTGGAGTACCCTTTTTTCTTCTCTATTATTACAATGCCTGCGTTTCTCATGATTGTATGCAGTTTATGACCTCCACAATTTGCAAAATCATTTATAGCAAAAGTCTGATCAGGAAGGAACGATGACATATCACTCCCGCTTAGGCTACATTGAATTGGCACCAAACCATATAGTTTATAAAGCTACTAAACAGTAATAATCTATCCTATTGTGTAGTTTACCTCCTCTGATTAAACTGAAACATACGACGGGACTGTATGATCTCCACTATACGAAAGATGATGTTGCGTGGGAAAACTTTGAATTCTCGCAGTGATATAGTAGTAGAAGTAGCTGTAGCAGTGTTACTCGTATTTCTTTACTCCCATACCAGCCAACGGTACTTGGGTTATTAAAATTGTAAGAACATGTGACTAAAAACAAGAATGTAAGTAGCGGAAAACCTGCGCTAGCACTTTGTGTCTAAACCGTACGATGCTCTACTACGTACACCAATATGGATTCAAGAAAAAAAAAAGAGCTAGTGTTGATACTGCTGGCGCAGCTTCTGCAGCCCACAGTCCTTGGCTTAACATGCATATCCTCAAACATGTATATGAGATTTAAAAGGTTCCTGTCCAAACGTAGTTATATTATTCCTTTTCCTTAATTCAATTGGATCATTGACCAGAACTCTGATCATGTATTATCTTTTAAATGTCCTCTTTCATTAAAAAGATCAAGAGAAAGCGGAAGAATAAAAGACTCTCGTCCCCAACCGATTCATGTTTTATTTGGACTTATCTAGTGGTACATACCATCAAAAAGGGATACAAACTCCTCGGCAGGACTGCAGAATGTGTGAACGATATTTTATTACAGTTTGTATAGTGAATAGGATGGTGAGTACAAACTTGAAAAAAAGAATATTGGAAAAGGTTTCATAGTCTTACTATCTAGTATGTAGCTACAGTACCGTGCATAGATGAAAGGTTGCCGTGTGGTGAAAAAAGAAATACTGGAATGCACAGCGAGAGCGCGATAATAAAAGAAAGCACAAGAATGAGCAGCAAACGTACATGTCTGTGAGCAATTTCAATAGCCCATGTAGAAAATACAAATATCAAAGAAAACTTAACACTGTTTGATATGATATATTGTACTTCGTTGTCTGTGGGATACTCCCATAGGCAAAAAGAGGAGCGCACTATTGCTACTGCTGCTGCAAGCCTTGGATGCAGCATTGACGCTGTCATCTGCTATTGATCAAGACAAAAAAGAGTTGCAGCCTCATTAGCATATCCGCATGGGCAGGGAAAGCTTTCACTAGCACAACTTTGTTAAAGACGGGCATTTCAAGGGTATTCTTCTGTTGGACTCGCTAACAGAACATATCCATATCTAGATCGATGTTTACAAATTTACCACTACAGTACATACAACAGCTGACAAATGAGCCATGAGGCTGCTGAACGGTTGTTTTTTGGTGACGGAGCTTTTCAAAAAAAAAAAAGCAAGAGGAGCGTAATGAAAAGCACGATATCATATAGCGACAGTCAATAAGACATACACGCATGGAGTAAACATTGTTGCTGAAATCATTGGTGATACCTATCCTCTTCATCCATGCTTATATACTGAACGGACAACGATCTCAAAGCAATTTGTCGGATTGTCGAATGACAACTGCCCAAAAAAAACCTTGCTATGACTGGTTTATGTCCTCCAAATGATTCGCCAGGACCGAATCACTAGAAACCAGCTTTCCACTTCATTGCTTCTGGAATATAGAAACATAGCGAGAGAAATTGCTGTGGTATGCCACCAAGGAGGTTGCCAAAGACGACGATAAAAAAACCTTATACACAATAATTGTTAGGCTGGCGATATCAAAGGAAAGCAACAAGCGAAAATGACGTGACGTTTATAATGTTCGTTTTTATCAATAAATCACCTGTCACTTTCCAGTGCGACTTGTGCTTCATCTTTAAATACTATACTTAAAGAGCAAGGATTTGGTGAGCTAAAGGCTCTTTCGTTGCTTTGTAAAATAACGAAAGAATACTGTCGAGCAAAAAAACACTTAAAGTACAAAGGTGTGCATCCTCTACCATCTGTGCTCTGACAGGTATCGTTGAACTTCAAATATTGAACACAGCTCCATCTTTGATCTCCTTAATATAAACGCTACAACAGGCACAGAGACATCACTACACAATGCTATTGCGCATTGACAAAATTTAAAGAGGATGTGAGTGAAATGGGGTCATTGCGTCCCTGTGTAGTTAAAGAAAAGTTGAAGGACAATACAAAAGTAAGCTACTTGTGTTAACAGTTAATGGTAACTGCTGAAAGAATCTTTCATCAGATCTCTTACATTTATAAGCGTAGTGGCTATAAACTAATATAGTTGCAGTGTGCTAAAGAGATTAACACAGCATATAAAACAAGTTTAAAAGTACCAAGGAAGATGCTTCAAAGTATATACGCCCAAGTAAGTTTGCTTCTCTCGGCTAGATCATAGATCGTGCAGCTCCTTGTTCCCTGATCTGTTGGCTATTAGCTAGTAGCATTCGTCTTCTTGCCAAAAAAAATCCGTTGTCAACTGCGAGCAAGTGAATCATCATATCGAATGGTACAGACCCCATAGTGACGGCACTTTCGTGAATACACAACGCGACTCAAGAGTGAAGTTGTATGCATCTGATCAGTTGTTTCTCGTTGGAGTCTCTTTAGTTTATATAACATCTGGCTTTTAGAAAAAAAAACGGGTGAGTCCCTATCAGAACAATCGCGACGACAGGAAAAAGACTGTACGAAGCCACTGATGATGGTATAAAGGCAATCGCGTGGCTTTGCGTTCTATATAACAAGCATTGATAGTCAATTCTACTATGTTTCTAACGAAGAATACGTATGCGCCAAAGACGACCAAGCAGAATTTTTCTCAGATCACCGGAATAAGTATTGGTGATTTTCTCTTTCTTCGTCTTTCTTTTTTGTCTTCAAATTTTATCTTCACCGGCCTCCATTCAACTTGTGTTCTTTAGTGTTTTTTAAGTTTCAGTGTAACACACGCGCCCATTTTGGAGACACACACACACATCTATGCAGTAAACTATACATACGCATGAAGATAAGCTTACATACAATACAAACTCCAGCAGTCTATACCGCTATAATTCGCTTTGAATTGAGAGTTTCAAGTGGCTCTCTATATAGAGGAAGGTGTTTTATATTTAAAATTCCAAGTAAATTACAATTAAAACATGCTTTTTATCTAGAAATTCAAGTAGTATTACTGATGACTGTACGGCAAAGTTGGACAGAACCACACATCTCCTAAAGGAAACACTAGCTCAACCCTCTACAGGTTGTAGCTCACACCGTAACAGTAATTAGGTCAAGTACATACTTCCTACCTTTATGCATCATCTTATGCAAAGCAGTCAATTACATTAAGAGTCGTGCGATTATTTGATCCACATTATCCTCGTAGCAATCTGAAGTTAGCATGTATGTCACGCTTAAGAAACTTTGTCATGCAGAAAAGATGCTTCTAAAAAAAAGTTGCAACCGTATACAACGGCTGCGGTGATGGTGGGTGCTTTTATTTTCTCTGGATATGTCTCCATGGAAGTTTTCAATAGGCTATCGAAAATAGCCCCTTTGCATCATTAAATTCTGCTCATTTACAGCAATAATTCATGTCTTCATCGGAGGCGTGTGTGTGCCTGTAACATCGTAAACTCGGATTTCACCAATAAAAGTGAGTTGCAAGTCCAACTCTTTCATAGCCCAGAATAAGTGAGACTGATGATAGCCATCATTTTCAGGGAACAACTGTTGCGCGTAACACGAACTATTGAAAGTAAAACAATAGCCCGACACTAAGGGCGCAGGCACACAGACGCACTTGTCTTTTTATTGATTTCAAGGGCAGAAATGGAATAAATTTTTTATTAGGAACGAATGAATAACGATCGTCATTTGTTCCAGACCAAAAAACGGTATGAATAACTCCGGTCTATGCTGATCAATGGTTTGCACACACAGTATGTGTACGTAATAAGCGAAGGAACGTATGACAATGTCATATAATTTACGAGCACCGTCCCATTTGGGGGAAGGGGGGGGGGGGAGGGGTTGAATGCCTTTATCAAAAATTGCCCGTTTTACCAGGAACATCAAGTCGGATACACACCTCTTCTATCGATGGTCAAAACTACAATAACGAAAGGGACTTGGCACTCTACTCTAAGGTTACTGGTGGCTCGTGCTCTGCTGTGTAGCAAACATGGCAACAGGGCGCATGGTGCTGATGTATTTACGGAACAAGGATTGTTGTGGTGTTCTGAATGGGAGGGGCCAAGGAATTTGTTAACGTTTCACAAGACTACACACAATACGCACCGCTCATCACAGGGAACTCACATCGCACACAGTGCTTGCTGCAACACTCTTTTTGTTCCTTTTTGTAGCTGAACCAACAGAAAGCTGCCACTCCTTTTTCTCTCCTTCCTCTCTTTTCCTTCTACACTCTTTCTATCTTTCTGTATCTTTCCTCGCGAGTTCTACTGTTGGACGCGCATATTTATGGCTTATTCTCGATCTCCGCCTCGCTCACCTTCATCTCACGATGAGTGGGATCCTCGCGGTCCCAAACCTCTCGCCAAAGCTTATTCGACTTCTTCATCTCGGTCTGCAGGAAATTCACGCACTCAGTCCGTTACTTCGCAATCCAGCCGGGCAACAAGCTCAGCGAACAATGCCAGCTACGAAACAGCTGCACGAACATACTATGGCGAGCTGAACAAGTTTCTTACCGCGGTCCTCGCCAAAGGTTTGTACTTTATTTTGTTGCGGTGGGATCTGATAAAGACACACAAGCGAAATTGGATTTTTTCAATTTTGCCTAACACGAGAGAACACACTTCAATCAGAGGCTGCTGAAGGCGCACAACCGCAACGAGTATCCGCACGTCAGAAGCTTTCTCGCCTTAATAACCTTCAGTTCCATGAGCTGGCTATGGACGTGTATGATGAACTGATGCGCAGAAACCTTAACGATAAGCAAGGTATAGGATGCGAAATAAAGAAAGCAATAGAAAGGTACTAATAATTTGCTCAATTTATGCACATGATATCTATTTTATTAGTGCCGTTCCTTGCTGTACGCGAAGAGTTTCACCCGCGGCGCAATCAGGCTAGACAGAAACTCGCCACATTGCCAAGCGCTCGTTTTAAGGATCTCGCAAGTGATGTTTATCACGAACTGACTCGTCGCTATCCGCAGGTTACCGAATCAGATGTAAGTAACCCAACCAATAAACAGGAAAGGGTGGCCTTAGTGGGATTCTTAAGCTAAACCATGGATCCAATGTCTAGGATGCAATGCGACCTCCTGTTCCACCAATTCCAACCAATGCCGGCAATACCAGCAAACCTCAAGCAAGTCATGCAACAAACATTGTACCTGTCAAAGGCACAATCAATGTGGAGTCAGTGGCCTTGTCGGAGGATGAGAAGGCATATATGACGCGAGAAGGCAGCAATGATGAGCGTACGACCTATTTAAGCGACAGTGGCGGTAGCAGCAGCACTGGAAGCAGTGGTGGTAATGGATACGGGATGCAACCAAAAGGTGGGCCTGCGCCAACAGCCAATGGTCATCTCAGCAGTGGTAGCAATGGAAGCGAGGGCAACTTCCAATCTTTGGATAGTTTGATGGCTGATCTGGGTAATATGGTGACGACCAAAGGTCCAAGCCCTTCTGCAGCGAACGGCGATTTAGACGATATCAGAGTAAGTCTCCCTAATTCAACCGCCCCTAAAAAAGAAATTATTGATGGAAATAAGCTACTAATAAGATATCATTGGCGTGAATTAGGTGAATGAAAAAATGGACAAAATGCGGGCTGATTACGAGCAAAAGCTTGCAAGCATGTCGAAGCGTACCCAGCAACTAGAAACGGAACTACTGGTATGCAACACCAAATTTTAGGAGCCTGCATGGTCGAAGAAATTATTTCCAATTGTGAGCTGATTTTTCCTAAAAAAATAACACAGAGTGCTCGAGAAAGGAAGGGATCAATAAAGTCGGACGATCAGGATGTAAACCACTTACGGAAGGTACGCCACGTTGGATAATTACTGACATTTTTTTTTGCATGCATCAATTGAAGCTTCTGCACTCCGCTGATCCTTTTCTGCTCCTCATGATCATCACTAGATGGATCATTCTCGGTTGAAGCAGTTGCAGGAAGAATATAATCGGTTGGATGACCAATACAGACACTTGGAACAGGAACATCGTGACCAACGAGAGGTACATTCATTGTCGTTAAGATGATGATTATATCCAAGATCAGATGACTAACATACAATACATACTACATTATGCATAATAGGCCGTGCAGGAAGTGCGTGATGAAGCAGGCCATCTGCTCGAGCAAATCAAGATCCTGTCTTCGAAAAACGATGACCTCCGAGCAGAAAAAGCCCGCTGTGATGACCGCATTAGACAGCTCACTGAAGAGGTAAAGCATGGATCCATGTTGTAATCAAACAGCCTGGTTATATTCCTGATGATGTACACTTACACGAAGTTTTTATCCTACGATCGAAACAGAGCAAGGAATGGCAGAACAAGTATGAGAAGAGTCGATTGGAACTACGAACATTGAAAGGTATGGAGAAGAGTTATACTACGCATCATTCTTTGTGGGGCTCAAGAGCGAGGCCGGATCATACAGAAAACAATGAAAACTTACTTATGCTGAAAAATTGGATCCGTCGTCATTAGCTGCGTCTCTGATCGAATCCGCTATTCCTCAACAAAGTGGGTTTATACAGCCTACCCGTAACGGCGTCATATCGCATGAACATATCTTGACATATCAAACAAGCATTGACGAACTTTTACAGACCGCTAGGTAAAATAGTCCTTTTGAATTTCCGTTTGAGGATCACGGTACTGACCAACTGTAAAATGGTTTTAGATCGCACAAACCATCCGATGTACTCTCATCTATGCAAAAGATCGTCATGACATGCAAAAAGGTCACTGAAGAAGTCGAGCAGCATGAGACACGAGGGGGTCTATCTTCACTTGCACAGAGCAATTTGTACAGTTTAAAGAGCCAGTTCTCGACCGCTTTGACACACCTTTTGACGGCAGCCAAGAACCACGCAAATGGAATGGGCATCAGCCCAGTGAGCTTGTTGGATGCGGCAGCTGGACATATGACGACAGTGATGGTGGATCTGGCGAAATTGTTGGGTATTAAGCCTTCAAGTGAAAGCAGCAATGGCGATATTGATGCTATGGGTATGAATTGCGGCGGTTCTTTGCGACGAAAAGACTCTGGTAATGGCAAGAGCAGTAACAGCCGGATTGCAGCAGCTGCAGCTGCAGGTGATGCATTGCTTCCTGAAGAGCTGAGTGAATACCTGAAAAGCGAAACCGACCACATCGTTCAAACAATCCAGCGACTTTTGGCGGCTTTGCGCTCGCCCCGAGACGCTGAACAAGTCTATGGCATTATTACCTCCATTGTGGATATCGTGGTTAGCATCATGGAAGTCTGTGAGAGCACGTTCGCGTCTGGCGCAGGATATCGCTACCGCAAACAAGGCAGTCTTGTCATGTCCGATCTACAGCATTGCAAGCAAACACTTACACAAATTCGTGATACGTCTTTCGATCAATCGCCAGAAATGGCGAGTGCAACGGCCAAGCGGGATCTAGCCAAGGAAGCGTATGAAATCGCAAAGTACACGAAGGAACTCATCAATATCTTTGATGGCTAACCATATAGCATACTTGTTTCGATCACAAACATACATATCCACTCACCTACTTGCACACTCCTTGTTTTTTCACTATATCATTGTAAATAACCAATCTATAATTAATTTAAGCCCTTTTAAAAAGATTCCCCAACTTATATATTAAAAGAAAGACATTTATCTTTACTATATACGGGAGCTCTCATGCTACGTAAACAAGCAGCGCGAATATGTAAGAGCACGACAATAATAATAGCTGGTTTGAGCACAATTGCTATAGATACATTATACATTATGGCAAATCCTATTATAGCATAAGCATTGCCACTCCATGAAAACGCTAAAGCTGCCACATGATATATAATATGTAATACAGTACGAGTTAAAGCACTTGAAGACTATTATCTTATAGAATCTTAGCATCTTTGCCGAGCTTAGAGTATTGAATAGATGTGCTGACTATAGATACAGTAACTAACAAACCAGTAAAAAGGGCATATGATAACTTTACATACTGTCAGGAAAGGGATCGCCGTTATCCATCAACCTCGGCTTCCTTTTTCTTTTGTTTTGAAAGAATAGATCACACTTTCAATCCAGTCTTTATTATGTAGCAGCACTTATTCCTTTTTCAGTTGATAGACACATTTTGAAAGTCACTATCAATGTAAGATCCATGGAACGTGCTGATATTATATGGGCCAATGGTGCATCGGGCAGTTTCCTCCATCGTATGGGCATCCAAAATTAGCAAGAAACTGCTATCCTCCTCGGGTCCGTGCGCGCCAATAACATTGACCAGGCTCACAACTGCTCCGTCATCCTCGTTGCCGTTAATGGATTTCGGTATAAAGATGGGCTCCGAACATGAATAGCGCGGCTCGTTGTACGCAGTAGTGGTGCCTGTATTGAGATCAATCTTGACCAAAATGTATCGCTCGGCTTCTTTTTCAGTCTTTGGCTTCAAAAGCTGGCATGCCCATGCAAACTGATATTGCCTGAGCGCGTAATGCTGCGAGAAACGTGCAAATTCGATATTGCGAGCAATGGTCGTGTACGAAGCAGATGCAGTGCTAACGTCCCGGTTCCACGTGAGTTGATACCGTCTGAGATCACCAAAGGAGGGTTGTCTAATAGGTGGAGTGTTCATACCCTTGGGCCGTGTTTGATTTATGGATGGCTTTTGCTGCTGCTGATGGGGACCACGTAAATAAGTACCAAAGCTATGGAGCTGGTAGATGACATCTGCGTTGGAAAACGCGCAGGTATCCAGGGTAATAACGGGGTCACCGTTTTCGTCAACACTATCCCAGGCGTTGCAGTTATGGAAACTGAAAAAGCTGTCAGCCGGAATAGTAACGATATGGCCAATATCTTGACGACGGCTGATGACATGAAAATATGTTGGTGATTGCTCGTCCCACACGTAGCTACCGACAGCACTGCCTGATATGAGAATATCTGCGCCATGATAGTATAAGGGGTATTCAGGAATAATGACATGGTTTTGCGTAAGCATGAACGAGTGGATATAGCTTGGTCGGATTCTTGTGCCAGCAGCACCACTGGGAAGTCGCCGATGCGTGATTTCAGCCAGGATGGACACTTGTCCGGAGCGGCTTACAGAAAAGACAGTGAGCTTTGGCATGGGCCCGAGTTTAATGCTGTAGTTGAAAGTTTCTTCGGTGACAGGGTCGTATTGGTGATGCGATGCCGCCAGATCTCCGCTGAGGCGCTCGTCATAGTCTCCATAGGTATAAAGCCGTTTTGGTTCTGTAGTGGATTTTTGACGTTGGTGTTTTGCTCTTTTACTACGATATTGTTCTTATCGCTCTATATATGCATAGCTTACCAAGAGTGTTTGCATGCACTTGCTGCAACAGGTTTAAATCTGTCTTGGACACCAGGTGATATTCACCATTGGTTCCTTGCGATTGTTCAAGCCACTGTTGCGGCATGGGAAAATTGGGCGTAGCAGTGACACCTACCATTGCCGATGATGGATCACTTTTAACGTGGCTGGCAAAAAGAATCTCTCGAAAGCGACGCACCGTCGCAATGCAGCGGTCCCACATTGATAGATCTTGCACATGACCAAAAAACACGGCTGACTTGGCACGCTCTTCGACCAGTTGACGCTCAAAAGTCCTGGACAGGTTCCTTGCATTATAACGTACAGCCTGTCGTTCAGCAGAAAGCTCGAAACGATGCATAAAAGGCATGCCATCAAAAGCGTGCTTGATCATGACCTTATCTCCGCCAAGATTATACTTTCCGGGTCCTATAAGTTTATGGAAATCAGTTAAAGATACTCATGGAAAGTTATATATTTCTAGACTTCATCGTATCATTGGTGAAGAAAAGAGATTTACCGACGCGGTACATGATACCACTTAGCCATTGGGGGATGACACCTTGGACGGGAAGCCAGATCGGCTCCGACACTTCTTTTGCATTTTGAAATACGTTGTCTTGGTGGACAGCACTGATCTGGTCCAGAAATTGAAAGAGTCCTTTTAATGTGGACAGAGATTTGTATCCGCCGACGACAACCAGTAGAGATACTAATATGTATAGCATGGATGTCAGCGGTGGGTAAAAATAATAGCAGAAAGGCAAAAAGATAATCAGAAAGGTAAAGATGTGTGAACAAAGAATTTTATACTTTTTCAGGAGACAAGTTAAATTTCATTGTTCTTTGGGATTGTCCCTGACAACACATATAAACATCATGCAGCTGCCGATTGCTACTTTTTTCCAACATATACGAGGCACTACCTGCAGTATTTTCTACTATTGACTGAGGCTTATTGCTTGTATACTACACCTGGTCATCGTATCTCACGTTTATGACAGAAGATGTTTGATTAGTATTTTAATACGTTGACAACCAGGTTTACATTTGGTAGTATCCATGTTATTAGCAGCATTTGAAAAAAGTACACACGCTTTTCAATAGATATGCTCAAAACTCAAACAGAGAAAATATCATTGCCGCTTAATGAAGACGGCTATTTATATCTACAACATACTAATATAATAGATTTTATAAAATCCCAACAAATACTGTACAGTATAGTGATCGGATATGCGTATGTGGTGAACCAAGTCCACTTGAGCCTTTTGAACAAGAGGATCTATCTAGTACATATTATTTTTGTGTACTTTTTGGTGTAGCTGTTTTAATGCTACATACCTGGAGAATATGTTGAAAACAACGTAGGGGTCTTTTTCATCCCCAGACTTGCAACAGGGAGCTGAGATAGTGATACTAAACTTTAGGTAGCAATTATACACAACCAAAAGAAACCGATTGCATCAGAGATATCCATTGAACAGTGGGCCTAGGAAATTACGATGGACAATTAGTAGAGCTTTACTATGTAACACCAAATTACCTCCACTTGGTGCGCCTAATGCCATTCCTACAGTTTGACTTTTCAAACCTCTACCCGTCTGTCATACATACAAACACAGAATCGGCAGAAATACAGACTCACATATAATTCATTGGCAGCTTTTTCAAAAATTGTCTGGGATCAGAACCAAAGATAGTGTCCAAACGCATCATCAAGGAATCCTTGCAACAAGCATGCAATTACCGGCAACCGGTATTTCATTGCTATGATTGCGAAATGTATTGGCATGCGTCGATGTGCAGCTTTATCTCCTGTTTGAGTGAACGTGTGTATTTCCACTGTAAGAATTCCAGTCATCATGGTCTTGTAGTATTCTCATTGTTATATATGTTATAATTTATTGACCTAAAATTCATGCACAGGTGAAGCAAACATGGATGGAACTGCATATACTAATCCAGTGCCGCGAGAAGCGCCGTTGGAAGTAGGGCCTGCATCCTGTTGGTCGACGCTTCAAAAGTGACCTTCCTTTGTTCATTGCATCGATAGATAAACGGAACTATATACATACAGTATCAAGCATATATTTTGTTAAGTGTATTCGAATTTATATTAAACTGTACCTTACAACACTCGAAGTACCTAATCCGAATGATTACCGATTGTATATCATCGCCTGTAGACCGTTCCATAAAAATAAGTTTTACGTACAGTAGTTGGCAGGCTTTTTGTTATAATATTTTTTTTGGTATGCTCATACATACTCATCAAATAGCGAGAAACTCACAGTAACGATAACATCAAATATTAGATAATACAGAAATGGTTTTTTAAAGGGTTTTCACTTTTCTTTTTTCCTGTTTTTGCAAAGAGTATTGAATTACGATAGGCTAATTTGTAGGTTTTGTAAGCAAAAGAGTACTGAGAGATATCCATACATCTTTACCATTCATCTGTGTCTTGCCCCTTGCATAATAATTACTGTCATGGAAATATATATTTGTTTTTAGAGGAACTAGAACTGGAAAAGTAAGGATGCTTGTTCGACATGCAGCATACATGCTAAGTGTTTGTAATTAACGAAGCATGCAGTGGACAGAAATTCCAGCTGCTATATTGTACATGGGAAAAGCCTAAATGTAGCAGTAAATGCACTTGACCATTTCAACTTAGATATATAAAAAGGCGGTAATATGGACTCCAAAATTTAAACCAAGACTATGTGCGATTGAAACTCTTCAATTTGATACAGCTGGATTAATGGAAAAATCCAAGACACTCTTATACTTGCTGCCTAATCAAATATATGATTAGTTACACTGTTATATCGATCTGACAGAAGTGACATTATCAATATTCTCGAGATTCATAGCCAATCATAACGCGAAGGCGTCCAAATACCCCTGGAAAGCTAAAACCACATTTTCACTTCGCAGTTGAAAACTATTTCTTTAAACAGAACATTTCTACAATGTAAAACCTTTACTTCAAAAAGTTCCAAAATTGTGAGGTAATATTTTGCCTTTAGAAAATATATGTTTCTATTTAATTTACAAATATGTCACTTAACGAATAAACTTTCGATCTGCGAAAACATTCGGTTTTCTGTCTAGATTGTAACTGATGATTGTGCCACTATGCCAATCAGAGGCTACGATCGCTCGTTTCACACTCTAATTTTCAGGGCAGTAAACCATGATTCGTTCGTCCATCAATTTCAGGAACTCGAGAAAATGGTATAAAAGGGTAATCCAGGGACGATTCTGCTTCCCCTCATCAATATCCCCACCGGCTCTTATTATATCAAGTATCATAATGTTGAACATTATCAAGATTGCCTCCATCCTTGTTATCGCTGGCGTTAGCTTGGCTGCTCCCACCAACTCCACATCCTCTGCTGCTGCTTCTTCAAGTCCCACCGCATCTTCTTCTTCTTCCTCTGCATCTTCCAGTGGTTCTGTCACTTCCTCATCCTCCAGTGCCTCCGCCTCAAGCACCAGCAGCGGTAACTCTACTTCATCAGGTGGCGATGTTACCGTCAATATTAAGAATAGCTGCAGCAACAACCTCAAAATTTACAAGCTTACCAACGGTGGCGGTGCTCAAGAATCCCAGGATGTCTCTGCTGGTTCATCCCATGATTTCCAAGTCGATTCCAACTGGGCTGGTCGTTTCTGGGGCTGTGAAGGAGGTGATTGCAGCTCCTATGGCTCTGCTGTCTCGCTTGCCGAGTTTTTGTTCAAGGGCTACGAAGGCAGCGATTTCTATGACATTTCCTTTGTCGATGGTTTCAACCTCCCCATGAGCATCGAGCCCGAAGGCAAGTCCGGCGATGGTTACGACTGTGGCTCGCCTACTTGTTCAAGCCTCCCATCGTGTCCCGACAAGTTGAAGGGCGACAATGGTGCCTGCAAGAGTGCTTGTGCTGCCTTTGGCACGGACGAATATTGCTGCACTGGTGATTACAACTCACCCGACAAGTGCAAGGCCAGTGAATACGCCGACGGGTTCAAGTCTGGCTGCCCTGATGCCTACAGCTATGCCTATGATGATGCCAAGAGCACTTTCGGATGCAAAGCCAACAAATATACTGTTACTTTCTGCCCTTAAATCCTACTATATCCGTCTCAGGAACAGTAAACAGAAAAATTAAAAAATAAATCTTTATCACAAGCAGCTGGTCTGCTTAAAAGTATCAAAGAAATATATTTTATGAATTTTGCTGTGTTATTAGATGCCGTTGTTCCACTTATCAATGAACAAAGATGATTAACATGATTGGTAACCACATTGAATATGTACTACAGTATACATAATAAACAAAAAGGCTTCAGAAATTGTATTTTCTTGTCCTCAGCAGTTGAAGCCCCTTAGTTTAACTGGAGAATACACGCACAATCAAACAGTTTAAAAAGGCGGCATATCATTGGTTCGTTATAAGACAGGAAAATTATGGGTCCGAAATATGTTGATGATAGTCTTTCGACAATTTCGACAAGTCATGAAGCCGTTTTATTATCACGAAGCTTTTCTTCACGACTTATTATAGCGCAGCGATAAATACTATAGCTATTTTAAAAGCAGGCCAGAATATTTAACGTTGAACTTGACGAACATGTCGACAGAGACGAACACCACCGATCAAATCAGTAAAGTGGAGGGGTCGCAAACCAGGTGTATTGCTAGGGTTGGAAGGTGATGGTGCAACATAAAATTGAAAGCAGAGTAGTCGATTTGAGAAGATTAATTTGAGACGAACCAGATCGTCACGACTCAGGGGACGAAATTACAAGGCATCTATCTACCCCTGGCAAGAGCGAGGTATTTAGAGCATCTTACAATTTAGAAAAGGGCCCATCTTAAAGCCAGAGTTTTAGTTCCTTCTTATGCTGTACGACGAATTTTTTTCACTATATACTACATCAGAGTTAGGGTGGAAAGGCGCTTACCCGATGCTCTTGCGTACGGGTGTTCCGTTTCCGGATCCCGATAAACTTTATTCCGACTGCAAAAACAGAGCATATACTTACACGCGTGCCCAGCTGCAAAGATCGGCGCTGTGCGGAGACCTTTTTTGTCACCGGCACAATGTTTTTACCTAATTCAGATCTTCGCCCAATACGGTCGCAATGAAAATGGTAAAGAAGCATAGGAAAAATAAACTCGATAGAGCAGAAAGAAGGAAAGAAGTGCGAAGGCAATAATTGCATAGTATCCCCAAGTAAAACGAGACGGTGACGAGAAGCATTTTATTGCACAAAACCCTGATATATCAACCATCAAATCGGCGGTAAATGGCTCATATTATTGCTTGAGCCCTTTTTAAAAATAGTTTAGCAGCACATTTGGCCAATGAAAGGAACCTAGTTTAGTGTCGAAATCCCTCATAAAAAATACCCGTCGTTCTTCCTCCTCTTCTTCCTTCTCTCTCTATCTTACACGCAGCCAACTCACATATGCATGCTTCCACCAAGCAATATGACGCCGACTATATAGAACTAGTAGGAAGGCAACCTTCTCTGGACTATCACGACAAGGATGACCGCAATGACGTTGAAAGTGTTACAAGCAATAGTAGCAATGAACACCAGGCGATGCTCCATCGCCGTTATTCGGATTTGGAGGCGTCGAATGAGCGACGGATCTCGCTTTCCTCAACGGCCCTTTTAGACGCAAATTCTGCAGACAAAGCGAAAGGGACCCGTGTGGCCAAAGAATTGGCGTGGCAGGTATGATGTCTATTTTGTTGCTATTACATCTTAATGGATGTCAAACCTATGGCGACCTCCCTCTTGTCGTATCCCTGGAAACCCAATATTAGCATCGCAACCTCCTTTTTTTCCCTCTTATTGCGTTCATCTTCCCTCCCTCCCTCCCTCCCTCCAACTTCCCTCTTTGTTCTTTCCTTCTTCTTTTCGTCTGTTCTTCTTGACAGAAAGAATAATGGAAAGCATCGCTGTGTTTCTGCGTGTGCTTTATCATTCTTTAAATGCGTACGCTCACCTCACGACATCATTTGAAAAATCAAAATTATGGTTACACAAATATCTCACATTACCGGTGCAGGCATTTCCATCGCTTATCATATCGGTTGTCGGTTTGATCATGGCAGGGGTGTTGATGGACAAGTACAAGGTATGCGTATGCAACAACCGGCCGACGTATTACCCTTACTAACTGTTTTATCTATACTATGATATGTGTACTAGACGTGGGATATGTTTATCAAAACGCCCGAACTCTTTATCTTGATTCCCGTTTTATTGAACTTAAAAGGCAACCTCGAAATGAATCTTGCAGCACGATTTTCAACTTCGGTGAGAAAATGATGATATTTATCAGTAATGGTGCTGCTTTCTCTCAATTAACTTACATGGGTAATATAGGCCAACCTGGGTGATCTAGATCACGGACCAACACGCCGTTCGCTCGTTACAGGCAATCTATCCTTACTACAAGTACAGGCGCTAGTTGCTGGCGCTATTGCCGGTGTAGCTGCTTTTGTACTTGGGCTTATCAGCAAACCTGGTGGCAATTCGGCAACATATTTCGAAAGCATGTACATGATCTCTAGCTCGATGATTTCTGCCGCAGTGTCTGGGGCTATCCTTGGAGCATTTATGTGTGGATTAGTTATACTCTGTCGAAAATTAAAAGTGGATCCTGACAACGTGGCATGTCCCATGGCGTCAGCGTCTGGCGATATTGTAACGCTTCTGCTTTTAGGAGGATGTGCACTTGTCTTTTCAAATCAAATGAGTAAGTTTTACTCTAGACGGCTCGCTCAAGATCTTGATCGTTTGCTAATGTCATTTACCAAACAGACACCTTCTTTAGCACAATTGTCTTCGTGGTGTTGGTTTTAATGATACCCCTGTTTGGTTATATTGTCTGGATAAACAAGCATATGAAGTCTTTGCTAAGTGTCGGCTGGATGCCCATAATCATTGCCATGGTTATCTCGAGCTTGGCAGGCGTTGTCTTGGAAAAGTACGTGGAGGAATATAAAGGCGTCGCATTGTTAACACCAGTTTTGATCGGACTGGCGGGCAATTTGGGATCCATCTACGCCTCACGCATCAGCACAAGCTTACACGGAGAAACCAAGGAAAATTGCAATGCCGTTGAATGGACTTTACTAGCCATGAACGTCCCTATCCAAATAATATTCCTGATCATCATCTGGGCGTTCAATATGGGCGAGTTACACTACAATGCATGGTTCTTTTTTGCGTACTTCACAGTCTCGATGATTTGCACTTGGATCTGTCTGAAGATCGGCAAATACATGACGTTTGGCTTCTGGAAAATGGGATACGATCCTGACAATTATGTCATTCCCTATTTGTAAGTCCTGAGTGTGGCTGCGTGTATGTTTGAACTATATGATGAGAGAGATATATCTGTGCTAACTGGTTTGAAACAGGACCGCAAGTATAGACTTGATCGGTACAGTTTTGCTTGTACTCGTCTTTTCGTTGCTTACTTCATCCGGTGCCGATGATATGGCTTTGGAAAAGGCCTCGCAACACTAATTTTTTATTCATTATATTATACCATACCATACCATACAACATTAATTATCCACGTTATCCTTGAAGCGGGCTCTTCTCTGTGTACATTAGATGCTTTTCTCTCTTTCAGCTTTTACATAACCTTCTTTTCCTTTCATCGCTTTCCAATTTTGCCATGTTTACAATACAATTTATACATTTTTTTTCGTAAACTAGTGTTATTACAGCCATACATTAATTTGGAATTGTGAAAATGCAAATTTTTATTATTATTAATAATTACCACTAGTATGATTATTGACGCAACCCATACTCTAGTTCATGTGCAGCAACATGAATGGCCATTTTGTTCCAAAGCTTGTCAGAATACTCTTTCTCTTTTGTCTCTGCCAAGCGCGATGCCAATTTGGCCTTTCTGCCTGGTGTGGGGCATAATGTAGCCGTCAGGCCGAAGCTCCAAATGCGCAGGACGTATACCTTGACGACGTCCAAAATCATAAAGTAAACAAAAGAAATGCCAAGCACCGCAAGTCCCCAAGCCCAACCGCAAGGTGCTACACCATGGGCTTCACCAAAAACGCCGTACACAGAAAAAAGCAGTGCCAAGATTTGGGTGCCAATAACGCATACAAAAAAGATCCAATGGGGCATATTTTCCCACCAGAACCCGGGAAGACGCGTGGAAAAAATCGTAAAATGAGGTGCTACAAACGGGACAACATCAATAAATGGCTCAAATTAATTCTGCAAACGTAATCACAACAACAAGCTTACCCGACGAAATGTGGAGGTACATGATGGAATTGAGCTCATATGGTGTAACATGGAAGATGTCTCGTGCAACATAGAAATGACCAAAGGATAAGCCTGCAAGGAAGACAGAGAGAATAGTAGAAAGGGTCAGGAGTTGCCCAATTCGCCATTTATCAGGTTTGGTGGATATTTGAGTATTGTCGACGGAAATCACCAATGTAGCAGCATCGTTCTAGAGATATTATTGTCAGGCAAACGTTACATTAATCAGTAAACCAATGACTAGCATCTAAACTTACCAATACGCAAATCATAATCAATAGAATCGCAGGCATATTCCAGTCCTCGACCAGCGTAACAACAAACATGAACATCAAGAAATGAATAGTTGACGTGATTCGATAAAGAGCATAGGATCGCAAGCGTTGAAAGATGGCGCGCGAGACGCGGATACCGTCAATAATCGTGGAAAGACCTGGGGCAAGCAAAACAATATCCGCAGCTGATCGTGCGGCGTCCGTGCACCCTGAAACCGCGATGCCCACGTCGGCCTTCTTGAGCGCCGGCGCATCATTTACACCATCGCCTGTCATACCGACAAGCAAGCCTTTATTTTGAAGCAGTTCGACAACACGGTACTTGTGTTCTGGAATTACTTGGGCAAACCCGTCAGCGCGCTTGCAATGCTCTGTCACTTCATCTTCAGATTTACTGGGATCCACGAGATGGTTCGCATCGAGGATGACACGACTCATTCCCATACGGCCTGCCACTTCTTTTGCAATTATATGCTGATCGCCCGTGATCATCTTGACTTCAACGCCGAGGCTGTTGCAGTCTCGAATCGTTTCGGCCGAGTCTGTGCGTGGTGGATCGAGTAAGGAAATCATGCCGACGAGCTCGAATTTTTCAGGATCGTTCGGGATGGATTTGGCAACGCCAAGAGCACGAAGACCACGACGTGCAAGCGCATTGACTGCATTCACGGCATCATCGTTTCCACCTACAAGCTCAATGATAACCTAGTAGTATGTCAAACAACTCTGAACATTCTTTGTAGCTGATATAAAATAAGATTGTTCTATTAATATGATAGATACTTGCCTGAGGTGCTCCCTTTGCGACACGGAAATGTTGATCATTCTTCAAGTTAAGGATGGTTGCTTGGGTCATCTTTGTAACTGGATTGAAAGGTTGGAAGGCAGTGACCTTGTAGCCGGGTACGCTGTGGCTATCCTCGCGTTTTTGCAAGACGTCCAGTGTGTCTTCGGCTGCACGACGTACAGCCGATTCGATCGGATCATTGGCACCAGGCTCAGCAGCCAAATATGAATACAGCAAAATATCATCAGAGGTATATCCAGGTGCCAAATAGGGCTCGTCGAAAGTCAACTCGTTTAGCGTCAGTGTGCCAGTCTTGTCCGAGCACAGCACCGAAACGGACGCCAGCTCTTCGATTGCTGTGAGACGCTTAACAATAACCTTCTTTCTCGATAGCTGTTTAGCTCCAACGGCCATCGTAACGGACATGACGGTTGGTAAGCCGACTGGTATAGCAGCAACGGTAAGCACCAAGCAGTTCTTGACAACGACTCTCCAATCACCTTCCGGGGTGCCCTGGTACTTGATCATTTGATATGCTAATACTATGCCCACTAGTAGTACGGTCGAGACAACAAGTACATTTGCGATCTTGTTAATGACCTTTTGAAAATGGCCTTGCTCCGCTGTGATTGCAATCAGACTTGCGGCACGACCGATAAATGTCTGTGTGCCTGTTTTAGTAACGACAGCCAGCTGCTGGCCTTGCTTAACGATACTGGAGCTGTAGACAGTGCTGCCCTTAATTTTGGCAACAGGGAGTGATTCGCCCGTTAATGCTGACTGGTCGATCTGTAACTCGGCCTCGCTCTGCTCACCGTTCACGCCCAGACCAAGCAATCGCGCGTCAGCTGGAATAATGTCGCCGATGCGCAAGACGATTACGTCGCCGGGCACCAGTGCGCGTACATCAATTTCTTGCAGTTTTCCGTCTCGCCACGATCGTGTCTTGAGTGCCAATGTCTGTCGTAAGGCGGCAAGTGCCGATTCTGCTTTACGCTCCTCGCCATAGCCGATTCCGGCATTCACAAGCAAAAGCGCTAGGATCAATCCAAAGTCGAGCCAGTCGCTCACCAGTGCAGAGAGTACACAGGCCATTTCAATCAGATAGCTCATGGGACCCGTAAAATAGCGCAAGAATTTTAGAAATGGGTTCGTTTTGCGTTCTGGCAGCTCGTTCATGCCAAACGTCTTTTGTCGCTCATCGATCTCTGCTGCATTAAGGCCTGTACGTGGATCTGTGTGCAAAAGTGCCTCAAGTTCTGGCGGGATGATGTCTTCGTGTTCCACATGCTCGTGCTCTTCAAGTTTTGCGGATTCTTTTATCTTTTCGTTATTTTTTTCGTCCATGCTTGGAACGAAGAATGAGAAGTAAGAAAGAAGAAGGAGGAGGAAACGAAAGTATTGAAAATGCGTCGTGACCCTGTTGATATTGTTGTTTTATTATCAGAGCAAATAATAAACATCCCATAGCTATACATAAAATTTTGAAAGGGCTACTCTTGCCATTATTATAGCCGTTTGAGACAAGTGATTGAACATGGATCCGCTCTGATGTATATCTATGTAGACTTGAAGATAAACAAGCTAGCGCCTTTCTATACAAGCCATGAACAGGCCATCAGCCATGCACTTTATGAACACTGATTGATAGGATAATTTTCCTCTATATCACCACATCGGCTGGTGATATGTTGGCAAGATGCGTCGCCGCCGCGTTTCGTATGCCCTTACAGATGGTGCATCTAGTTTGCTCAGTTTTTCTCCGGGAATCACAAACGGTCAAGTTGTTTCTTAAATTATTGTAGGTATGTGCGTGTGTACTTGCTCGGACAGATTTTGAATGCTATACAAACATCAGATCTAGTGAATAGCTATATATTGGATGGGATTTTTCAAGTTGGCGGAATTAGAATTTCAGAATGGCGGTTGGGGGATATCAAGTTGGCTGAGAGAGGTGTTTTTAGCTCGGCTTCCCGAAAAATTTCATATTCGCGACTTCACTATGTAAATGTTGGCGCTTCCACAATTCAGCTGGAAAATACACTACGCCAGGACCGCTATAGTCAGTGGTAGAGCTTTGGGCACTATGGACATGTCTGGGCTTAGCCGAGTTAATTCTTTTATTTTTGGGAAGTATATATAGTGAGCGCCGAAGGCGCTCACTATATAGATTCTCCATGTGAACTGATTTGGATGTCACTCACAGAAATATCTACATATGCATCTACTGCGCAGCCATGAGCATCGCGTTGGTCAAGAATATATAAAGAGTAGACTATACTGTATCCTCAAAAGCCAATAAATGGATATATATTTATATGAACTTGAAAAACTTTGTTGTAAAGAGATAGAGACAGGCAGAGAGAGATTAAGGAAAGGCTGTGGATCGATGTGGTAAGTTAACAGATGGTAACGAATCAATTGCTTTTGAATAATAAGATAAATAAAACCGGTAGCTATTTGAGAGCCTAGAGAGGTATATAATCTACTTGCAGTTTCTTCTTCTTCCTTTGGGTAATCCACACAAAATACTATCAGGTGAAGCAGACGGTAAAGCATTTGGCACTGGCGCGATTTGGCGTACTTGTAGATAAGGCTGCTGCCACTGTCTCGAGCTTACTTGTTGCTTTCGCGGACGACCACGTTGCCGAGGGGTAGCAGAATGCCGTATATTGTTGAGTGCCTGTATACTATTTGTACTATATGTTTGTTGTTGTGGAGGAGGAAGATGGGAAGAGACGCGATCATGTATATCACTGGTGGCGATAAAAGTAGTAGCTGTTGCATTGGAGGAAAGCGAGACTTGTTGGGCTTGATTGTCAGCTGCTATAGATTGCTCATATAGAGGGAGTATTGGTGGGGGCAACAAAAACGTGTTGATATCAGATACTGTTACATCTGCTGGTGCTGGTTCATTGGTCAAGATAGCTGGTGGTGGATCATCAATGTTTCGACTTGGTGATTGCAGAATTTCAGTTATCGTGTCGACTACTGTGCTGTTTTGCTTTTTAGTATCTCTGGCTGTCTTTGCTGCTTTCCATACGTTGTAGTGGGGTTTAAGGCTTTCCGGCGTTTTGTAAAATATATTTTCACCATTTGTATTGTTGGTTTGATTCCATAACTTGCTAAAACGCATCCAATCGGACGGTTTTGGCTCAGCACCATTTAAATATTGCATGAATCTCTGAAACAATATGAACTCCTCTTGGGTGTGCACGGGAGTTACAGCATACTTTGTGCCGAGCCGTGAAGCAATGAAAGTATACAATCGTCCTTTTTTTTACTTGTGGACCCATCAGGAAATATCAGCTGCGTGCTAAGTTTCTGAGGCAATAATGGATCTTTTCGGGCAGCTATATTATTAAGTGCAACTGCTTGGTGGTCAACTTTGTCGATGTTTAATATACTGGCAACGTCGCTTGGGAAACCGGCAATACCGAAAGTCTCGTCCGACATGCGCATGTACAAAGCATCTTTAACAACAAGCGCATTTGCTGCCCCGGCCTTATCAGGAATGTTGAGCTCTGATTGTAGCCGACAAATTGTTTGAGTAATCCATGGACTGTAATGACTTTTATGGACTCTGCCGTATCTGTTTGCCATTCCAACCTAAAAAAATGTATAAATGAACAAGCTAGTTATTAAATTGGTACAATAATAGTGAGAATATGTGAAAATGAGTATCTTTCCTACATTAATGTTGTGGCGTAATCGATAGTCTCGATCTTGTTGGTTAACAATGAAAATTGCATCACGGAGACGACGCGCGAAATCTTTTGCTAGGCCGTGCCGCTTTGAAACCTTGATCATGTCCATCAAATGAAATATGTCTTTTAAAATTCTTGGGTTCGGGTTGTTTAAATTGACATTTTGCATATCGTCAAATTCGGGTAGTCTAGAAATAGTTGCGGGTGTTGTGCTTTGCAGGATGTTGCTGGTGTCGTTATTGTCCTCATATCCGCTTTCTGATGACGATGAAGCGATGTTCTCCAGATCATCCTCGCTTCTTGTGCTGATATGAGAACTGCCAGCGGTATCTATACTGTCGCTTGCGCCATGTGAGTCGCTGATTTGTTGTGCTTGGTGGTTGTCATCGTTAAACTCGCATAAACTGAACTTTTCTGTGCGTAAATGCACAATCGGAACCTTGACAACGAATGGGAGGCTTCCAAACTCACACAAAGCTTTGGGAGACCCTTCAGTCGGGGTAGCAACAGCACCTGGTACGCTTACTCTGTTCACAACAAACAAAGCATTCCCATTCCCATAATCCTCTCGACATAATCCATCAAAATGACCGAAAGCAACCGCAACACCCGCATACTGCAAGGAACATGGGAGACCAGGCTGTGCTGACTCTTGTACTTGATCATCGAAAATGGCAGAGTTCTTGACAGATTCAAAAACCGCGAGTGACGCCCACGCGTCCAGTGCAGCATATTCGACTTGAGCTCGGGACAGTTGCTCCATGCCTTGCCAATCGCTCAAACGCACATCGTTGTCTTTGCGCAGGGACCCCCAAGGACAGCAATACAAATGTCTGACAGTCCCAAAGTACCACGCTCAATAGCACCACGACGTCTGCAAAAGGATCCAAGTTCTACAGCTCCTTTCCAGGGAATGTTGTAGTCGCGGTGTAGTTTCTTTGAGATCACCTTTTACACTACGGCCAGCCTTCAGTATCAAAGGGTCGTCAATCAAGGATGCCAACGAAGGCGGAAACGGCTCGGATACCTTGATCCGGGAAACCCACACCGCATCTGCACAGGCCACTTGTACTAAAGACACCTTTCCAGTAGTACGTGTACTTGGGTTGAAATTCCACTCACAATCGAATCCTACTACAGCAGGTTTTTCCAGATCGTTCCGACTATTTTTAATGGACTGTACGGCCTGAGGGATTTGCAAATAATTATCGACAAGGTGTACCGACACATTCTTGGTAGCTGAAGGTAGTTCATTTCATTAGTGCTTTCGCTAGGCGCTGCTTCATGACTGCTAATTGCTTCGTCGCCAAAGGGCCGCTGTAAGGACGTTATCACACTTTCTTAAAGTCGACGGTCGCCCTTAACATTATCGGTGAAGAAAAGCTTTGGTTGTGTATGACCATAAAATGCGTACGATTTTATCATTTCTTTCAACGGTCCCTTGATATGGGCAAGCGCTTTTGTTGGTACCAGTAGCTGCATGCGAATTTCTTCATACTCGTTGCATATTGTGTACAATGCTGTAAAAGCTGCTGATCCGCCAAGTTTTGCCATGTGTTTGGGTCAATTGAAAGAATGGTCTCCCTTGAGTATAATTCCTCCAAAAATCATGAGCTCTTTATCCATCAGTGGCCGAAGCTCATCCAATAGAGAAGTGTAGACAGTGCTTAGATATCCAGATGACGGTACGTAACCCGCATATTTATTAGGATCATCGAAGGGAGAGAAAGGTATGTAGTGAAAGTCTGAATTCTGTTTGTCGAGCATGTCGTGTTGGTTTGGAAATTTTTGACGATGCACAAGCGAATTGAGGTATTGGAGATGCAGCTTGGCGTAGCGCAGCGTGTGAAACTCTCGAAGAGCTGCTTGAACTCGGTTGATGCCCATTCCACTTTGCACGGCAGTACGAAGTAGATCACCAACCAGTTTTGACACCGCACTACGATGGGTAAGATAAGCAGGAAACTCTGCTAGCAAGTGCTCGGGTAGCTGACGAAGTAAGTGGTCGTCGTGCGCGTTCATGGTAACATTGCAAGCCTTATTGCTGCAGCGGTATCTCACAGACATTAATTAGAAGCATCTTCCATAAAATTAGTGCTTTTTCTTAGCAATATAAATGTTGTACTATTACCTGTCGATATCTACAACGCGTCGAGCATAAGGATCTTTGTTGAATCCTTTGGACTGCAACTCGGCTTTAGCTTCACAAGTGCATATCAATGGCTTTGATACCAAATGATGTGGAAGCCAGAGAAAAATGCGAGGTAAATAGAGCTTCTTGGGATCTGCTGGACCTGTATGTAGAGCGAAAAACGGCGATGGCGGCTCGATCCAGAAGCTGTTGTAGAGGCGATATTCTTTTGAGGGGATTCGTTGCTTTCTGTTTGCCTCCTCAACAAGACGTTTCTGCACTTCTTCAAAATACTTTTTCAAAGCAGGCGCTTCGCTGTATGTTGTGTCATCTTCAACATTGATATCGTCTTCGTCATGAATAAGCAAATCGTCATCCCCTAACTGGTCTGTCAGCTCCATATTATCAACTTCAAGATTATTCATCAGTTGCCAAGACCACAATTGTCATCGTCACGAGAAACAGCAACACTTTCATTAGTTGCAGTAGTGATGGTCTAAGTAACGCATTAGTGGGTGCGTAATAATTGGAGCAATATATGTGCTGAATATTTTACCGGCTCGGTATCAGGCTCATCGACAATGGAGTCACCGTCTGACTGAACAGGGCAAAATCTGCAAAACTTCGGTTGTTGAATGATTTGAGTCTACAGCTAAAATTTGTAGCATAAGTTATCAACTTGATTTGTCGGTTGATACCTCTAACCCTGCTTAACCGATATCCAAAAATGCGAGAACATGGCTGACGCACTACAGCATACTTGCACTCAATTTCGGCATCAGTTGCTAAAAGCTCAAGGAACCTTGGTAGAAGATATTGACGATCCAAGCAAAAGAAAGCGGACTGCACAGGTTTGAACGACGGCATATTATTTGTAAACGAAATATCAAAGAAGCACTGTCTGGATGTGGATCAATCAACACTGTCATCGTCACCACCACCACCACCACCACCATCGTCATCGTCTCCGGAACTACCACGTTTATCCGCCATACTGCAAGCAGCAAACACTACCAACACCGCTTCTAACCATGATGTTTTACCATCGGTTCAACACAAAAAGTTAGACTGGGCTTTTACAGATTCTTGGAGGAAGCATTTTGGGGATAAAATGGATGGGGACAAATGCTACAAAATCGGAGAGGAGATGGGTCTTTTAAAAACCTATGGTTCAAGTAAAGCTGTAAAATCTTCATATTTCCGTGCCAAGTCTCAATCTAAGTAGTAGGGAATCGACCCATATTGTACACCATCCATCATTTTTTTAAATATATATCTTTGTTATACCATCAAGGGCTCATCCTTCAATTATTATGTTATTCATTGATCAATTTAGCGACATATGGATATACAATAGAGGTTTTGAAGTTATCCAGGCACACTCAGCCACTTTCTGCATGAGCGGAAACTTGATTAGCCTTGTGTTTGCGGTAGTATAACTTTTATTGCGGAACCATTGTTCCTGGGGCTCCCATCAGCCAACTATGAGTGGAAATCCAATATGTGCTGTCAGCTCCCCCTCTCAACTGCTTTTCGCCTTTTGTAGACGTCAACCTCTTTGTGTGGGAGTGCACCACACTTTTGATAGGTAACGGGTGATGATTCGTATCATTCCCCGCTATATTTGATAGTACCTCACTTTGGTGATGATTAAGTGTTAAAATCTAGTAGGAGCTATAATTGAATAATATGAATGGTGTGCCATCTTTTTGATCAGACAGTAAGACCGAAAGTTCCGCAGAACCAAAAGATAGTCGAACTACGGCCCCTTGGCCGGCCTTGTGGCACTATACAAATATTCATATGCTGTTAAGTAGCAAAACCCAACCAAAATAAAAGAGAAAAGCACTTATCAAGATGGCCACTACGTAATGCAAGCTAACAACGACGTTTTATGTACACAAATAATGATAGTATATGTCACCCTAATCTGCATATATCCTCTGCTGCGTCTTTTTCTCTCTCCCATTATCGCAAACCCCACACGTCGCTTTGCACTCTTCTACTCACTGACCTCCACCCCATCAACCCTGTCAAGTGCACGTGTACTGTTCTCTGGTGGCTGACTTGCATTTTTTTTTCTGGAACACGAACCTTCGGTAATCAAAATAAAGGTTATACATGGATACGCACTAAGTTGATGATTGTGAGCGATAGTCAAAGTGTGAGATGACTTTTTTTTCCCGGCAGGCTCGCCACTCTTCATCACGTTTCGACGAAGCTTGGTGTTGTCGCGTGCTTGGCACAACTAGGACTAAAAAGTGAATCGGGAAACGAGAGGGAATAGTCGCTCATATGAATGAACATAGGAAGAAAAGCTAAATATTCAACGCGGTTTTGCCTAATAACCGCAGAAATAAATCTTCTGTTGCACTTTATTATTAATAGTACTTTTAAAAGGCTGGTCGTGACACAACGTTTACTTAACCTACTGTAATAACCAGGAGAGGGAAAGAGCGTTTGTGTTGTTGGCAGCTCAAGATACCAGGGTGGGAAGGTTGCAAAGAAGCTCGGGGACCCCCAACGCAAAATAGTCTTATAGGGCGTCTGTCCCAACATTAGTGGTGTGCAGTATGGCAAAACAGAGTCTAAAAAGACTGGCGAGAACGGACAATGATAGGACTATTAATAAAAAGCAAAAGGACGTCATGTGGCTGTTTCATGTGCGCTACTTATACACATTACAGCGAGAGAGAAGAACACGCAGCGCCGTACTGCTGTTGCTCATAAGCAAAATAAACACCATCATTACCAGCATTATCAAACAGCAAACACAGCAGGAACGTGCTGATAGTAGGTTGGGGGGAGGCATATGCAATGCTTTCCAAATTGTCAAGAATCCATGCAATTTTCCATAATCACATGGTTGCCCTTTGTGCTTGTTGTAATGTTTGCTGAGTTTGAAGTAATACTGGGAAACCTGAAATGGTCCATGCGAGGGGATCGGCTAGAGTGTTCACAAAAAAAGCATGTGAAAGTCTTTACACGGTTTGAGATACGGTCGGGCGAGCGGCTTACAGCCAAGTAAAAGCCTGATTTGGACTTGATTCACGGACAACAATGACACACGCACAGATCTTCTTGTTGTTGCGCGCGCACACACAAGAGTTGCAGCCAGACCACGACACAGGGATTATTGATGTTATCTTTCTATCACATGCTGTGATGGGGGTCCTACAACGAAAAGGTGGAGCTAGAGCGAGAAGAGCGGATAAAAGAGAAGAGGGTAGAGTTTAAGATTGACACACTGGCTTGATGTAACAACGAGAAGCGCTAAGTGCAAATAGTCTAGCGTTGTTGTTGTTGCTTAAAAAAAAGCATAAGCTTTATATTCAGTAGCTAGAGTTGTTGTGTGTGTTTGTTTATAATACCTGATATAGGTGGGATTGTTGAGTCGCGCCATTCCTCACTTGGCTTCCGGGTCTTCCGCCTCTATCTCACTCCCTTTTTTTTACTCTTTCTCTTCCTTCAATTGCATTCAGCTCTCACGCTCTCTCTCTCTCTCTCTCTCTTTCTCCCTTTCTTTCCTTTCTCTTTTCGACTAGTTTCTCTTTCATGGCGATAAACCACAATCATCTCGAAACCAACGGTATGTTCTTTTCTCTTTGCCGATAAGCACAACACACATCACCACCAGACATCACATTTGTGACATATGTGCTGTAAGGTTGGGTGAGAGACAAGGAGAGCGAGTGATAAAGGCGGGTGGCGGTGCTGCGATAAGCACAGGCCCCTGCCTCTTAATAGCTGGAGACCCGAAAATTTCTCACCCGCCTGTTTCTTCTTCTTTCCCTTTCCATCAAACTTTTACCTCTACTGCTTTTCTTCTTCATGGAAGGTCACGACGGGCACGTCAAGCACACCGAGGCAAACGGGATCCCCGCCGAGAACGGACAACCCAAACTGTCGTCGTCGTTGGGCTATGGGTTTGTTTCGCGCGTGACGTCTTATCCGATTGTGCAGGACGGCTTCTCGACAGTCAAAGCATATGCAGGAAAATCCAAAGTGGCGACGTTTGCGATTGATAAAGCCAACAACACCCTGAGCACCGTCAGCAGCTACCAGCCAAAGTACGTTCAGACGTACTATGAAACTTACGTCCAGCCGCACGTACAACGCGCCGACGACCTTGGCTGCAAATCGCTTGATTTGATTCAGAACCACTTCCCCGTTGTCAACCAGCCCACTGCTGAGATTGTGAGTGCCGTCAAGGCACCTCCTCGGGACATCATTACCGGTGTACGCCAGCGATTGACCACCCCTGCACAGGCTGCTGCTCGTGCTGCCAACGACCGCATCACTACCGTCGTCGACACAATGGAACACACCATCGACCGCTACTTACCCGCCCCTCAAAACACCAAGCGCAAATCGTTCGATAAGAACAATACAACAACAGCAAATGCAAGCCACGCTGTGCGTGTCTATCAGCTGTTGCACGAGGCATCGTCGCGTGTGGGTCAACTAGTCATCGAAAACACACCTCGTTCCCGCGATGACCTTGCCAATCTGTCGATTGTCCAGACGGCCACGAACCAGTTGCAGTTTATCCAAGAGACGCTGCGGCACTCGATCACAGTGTATTCGCAGGCCGCCCAGCAGCGTGTTCCCGCAGCGGTCACTGAACGGTTCCATCAGCTACACGGCACGTTGACATCACAGCTCAACCAGCTCGCCGGATTTGTCAAGACACGAACTGAATTGCCCGACTGGCTCAAATCACGTCTGCAAACTCTGGCCGATACCGCCACCGCCCAGTACAGCTTTGCAAAGAAGGAGTACGCTCGATCTGATATTACGACGTATGACAAGGCTAAGAACGTGACCCAGAACTTGCAAGCTCAGCTGTTGCCGCTTTTGCAGAACGTCCACTTGCAGGTTCGGGGTTATGCCGAATCCGCTCGCCAAAAAGCTGAGAAGGATCTCGGCCCGTACGTCCCCTTCGGCAACAACAAGATCGCTGCTTCCACCGACGATGCCACCACCGCTTCCCAACAGTAAAGTTTGCCATTATCGACGCCGTCGTCTTTGACTTGACTGACTTTTACGCTACTTCTCCACTCCTTATCACACTCTAAATGCCTCTTTATCTCTCTCTCTCTCTTTGCTACTCTAACTCTGTTCTTATAGCTTCTTCTTCTTTTACGTCTTTCTCTTATCTTTCTCTCTATTATATCCCAAATAGCTTGCAAATCTCATACCTTTTAAAGTTAACCGTATACAATAAAGTCTCCTTTTTTTACTCTTTTTTATCATTTTCTGATGTATCAACTACTACATGGAATGCTCCATTTTTGCCCTGCTCATCTACAACTTGTCGCTTGCCTCCTCGTGAATTGGTTTCCTTGACAATCAGATGTAGCCGCTCCAGCTTGGCCTTTCTATCCATCTGACACATTTCAAAGCTGATCAATGATATGCCGCAGAATGCTGCTACCGCCCAGTTGGCTGCTGATGGTACCGTCCCTGGTTTATTAAAAAATCATCATTATTACATTTTCGTAAACTGCTACCTCTAGCTTTGTGCTTACGTTTTACAATATATCGAATACCTCCAGCGCCAAATGCACCACCCATGCCGTAGAGTAATGCATTTCGTGCACATGGTATTTTACCCACATTTTTAAAATCGTCTACTTTGATTGTCTATTGTTGTTGTTGTTGTTGCCAATGACGCGTCGGTAGTGAGCAACCAGTCAGGTTAAAAAAAGGTGGGGATGACCTTGCTTGTTTACGCAACAGTAAAATGAATTACCTGCAAGGCATCTGTAAAAGTGGGCTGATTATTGTCGTTATTGTTGTTGCTCATGGTGGTGTGTAAATTTCGAATATTATTGTTCTATTCCAGCCAGCCACCATACATATCCACCGCCTCGGAGCCTAATTAGCCTAGGTGCGGGGGTAGATGCCTTTAGCAACAAACCACGCCACCAAGAAAATCGCATTTTACCATGTGCACTCGTCAAATCATCGGTCTACCTTGTTATTATCACTGAACATCAAGGACACAGCTTGAAGAGATTTTCAAAATGGCTGTGCTTAAACCTGCGCAGGATCATCATCAGCTTTCTTTGTTGTCAACTCCAATCGATCTGCAACAAAGCGATCCATGCAGAAGCGGGCGCTATTGTGCTTAGAGCAAAACATTTTGCCAAGCTATGCCAAGGTCAAATAGGAAGCAATATGGAAATATTGGCTGTTCAATACATCTCTTCCAGACTCCAAACAGTATACCCAGTTTACCATATACGGAGTACCTACAGGGCAGTAGTGGCGTGGCGACACGTTTGCCGGTTCGGATAATATGTAACAAATGCGATTGGTTTAAAAACATGTGGCAAATTTTAAAAAAGCAAAGTTGGTCTCTCCACTTCTCTTATGGAAGCGTGTTGTTAGACCAATGGCATATGCTGTGTTGGGGGCAAATAAAAAGGTGGCATTGTGTTGTTTGTTGTTTGCTCAGTTTTTTCGAAGAAGGACTCAAGTACGCAAAATGTGTTTTACTTTTTCTATCGTTTGACAACATGGTAACCATGGCAGCCACGTTTTTTTTTTTTTTGGTTTCTATGGCAACAAAGAAAAAGTGGCATCATCGTCATAGCAACAAAATGATTTGCAAAGGATCGATTATCGGATGCAACGACGGTGAAACCGGCCGAGTATTCCGAAACGATTCAACAAAACGGCAGACGGGAAGAGAGAGAAGAGACTAGCTCCAGTAGTAGTAGTAGTAGTAGTACCACCCCTATGTTATCCGGTGGCACCGCATTGCGTAAGGTGCAAAACATCACTTGACCCTTTTAAAAGATGGGTGGATGGATGGAGGTAGAACGAAACACAACTAGACGCCCATGTGTCAACTAAAAAATATCCAGACCAGCTGAGCTAGAACTCCCCTCTGTCATTGATTTCTCGAAGCATGTGCACGCGAGCAACAAAAGTTTCGCGCACGAACCCTCCCCCAAGTTTTACAGAAGGGAGATCGACGATAACGCACAGCTCTGAGGGCATGTGAAAATTGCAAAACCTGTCTTGGTTAACCCCATGTGATTTTAGTAGTGCCAGAAATGAAAGACCCCGATCTTCTTCTCTAGCTTGGCAACAACAACAACATCACAAAAGTTGTCTAGGGTTATGTTGAGACGCTTTGCGTCGATTAGAGGAGCAGGAAACGTATTCATATTCTTCCCGAGCGGGTGGGTCGACTGATTGAGTAATATAGCAAGTGTGAGTAAAATTAAGCCGTTTGGGGGGAGGGGTTTGGAAAGAAGGCCTTATTTCATAAACATGTACAATTTAAAACACTTCTGTTGCACAGACCCTCCTAAAGAATTATACTTAACCCCTTTTCCCCCCATCAAACCACTAATTAGCGTTACAGGCGACGTCAATGAAAGTCTGACATACGCGATATAGTGCGTAGATAGTGTAGCATATCCGTTTCTCCCATTATATAATACGTTTTGCTGCAACCAGCGCCTCTCCTCTTCCTTCTTCCTCCACTTCTTTCCCACTTTTGTTTGATACTAGCAAGTTCCAGCAGAAAACGATCACCAGCAAGGAAGAAAATAAAGAGAGCGAAAAGGTATATACACAAAAACCACACGATGATTGTATGTCGGATGATCTTTGGATTGACAATTTGTTCCGATCGCATGATCCGTGCGGTGTATACGTAATAGTCACCAGCTCTTTCTTTCGACATTAAAAAAAACCTCGAGGTATACTAGGAACAATGCAATTTCCACAGCAACATCACGCCTATTTGTATCAATGCTTATTGTTGGATAATAATAGTAGCTCCTCAGCGAAATCTTGACTATATATTACACCACCTTTAACAATTCCCCAGAAGCTCCTCCTCTCTTCTCCTCACTTTGTCTCATCATGAGCGGTTTCCCAGAAGCGGCAATTCCGTTGACAACGACCGTGCCCTCGTGCGTTTCAGGTAAAGACGAATGTACCCCTTTAAATAGTTGCACCGTTGCTTGCAGGTCCCTGACATTATCTATCTGTCTATGCAGTCGCAGCTTCTTCTTCTTCGCTTACAATGACAACATCGTCGAGTAGTGAGGAACCCTGGCCTCTCGTTTTCGATAGCACTATGGCTTATATGTACGACGAAGGGCTGCGCACGCCCGAATCTTCTGATTTCAATCTATTACCTTACATTCCCGAGAATTACTATGCCCAGCAACAGGTATGCTACATATTGCATATTCCTCGTCATCATGCGAGCTTATTGCTAATAAGCAATTTATTACAGTATATGAGTCCAGCAGCCACACCCGAGGAGAAAAGTTGTCCCACGCCGCAATGGGATCACCCCAACAATTTGACTCGAGACCAACTGATCGAACGCGTTCTCCAGCTTGAGCGTGAGCGACTGCATTACTACTGGCCACCTCTTCATCACCAACATCCAAACCACCACCATCATCCTCAGCAACAGCAACAACGTAAGTAAAGAAAAAGAAACGGAGACAAGAAGACGCAAAGAAATCACGCCAGCAATAATATTAATTATACAAAAATATTGTAGCGCCGGCCCCACCCGCTCCCGAAGAAGAAATCACGTACTACTGCCGTTGGAATCATTGTGACGTTCAAACGTGCCATCTTGATGAGCTGATCGCACATATCCGGGATATCCATGTTGGAAGCGGAAAGGTTCGGGTTGTGTTACATACTTGATATGTCACGCCACACTTATTTTGTACTCATTGTCGTCGCGCCTTGATTTTTCTTTCAATAGGCTGCATATTATTGTGAATGGGCTGGCTGTCCTCGTCAAAACAAGCCATTCATGAAGCGGCACAAGATGCATAATCATATGCGCACGCATACTGGTGAAAAGCCGTTCGTTTGCACTATCGAAGGTACCGCAACACACAATAACAAATGACAAAGGGGCGGGAATGACGGGAATTTTCTTAATATAGATTGTGAGCATCCGGTCACTAACAATGCCATCTGTTACTTCTTAGATTGTGACAAGCGCTTCTCACGGCTCGATTCGCTCAATACCCATATCAAGACGCATTCATCCGTTCGACCTTTCAAATGTTCCATTCCTGACTGCACCAAAGCATACTTTCATTCCCGTTCTTTACGTAAGCATATCAAGGCCCATCAGCAACGCATTGCGGCCTCTGCATCCAATAACAGAAAGAAAGGCAGCCGACGCCGGCCGGTCGCTGCTACTGCTACATCTACTACTTCCAACAATACCCCTTCCTCTATGCCCAATTATGAAGAATAACCATTTCTTTCTCCTACTTTACACATACTATCCTTTCATTACTTTCTTTCCTTGTTTGTTTTCCTTCTTCTCTCGAATCTTTTTTTATTTTGGCTCGTTCTTTCCCTCTCTTCTCCATACCTCTCACATTGTCCCGCTGTATTATTTTCCGTGTACATACTCTTTTTAATAGAAGTCTGTCGTATCCTATCTCTTTCCCGCGTATTCTAAAAACACTCACTGCTCTAACGTCATTCGTATTCGTCTTGTCTACCTTTCTTTTCCACTATGTGATATACGAATTTTATTGGAAACAACAAATTAGTGCTACATACAACACTGCAAGAAGAGATTACATGGTTTCGTGTTTAAAGAAGTAGATGATATGGTTTTGGTATTTTGGATTCTTTTAATTGGGGCTCACGCGTTCTCATGGGGTGGTGGTTGTGGAGGTCTCGTACGCTGTGCCGAGTAACGACGGGTATTGATACTCGTAGAAGAAGGTGAGGGTCTCGGTGATCGAGGTCCTCCTGGCGCACCTTCTTGCTGCATAAATTGTGGGGATGGCAACGACATATTTGACATGGGATGATCCAAGTAGTCACCCCGCTGTTGCTGTAAGGGTGTATCGCTGTTGGATGATTCAGATCCACTATGGTTACCTTGTCGCTTCAACTTGTTGTGCTGAAGCGTTTCTGCATAGAGATCCATGTAACTTCGCGGACGGTCTTCCATGAACCGCGGCAATGGCATGTTATTATCGATAGCAGATCGGATACGACGCTCTTTTTCATAATCGCTCCATTTCTTCATTGTTGCACGGCTTGCATCGAATTCACCTTCCTTATCGCCATGACCATGCTTGTCGCCTCCACCACTACCTTCGACTTTACGGGTATCGCCCCACGAGAAATCGTCAAAGTGCCAGTAGGCATAAGTGGGCAGGACAAAGTTCCATATGGGGAGGGAAAAGAGATAAATGATCATCCAACCGACATAGACAAGCTTGCGACTTGTCATGACGATTAGTACAGCGGGCAAACCCAGAATCAGTGCAAGTAAAATAAGGGGGATTATGGCCGGCTTTCCGAGAATGGCAAGGATAATTAAATACAATGTAAATGAAATGGCAGCAGGTAGAGCAAGTGTTCCAACAAGCTCCATGAATACGACAAACTGCATCGAGAAGCAAAATGTGCCGCAGAGGTCGTGGACGAGCACCAATTCCATCAAGTTGTGAATTGTAGAGTTGATCCATCGTCGTCGCTGTGACAGTAGCACACTAAATGTGTCTGGAACAATAGTCTTACATCTAAAAACAAAAAATGAAAGCGTTTGCATTAGTTTGCGATCAGTATGTTTCACCATACGATGATAGTTGGATAACATACGCTGCTTGAGGGACAAACATCATTTTGCGGTTGGGGAAGGTGCGCAACATTAGAGTCGACAGATATCGATCTTCACCGAGAAGCAACAAATTCTTTTTATGCAACGTATCGACTACGTTCTCGGAGTAATGCTCGACAATATCAGGATTGGCAAGAATTGGCACCCAGTAACCGTTCGGGCCCTTGGGAGCCTTAATGCGATACATACAAAAGCAGCCAGGCAAACAGGTGACGCCACCGAAGATTGACTCGAATGCTTTGCTCTGATGGTGGGAGATATAGTATTCGAACACTGAAAGGAATGATGACGACAGCAGTAATATGTGTCAGATTCAGAAATAGGAGGTTTTTTGTGTATGTGCACGTAAACACATGTAGTTAAATTACCTTGAATCATGCTAACCCAACTAGCAGTCTTGTTGGCAATTCTAGTCTCGCCACATAGACCAGAGATTTCGGGATCCTTGACTGCACAGGAGACTAATCGGGAAAGAGCGTCAGGGAACAGCTTGGTATCGGCATCGACCATGAGCACAATCTCGTATCGGTCAGCGGGAATACCAGTGACGCGCCAGATGGCGTTGAAGAAGTCATATTCCATGGATGTCATGCGCTCATCAAACATAACTTTCTGCATAAACTGCATAAGAATAATCTGCGAGTCGCGCTTGCCACGGTTGCCTGGTTTTCTTTCGTCGGCCTCCTCAGGTGTGCCGCATTTGACAATGGTAATCATAGGAACGCGTTGCTGATGCTCTGGATCAACAGTGGCATCATCGTAGTGATAATAGCCGGCATAGACTTTTCCCATGTTGTTGCGCTTGGAACCGTCAGCAATTGCGATATAGCTGGCTGCTTCAACCTGCTCAGGTGGTACTACAAAGTCGTGCATCATGGAAATACACACGTCGGGGGTGGACATGCTTTCGCCGTGCCCAGTGATTATGCCGTCGCAAACGACCAGAATGAGCTTGTGTGAGTTTGGATAGTCGCTGGTTGCAATTGAATCCAATGTTGTTCGGACGCCATCCAGACCTTCGGAATAGCATGTCACGAGACAGATGGTGTGCGCCAACGGATAGTTAAAAGGCATATAGTCGGAAGGCGGTTGCGCTATGGCATTCGGCGAGACAGGGTGTGGACATACTGGACTAGGTGCCAGCGTTGTTGCTCCACCACTGTGGCTCTGTAACTCTGAAGATGATATCGAAGATCTGCGCAGACTGGCAGCTGCGGTGGCAGGCAAGTAGCGCGACGATGGAGAGGGCGAAGGTGTTGGTGTTTGAAAATAGGAAAACCGTCGGGTTGTATAGTCTTCAAGTGTACTACAATCAAGCATAATAAACGTTTAGTAAAGTGGCAATGGAATCGCCATATAAGAAAAGTTAGTATTACCTTGACGGCGTCTTCCAAATAGGTGTAGGCGACCGGTCAGCGTCAAATCGAGTCGAATTAGGCATAGGCTGGGTGAAACGCGAAGTCTGTGGCAACAAGCTGCGCTTTTTGATCGGCATCGGCGGCGGCGGAATTCGAGGACGTTCGGCTAAGGGAGCAGCTACATTAATATCGCGAGTCCATTGTTCGAGTTCAGCCTCACGCTGCATTCGAGCAGCGTACGACGAGCCTTCCTTGAAAGTGCCCAGTCGCCAGCTGAGGAACCAGCCAAAGATGACGGCCAGGGAGAAGCGGGTGAATATTACGCCGAGGATGACCACCAGGGACAGGTACAGGACTATCTCGGACGCCATGCAGCCGATGCTGAGCGTGTCTACGGATCCAACCTTGATAAGTAACGACAAACATTTGGCTTCGTCTTCCCAGGTGGTGCCATTCGCAGCACGCGTAGCTGCAATTGCACGGGTCATGTCTTTGCCGCCATACTTGGCCGTATCCGAAAGAACGCTGGCGATCAGACTAGAGTTTTTGATATCGTAACTCGAGACGGGCAGCAACTGGAGGAGGCGTAGATTCAGAACGTCACTATAACAATTTAGTTTATACATCATGCATGCATATGCTTTGTGTTTGGGTGTACGTGTGCGTGTGTGTATGTGTGTATCATATATGTCGGGTGTGCTATTATTATTTTTTTTGTTTTTTCAACCAGCTTGCACGTACCCGTTGTACACCATCAAGTAGTCGGTACTATTAATATTGTCCCAGTCGTAATAGACACGGCCAACCTTGTCGATGCCAGAGCCATCAGTACGAGGTACACCATTGATCTTGAACTCGCTGTACATGCTGCGTGCTGTAGGAGACAAATGGCATCCCGACGTCAAATTATGCGATAGCTGCTTGGTGGTGGTATCATTTGGATTAAACATTTGACATGGAAAGTAGACTTGTGGAGGTGCCTGTGGCGCAGTTAAGGAAATCAAGCCAGAGGTTTTACGTGGAAGCACCTTGGTGCATTCAGGCGGGTTTATTTCCTGAAACAGGAACGAGCCGTCCATACCGCCGGCGTCAATCGGAGGGTATAGCACATTGGTCGGCTCACTTGTCTGATCTTGTACTGGCGGATGACCATTCCATTCCGCAAGCATGAATGCCCAGCCACGGATGACAAGGTAGCCCTGGCCGACAGACCCACCATGAACTGACATTGGCGGTGTTGGGCATACTACTTGTGTAAAGCCAAAAGTCAGGAAACCGACAAAGCCCATGACGAACAAGATAAATGATACTAGGCCGATCTTTTCACGCCATGCTAGCTGTGCAGGGCCATTTGGAATACCTGATTTTGCATTATTAAAATAGAATAAACATCCTAAATGAGTATTCGAGCAAGGTGTATTCTCTTTTTGTGATTCTATGTTTGTTTGCTTGTTTGTATGTGTTGTGTAAGTGTATGTGTAACTTTATATTACCCATGCAACGCAATAGCGGATTTGGGATACAGCATGTAAGGAGGCGGCAATAAGTGATCCACAAGCGTGCTGAGAAGCTGCGATGCGATTCTTCAGTAAAATCAACAGCACCAACAACGCCTTCGTCATCGTCCTCGTCTGGCGACCGTCGACTGTATTTCTCGCTACGGCCTAGGATGCTTTGGCCACGGCGAACAGGCGCATGATGATGACCGTCACCACGTCTGCCGGACGAGTATCGCTTTCTAGGTCCTGCGGCATAGCCAGGGGTAATAGCAGAAGCACCAGCGACAGCACCACCAGAAGCAGTTCCGACTTGGCTGGTAGAAGCAACGGTAGCAGTGACAATGGCGCCAGCAGCAGCGGTAGCAACAGCACCAGGTCGACTGCCGGTTGTACTAGGTTCAATATTATTACGATTTGTGGCTCTTTGTCGATAGTGGTACTGGCGATGATTTTCGTCAATCCGTTCGCGTTCCGGTCTCACTAATGATTTTTGGCGTCTAGGTCTGGTTCCGGACGAGGACAACGGAAGCGGTCGATCGTCCGTTTCTGAATGAAGGGATAGATTGCGATTTAGGGTCGGCGTGTACGACTGGATTCTAGATGAATCCATCTTGTCGGCTAGGACGCAAAGGAAGAGTAAAAGAGATGAAAGAAGGGAAAGAAGGTTGTGTAAAAAAAATTAAAAAAAGTGAAAGTGGAATACAGATTTAAGGAGAAAGATCGGGATGTAGTGGGCGTTTTACGATCAATTGACGCGCACCAGGGACAAACAGTCCATACACTCAGCAGCAAGGGAAGAATATATGAGCAACGGCTATGGGCAAAGGTGATGCAGGGTTGGGGTGGTTCGAGAAAGGGTAATAGATGATGATAGTAGGTAGTAGTAGTAGTGATAGTATGTAGTATGTAGCAAGTAGTGGTAGTAGTTAATATTAATTGCAAACACACTTTGAGATTACAGCAAATACACCGCACAATTATACAACAGCAACAACACGATAATTAATCCAGTGATATGATACGCAAAAAAAAAGTAATTAAGAGACTAGGTACAAGAGATGGACGGAAGAAAAAAGGGAAGAAAGAAAAAGGGAAACCACGCGAGCATATGGAAGAAGTAGAGTGGCTGAAGGATGCATGCAGCAGTATATGTATTTTTGCGTGATGTTTGTCTACCACACACTTGTCCTTCATCTCAAGTAGGTATTGCAGGCACTAGCCTTGAAGCTTTGCGTTTCCGTAGAAGATGGCGTTTTCCCTCTTTTTCTGTCCAGTCTTCCGATACGCGCGGGTCTCGCTGCAAACGCAATAATCATCATAATATACATGCGGCTGATCAGTGTGTGTGGTGGTAGGTGGTAGTGGCACAAAGTAGTAATAGTGGTAGTGGTAGTAGTAGGCGACGATCATCCATTCACTTATATGTTGTTATTATGTATAATACACAATCTAAGCGCGTAAGTTATGTACTGTAATTCTCAAGACACGATGAGCGACGGCGGCGACAAATGAGGAAAAGGTTGGAAATTGGAGGGAGCTGCATCCCATCATGCCACCTCACCCCCTCTCTTTTCTCCTCATATTTTGTCCATTATTTGGTTGTAGGCCCGACAATCAACCGGCCCGCTTCATCCGCCAACTACCATTTGCCCAACGGTGGACTGATGCTTGTTTTTCTTTATGGCTCGGTTGCTGCGAGTGTAGTTATGTAGCACGTGTTTCGTCACACACAATTCGACACTGCACATATTACACACGAAAGCCTATCTATAACCCAGCTTCACAGACAGACACACACACCTTTGCCCTGTTTTCTTTTCTCTTTTCTTTCTCTTCAGACTTTGTTATTTCTCCCTTAGTTGTGAAGGAAGCAAAAAACAGGCAATAGCAGCAATCCTTGTTCTTATGACGACTGATTCAATCTTAATTCTCGGTGGGGTGGGATTTATTGGCCGCCATTTTGTGCATTATGTCGTGCAGAATAATCTCGCGCAATATGTTTGCGTTGTGGACAAGGTCCTTCCCCAAACAGCCTATCTGTCCGAGGCGCATAAGGCGTCATTTGAGAAAGTTGAATTCCGACAAGGCAACTTGATTCACCCAGGTATGTTACCCTTTTTATTTTAGAGTTGGAAAAGAGGAGGGGAAGGAAGGGGGAGTGTAAGAGGGTTTGCTTTGATAAAGATAAAGAAAAGAGTAAAAAAGCAAGGGATTGAGGTTATTTTGTTGACCAAGGGGACGTTAGCTTAAACGCGGGGAAGAGTAGAAAGGGTTGTTTATGGTTTTGACGCCATGACAGAAAAAAAAAGAGCGCGTGAATGTGGAAGGGAAGCATGACAAACCGAGGCTAAATCTTTAGATTATAAATAGCTTCAGTGGCAAATTGCTTTACCAAAGCCGATGGTACAGAGTTCGACTATGTGTTCAACTTTGCTGCAGAAACCAAATACTCGCAGGTTTCGGAGGTATGTGGATACTGTATACTATTATATACACATCAGGGGATTCATTTAGAGGTAGAGGGGCTAGATATGATAACTGCGGAGTGGGATTTGTGGATAAAGAGGATCTCACAGACGACAAAATGGTGTCTTATACAATAGGTCTATCAAGAGCGTATTGTACAGTTGTCTGCTAACTGCGCAAAAGAAGCCGCGAAGCGCAAGGTCAAGGTCTTCACCTGCATGTCAACTGCTGAAATCTACGATAACGATCAGGTAAAATCGAAGGGCGCGTACGTGTTATTGCGTAAAAGGAGTGGAATGGTGATACTGAACAGCAGTGTTATTCAGGGTGCATCGACAGAAACTTCCAAAGTCAAGCCATGGACAACGATTGCGAAATACAAGCATCGTGCTGAAGAAGAGCTTGGAAAGATCGAGGGGTACGTACATCACAACACTATACGTATAATACATGCACATACAGAAATCAATTGATGTTTTCATCGTCATCTCACGCTAAATTCGCATATTTAAAATATACACTACTGTTCCCCCTGTCCCCTTCCATGTATGTGTGTGCAGATTGAATCTCGTCGTTCTGCGACCTTCCCTCGTATATGGTACTGGTGCATTGCTTGGCTTGAGTAAGTTCTTTTTCAATTTATTTTGTATAACCTATTCTATGTAGATTGCATTAAGTTTGATTATCATCGTTTTATTAGCGCCACGCCTTATCATTGGTCGAGTGTACAAGCATCTCAATGAGGAAATGAAGTTGTTATGGTCAAAAGATCTCAAGCTGAACACAGTGCATGTGGATGATGTGGTTAGAGCAACCTGGCATGCTGCTAAATGGTATGTGGACACGGGTAAAAAGCCGGAAGACGATACTCCCTTTTTCAACTTAGCAGATAAGCAAGATACAGGTAAAAGAAGAACGGATTTGCAGAGATGGGTAATCCATCACTATGGGAACAATTCGTATATGGTTACATAACGCTAACGCATATAATTCCAAACAGATCAAGAGACGATTAATAAGCATTTGCGCGATATCTTTGGTATCGAAACGGGTTACCATGGTACTGTTGTTTCAAGTTTTGCAAAGGTATGTCCAATAAATCATCTCCCAAGAAACAAAGTTTATAATTCATCACCTAGAGAAAAAAGTATAGCTAAATGAAGAACTTGTGCGCTATAGTTGAATCTGGATTCGGTTACTGAAGATGTGAACGAGAAGCATTTGGCGCCTTGGGCCGAGCTTTTGAAAAAAGCGGATATTCACACTTCCCCTCTGTCGCCGTATTTGGATGAGGAGTTGCTGTACAATAATGCATTGTCGGTTGATGGCTCCAAGATCGAACGAGAAACAGGGTTCTCTTACAGCGTGCCCAAGCTGACCAAGGAACGGCTGGTTGAAATTATTGACGATTACAAGGCGCGAAACTTTTGGCCAGCAGAAGATTAGAATTTTTCTCCTCTCTCCCTTCTTTCCGAGCTATACCCTCTCTCTCAATTAAACAAGTAATTCCACTTCAACCAACTAGTATACAAAGACATACACAAGTGCGCGCCCTTTCTCGCTCCTTACTTTTTCTAAAAAAAGCAAAAACGCAGGTCGTAAAATACATCATACACGTATAAACCTACAAACTATCTTTACCCCCTGCGTACGACGATAATTTTGGCTTATAGTATAAGATGTAGTACATGTACTGTGCAATATATCAGAGAAATCTTCGTGCTACTGTACTGGCTACATTTGTTTTGTTTGACAATATGTACAGTAATGCAATATTTGCCGATTATCTTGGTTCAATGAAATGCATGTACGTCTGACAATGTACTGTATCTCCAAGGAATAGATTGGTTTGTATGTATCCGAAAGGGTTCGGACTGCTCGGGATGGTATCGTTGTACGATGGATGAGGGGGACCTTGAACAAGGAATGTCATAAACCTTTTCTTCTACCTGTTGAATGTTGAACAAAAATATAAACTGTCCATTAGCTTGGGTAAACAGTATGAATACCTATAATCAACGACCATCCAATCTCAGCCTACTGTTATAATACAGTATAGATTCTCTTGAGAGATAACATAAACCATTATCACATCCCTCACTCATTATCTATTTTTCTCTCCTGCAAATGCACAGACTGTACAGGAACCTATTGCCAAAACAAAAAAAAAAGATAAAGAGATCCGTATAATAAAATATTATCAACATCCACCTGCCTCGCTTCGCTCGGCTGAATGAGCCCCTTCGCTGCGCTCCGGGTCATTCAACGGATTGGATGTTTCCTGGGGGTTTCCCCCAGACCCCCAAGGTGGGGGGTTCCCCCCACACCCCCCCTTCTAAACCCGAAACTGCTCGCTTCGCGAGCTTATTGATTGCTATGTCTACATATAACCCTAAACGTTATCATTATTGCTATGACACGAAACCCTACTACAGATTGGTTTGCCAAATTCAAAAGGGACATAGAGAGTTTTGACCGCTCTTTTGCTGCTATCGACAGCTCTTACAGTAATTTGCAAGTTCATCAATACACTCGCTTTCATTAGTTATCGTAGTAGATTACTGCTGCTTGTCGTAATTAGCTGAAAGACGACAGCAGGACTGAGTTGACACTCGCGTAGTTCTATATCATATTTTTCGCATCAGATCTACTTACCAAAAAAAACAGTGAAAAGGTACGAATATTCTATTGTACGTAAAATGGTGATCAGTTAAAATAGGATAATTATAGCAAAAAAAAGAAAAAGAGCAAAAATAAGAGTTAAGATGATGGAGGTAGAGAGGCGGTGGTTGTAAAAGAAGCAGGTGGTGAATTTACGGTTTGTGGAGACAAAAGAATTTCATGGTAGACGATATTAGTAGTAAGTGGTGGGGATGTGGCGGCTGTTGACAGATCGACTGCAACCCTAAGGTTTTGAGGATTTGTTGCTCTGGATAATGCAACATATAGTTGTCCATGAGCAAAAACAGGTTCGTTGAGAAGGATGCCGACATCAGATAACGTCTGTCCCTGTGACTTATGTATAGTCATTGCAAAGGCGGCGCGAACAGGGAATTGCCGGCGGCAAAGGACGAAGGGATATTCACCCTCAGTAGTGCACATGTTGATACGGGGAAGGAAAAACTCTTCACCCGTGTAACCTTGGTCGATCCGTCTTACAGAGATGCTGTTGTCGTAAAGGCCTGATACGAAGAGTTTTGTTCCGTTGCAAAGACCGGCATCAGGATCCATATTGCGTAAAAGCACCAATGGCATACCGACCTTGAGACATAGCTCATGGTTAGGAATACCACCGGTAGTTATACTCCGTAGAAATTCAACAGGATAGCTGGCTGCAGCTGCGTCAGGATCATCAGCATCAAGTATACGATCATTGGAAGCATATGTTCTGCCTATGCCGGGGAAGATGTCATATGCTGCATCATTGATGGCATCGACGTCAGCATTTTTGGCAGCCAAGATTGCGCGACCATGATAATGCTCTGGCTGTGGCTCAGTAGAGCGAATTGATGGATAGATGGCATCAATCAATCCCATGGTATCGCTTGTATCGATCTGCCATTCTTGCGGAATCTCCACGCTTTCTTGATACGGGGCACGTCCATCACCAATAGCCAAAAGAGTGTCAGCAAAAGCAGCAGCATTAGGGCCTGCATTCCTCACGCGCATGTTTTCAGTCAAATGGAGGACTTGAACATGTCGCCAAAAAGAGGCAGATTGGATGGACTCGGCAACGATTTGAGATCGATTCCCTTTTTTTACCACCGGAAGCATCTGACGAAAGTCCCCTCCAAAAACAACAACCTTGCCTCCGAAAGGTAGTTCACGCAACAGCGGGTCCAGAGCACCCATAATGTCCCGAAGAGCACGGTCAACAGCATCAAAATTATATTTGCTGCACATGACAGCTTCGTCCCAGATGATAACTGACGCACTTGCGATAAGGTGTGCGTGAGGACCGCCAAGGCGAAGATTGCACGAAGTATAAGCATCCGCGTTCAACGGAATCTTGAAACGACCATGTGCTGTTCGGCCACCCGGGAGCAAGATAGCTGCAATGCCAGAGGAAGCGACAGGAAGTGCGATTTGATCACGGGACCGAACATGGCTCAATATAGCCTTAAACAGTTGAGATTTACCCGTACCACCTGGACCATTCACAAAGAAAAGGCGCGATGTGTGGTGATGAGTGGCTGCAGTAATAGAGTCGGTGATAGTGTCAAAAGCGTGGCGTTGTCCGTCGTTTAACGTAGGTAGCAATGTATTTAAGAGTTGCTGTTGACTCTCTACGTCATATTCACGTCGTTCGACAATCTCCAAAGCTTCTAGGCGGGGTAGGGCATCGAGTTCTGTGACAAATTGTTGCGGCAGAGACGGGAATTCTGACAGATGATGGCCAGTGGTTTGCAGACGCGTTTCGATGTCACCAAGGGTGCGCTGATACATTTGATTGATCTGATCATTGCTGAGCTCGTCTTGGCCAGCAGGAAGGCTTGCCCGTAAGGAGAAAAAGTAATCATCTGCCATTCTCTCTCGATACTTGGTCCAAAGTGAGAGCGGATCTGCTGGGGAGCAATTGATCAATATATACACAAAAAGTGCTCTAATCGCTGATGCTGATGGTGAGTATAGGCACGCCTCTTCCGTGCATCGGTCCCATTCTTGGTCAGATTCAAGAAGACCATGTGCGAGAGCAGCTTCTTGGAATGTTTCGTAAACAGTGCCATTGATCGTTCGCAATGACTCAAAGCTTGTAGGGCCACGAACGGCAAGAAGAAGGAGGCGAAGACAGTAGAGGGGCATGTTGGACAGAGAGGCATTATAGATGCGTGTCACAACATTGGCAATTGGCGGGTTCGTACGTTGTCTCCATTGGCGTGCTCGAGCATCCCATGTGTAATGAGCAGGAATATCATGGTACCGATATTGGCGTGCTCCGTTTTCTGTTTCATCACCGTCGCAAAGCTGAAAAAACGCATTTAGCTTGGTGTGAGTTGATGCTTCCCGGATGTTCGTCAGCTCATTTTGTGTTACGTCCTCACGAAAACGAACGACTTCCTCTCCAGGCAAGTGCAAATCTAGGCGCATAACAGTCGGACGGTGCATATGGACTGAAAACTGTAGAGTTCTCCATGCTGCCTCGCAAGGGCCGATATACCGAGCGTTCTGGTATTGAACCACCTCATCAATTGCTTCTTGCTCTACATCAGCAGGGGCAGGTGCGGCAGTGGTATTAGCTGTTGGTGGTGGTGGGTTGCTGATTGCTGTGGTGGTGGTGGTGGTGGTTGTAGCAGGAGCATTGTTTGCAGGCGCAGCAGAACGCATTGCTTGCAGTTGTGCTCTATCTGATCCCTTGGTGATATATTTACACAGATATTTGATCGCACGCGAGGATGTGCATATTTCCACATTGATATGTGCGTCGTATTTGTGGCTCAGATACGGGTTGTATGGAACAACATGGCTGTTGTTGGCTGTGAAGCCACTGCGTGCGAAGCGATGGCTTGCACCATTACGACGCCGTCTATATATAGGATATCCGTCACCATTGACCCTGGTCTCGTTGGAAAATGGCTTTGGATATCGTTGTTGGCACTGACCGTTCAACATACACACTGCATCAGGTTTGTCACGACTACAGGGGCCATGGATCATGCAACTTGTCACTGTACGATATAATTGAGGCTGGGTCACAGGATCAGGCAGCTCCGCACATACAAATCGATCATAATCATTGGGTGTGTGTGGGCGCTCGCTTTCATCCAGGATCAAAAGAATGTGAACGTGTGGCAACCCTCGTTTTTGGAACTCAACAGTCGCCATGTACCCAGCAACACGGCCGAAAATGCTCGAGTCGTTAATGTGATGAAGCAGCTCATCGAGTTTCATTTTAAAGACACGGGTGCACAAATCAGGTCGATCATAAGCGTGCTGGCCAGGCTCCAGCTCGGAAGTAATCTCGGGCCATTTGGGGTTGCATGTGAAGGTGATGAAGAGAGTTGGATTACCCCGTTGACGAATGATAGCAAGGCCGTCTTGAAGCATCTGCTTCATATAGCGTGGACCACCTGTAAAGGATGACGGCAAAATAATCGACCTTCCGATTTGACGTGCGTTTACATTGTCGACAACACCGCTGTACACCTCAGCACGAATCTCGCGTTGGTGCGTCAGGATATACTGTAGGCGTGATGTCTCAATGCGTGCATAATTGTCGACTATGAGCTGCTGGAATAGTCGACCGAAATGATGGTTGTAGGTCTGATGCTCTCCGTCCCGAACCATTAGCATATATGCACAATAATCCAAAAGGGTAACTGAAACGTTGTTGCCGTCATGAGAGTCGCATCGCAATCCAAGGTACCATCCGTTATCGCCGTGTGGGAACATGAGGACGTAATGGAGGGGCATATATGATGCGTGTAGAGAGCTAATTTGCTGCAGGCCGCGCTCACGATCATGGATAACGATATCATGAGGTTGTGCCGTGCCATCTACGCTGTCTTCGACAACCATAGCTGCAACCTCCGGGTGAGCCTGCACATCATATCGTCGACCCATTTCACGCGCAGCGCGGATAACCACCTGGATAGTGCCTACGGGTTGATTACGGTATGCATCTGCTGCAGCAATGAGTGTACGTGCGAACGCGTTATGGCGCTGCATAACTGCCTGAATCGTGTTGATGATATCATTGTTTAATCCCGTGAACATTGTGCTGCGTCGAGTTGTTTGCTCTTGGGTATCGCAAAAGTAAATTTGAGCGAAATTAGCGCGTGTTGGATTGTCGGCTCTAAGTGGCCCGAGACAGTGATACATGGTGCCATTGATCCGAAAAGTTGAAACACCATTTCGTCCACTCGCCAAGTTGGGATCGTGATTGGCGCGAATGGATGCGAAAGCAAACATGCTGTTATAGGCTCGGATATTGGTGTGGAAATTGGTGGCAATAGGGTCGGATGAATCGTGATTAGTGATAAGTGATAACAGCTCTTGTGGTGGTGCGCGAGGGAGGGGTAAGCGTATCTTGCCAGAAGTACAGCAAATACCAAAGCGAGGGTTGGATACAGACGATGCAACTAAGCGCTCATCAATCCACATTTTAGCGTGACAAAAAGAGCATTCGACATTCATAGACTCGAAGATATGACGACGATAGTAGTTGTTGTTAGGCGTGAAGCAAATATTGGAGCCAAATACATTTTGAGGTACAAAAGGCACCCTGCATGCAATCTGGTATTGGGCACCATGTCCAGAGGTGACATTGCGTGAATTGAACGGGCAATTAGCGTGCGAAGAACGTCTATGGTCCGGCGATCCGCAGCTGGCACATCGGCGTGCAGGAACAGGAGGAACTTCAAAAGCTGTTGGAAGATTTACCACGCCGTCATCAGCATTGTCATGCTCAAGTATATCATCTGACATTGTCTCCTCTGCAGTTGTAGTGACAGTTAAAATGTCGTCATCAAACGTTTCCAAAGTTTCTAAATATGTCTAGTATTAATAGTAGATCTAAAAAACATGGACAGGTATAATAATAAGTATACCTTCCACCATGTTATCAAGACTATCTGGACATTCAGAATCAGAAGGGTTATTATGGGTAGTAGAGCCACACCCAGAACAGCGGATAGGGTCAATATTCTAAACGAAAAGTGTTTGGCAACCACACAAAAGGTATAGCTCATAAGTACACAAAAAGCAGCTGAAGCTAAAGCAATTATACATCATTTTCAAAAAGACAGTACGTTATTATCATCATTTTCCTCAATTCTGCGTCGAACATTACGCTCATTCAGCGGACAACCGTGGAAACTTCTTCGAGAATGGGTGGTAGACCCGCAAATGCAAGTTCGAATGGGCATTTCCGTCTGGTTTTACAGAAGTGAATTAGTACTTATACGACGAACGTTTTTGCGATCTGCAGGTGAAGCCAATTATGCCCGAGATTTTTGCTCGTCTTGGTAAATGGCGGGTAACACAACGCAACACACCTCTTCCTGATGATCTCCTTGAGAACTCATAGCTTAGCAAAATAATTGGAGATTGACAACAAATTTTTAAGTTTGAACGTGACAGTAACGCGACAAAGAGAGCGGACCCTTCAAAAGTTATGCTTAAAATGGCAACGATTTCCCAATTGGGTTGATTATCTTTTAGATTATCTAAGTACCAACTTATTTTTAATAGAAGATGCACATCATCACCGGCAGCACTTGTCCATCTTTGTGATAAATATTTCTGCTTCATATGCAATTGGTTTTTACAAATACAGTTTTGTTGTTTATGATACAACTGCTATGTGCGCCTCGGATGCGGCAAAGATACAAGACGCCCCTTTCCAACAGGGTTCATATTACGTTTTGTATCAAAGTAAGAACTTGGCATAGTTTGCTCTAATAACAGAAAAGATTATCATTGCTCATCAAATACAGCTACCCTATTTGAACAAAAAGAAGGTTCGCGATTTTAAGGTTTGTTTTAGCTGTTCCCCTTGCAGTCAACGAAAATCAAGCACATTCTCTGTGGGATCAGTATGATAACCTAGCATCCACGCAAACTTTTTCTTAATGTTCCTGCTGTATTTAGCGACCGAACACATGATGGAGTTTTCCTTGCGTATTAGTGATATATTAGACGTTAAACGAGATTTTTGAATATAATATAACAAAACAAACTTTAATGCACCGAAACCAACAGTTGGTAGTTAGCGCTTTCTAAAGCAAAAGCAAAGAACAAGAAAGATAAAGATAAAGAACAGACAGCAATAAGAAATATCTATATATCTAGAGGCAAAGAGCACCACGTCCGATCATCAAGGACTGTATGCTATCGTACAAGACTACAATAATATTAAATCCATCATACTGTCAATTGCTTCCTTGTGTTTAACCATCGTATGCTGATGGCATTTGTAAATACGTTCTCGTGTCTTTCAACACTTTTCTTGAGTACAGTCATTCCTCAAGGCATGTCATAGTGAGGCTACTTTTAGCAACTGCAGATTGATGGTTGCCCTTCACTTACTGTACATACCTCCAAGTACATGAGCCTTGGTAATACCTTTTTCTCCAACGATCTAATTGCCAGCGTCATTGGAGATCATTATCGAGCCCATACTGTATATACTGTACCGTATAAACTCCTGGTACTGCAATAGTGATGATCATCACCTCACCCTTCCGCTCCTTAGAAGCTTGGAAGGGAAAGGTGATGATGTCTTTTGTCGCGCTCAGATGTGTAAATTTTCGCAATTTGCAATGTCGTCCAGAATGCCTTTCGCCTGGCACAAGACTTGTCGACGTTCAGAAAATAACTTGCTTGAATCAATCCTGACACTTGCCTAACGTTGACTATGTACAACATATACTGGTGGCCATCAACCCCCGGTCATCTTTGCCTTCGCGCAGTCTTTTCTTGTCCCCATTTTTGTTCACACCTTACAGCCAAGAATTTTCAGATGCAGCCATGATGTTCATACAAAGAATGCATTCTTTGAGTCATGAGTATATTGCTAGACCAATGTAACAAAGATCAAGTGTGATGGTCATGATCTGATATTCTCATAGGTGATGATACGTAGTATCCACTTATTACCCAGCTACTTGTATTATTCCACGATATATCCAGCAAGACACACAGAAGACGGCTTGGATCTCAAAATGGGCAAAAGAGCCCCGCACGGATGATCAGTCATGTGAGGTACCCGATTTCGAGAAAGTAGGTGATTATGGAAGGACAGATCTCTTTCCTCTTTTCTACCACTTTGCTTCCTCTTTTTCCTCTTCCTCAAAAGAGAAAGAGCGATAATGTTAGCACAAACAACAAAATGAACAATCGCAAAACGCATTCTCACTCTAAAGACCAGCCTGCAGCAAATGATCATGTACCAGGTGTTTCAGCACCACCGACTGAAATCGATCGATCCGAGTACTACACTCCTGCGTTGACTTCACGCGAGCGGCTCTCTTCTCTATCACAGTCTGGACAGCAACAACCACCGGTCGTCGACAACAGCCTTAGCAGTGGCAACAAGATAGTATCATCCACATACAGTGCAACTCGACGTCACACAACCGAGCTCCAACAAAAACAGCCACCCATAACAACAGTGACCCACGGTCAAGAAAGTAGTAGTAATCACTCTCGCGATCGAGAAGGAGGAGGAGAAGAAGAAGAAAGAAAAAGTAAGTGCTTGGCTCTGGTTTAGAAGCGATGTGAGGTTGGGTGAAGTTTGGTGTGTAGCGGCAAAAGTACATTGGCATAGCTTTCGTATGCATGCTCTCTATGGAACGGAACAGTGGGATTGAGAATGATTTATTTGCAGATCCCAGCAATGGCAAAGAAGCGATTGCGTTGAAAGACGAACCAAACAAAAGAACGCCAGTGATGGTCACGCCAGGTAACAAAATAATTAGAATTAAAGTGTGGGAAAGGAGAGTGAAGGGCTTAAAAAACTACCAAAGCTTAATCTCCACCTCTTCATACCCGACAAAATAAGAATCAACCCTGTCGTCAGATATATCGTGTTCATCCTCGATAGAACTTGTAGAGAACATCGAATTTCCATATATTGATGATGGAACGCCTGATATACTACTGCGTCAGGAGCCTGAAACGGTCAAGGTGGAGAGACCAAAGGGATTTCGACCGTTTGTGCGTGCCAATAGCATGAGCAGCAGCAGTGGCAGCGTTGCTACGGTAACGGTCAACAGCATACGCAGAAAGGTACAGATGGACTTGTCAAAAAGTAGCAGCAACAGCAAGCCAATCTATTTTTTTTCTCTCTCAATATAGAGAAAGGGACCATTGTACTGCTTAACAGTGAATCTCAAGAAGACGTATGAAATCATTGACCCTGAATTCGGATATACCGGACGATCCGATCCGCGTCGCGTCCTTACACGTCCATCAAAGCCTGCCAAAAATGACGGTTTCGACAATGAAAACAGCGACTATATCATTCGAGTTCATGATGTCTTGGGCGCTCCAGGAAATGATCAGTAGGTGGTACCGACTTCTCGTTCTCATAACTTTCTCTTTTTTTTTTTCCATGTTTTGATAAAATCTGCCATAATTATTGTTATTAGGTATAGAGTCATCGATTTGTTGGGAAGCGGTACGTTTGGCCAGGTGGTCAAGTGCGAGCATCTGTCGACACATGAGTTTGTCTCTGTAAAGATTATCAAGAATAAGCGAGAGTATAGGCTCCAAAGTGACTTGGAGGCTGGGATTTTGAAGCAGGCAAGAAATACTATATTTCACGCAAGTGAACAAAGAGCCAGGCTTTTCTTTTTGCTTATTTTGATGTGATGGCGGTTCTATATCATCCACTCTAGTTACATCGAAAACTCCAGCCTCGGGATCGCGAGTATATATTGAAGCTTCACGACACCTTTGATCACAAGAACCATCTTTGCATTGTGTCCGAGCTGCTTTCGTTCAGTTTATACGATCTGTTGATACAAAACAAACTCATGGGGATGCCTCTCCATCTTGTGCGCTCGTTCAGCATACGAATCATTGAAACATTGGGGCTACTAAGAGAAGCAAAGTTCATTCACTGTGATCTCAAACCTGAGAATATTTTATTGAAGAGGTAAAGCATAGAATGGAATTTTGCTGGGAGTAATATAGAGCTGCTGCTGATGGGGTTGGTGAGTACAAAAGATGCTCATCAGAAATATGTGTTTGATAGCGTGGATTCATCCGAGATCAAGGTGGTGGATTTTGGTGCAGCGTGTCATGAAGCGGGCAAGAAATACCTTTATATCCAGTCCCGATTTTATCGATCACCTGAAGTCATTCTCGGGTTACCGTACAGTTATCCTATTGATATGTGGTCTGCCGGATGTGTGATTGCTGAAATGTTTCTTGGAGTGCCTTTATTTCCTGGCAGTTCTGAACACAATCAACTTCGAAGGATTATTGATATGCTGGGGTAAAATTAAATAATTATTTGTGACACCAGAAAAAGGAAAAATGCTTACAATAATTTTTAAATTTTCTAATTAAGATCGCCACCGCCGGATATGTTGCAACGAGGCTCTAAAACGAAGCATTTTTTCAATCAAAAAACGGTAAACGATCAAGACAGACCTACGATATATCGAATGAAGAGTCAGGACCAGTACAGTCGTGAAAAAAATATCGTCAGTGTGCCCTCAAGACAATATCTGCCGGAGATGGGGCTGACCGATCTCATACTCAACTACCCGAATCCATCTTTGTCTTATGCAGATGACGATAGAGATCAAGGTTTGTGTCTCTTATATATATTTTGTGATACACCATGTCTTGTTGTGTGCTTGAGGTCCATGTAGACGGGAAGTACGTAGCTACAAAAGAGATTTATCTATATTCTTGTTTATGACAGAGATTAAACTACGTCGGTCCCTGGCTGATTTCCTAAAGGGATTACTTACGGTTGATCCAGAAATTCGGTGGACACCAAAACAAGCACGAGAGCATCCGTTTATAACCGGGGAGCCTTATACGGGTCCTTATGTTCCCGTCAAAGAGTTAAGCAGGAATACTAGTACAGATAGTGCCAGCAGCAGTGGTGACAAGAATGGCAACAATTGTACAGCAGCAAAATTTACAACCCTGAAGGCAGTTGCAGAAGATGCTCTAAAGGGGGATATCACTGCCACCACCACCACCACTACTGAAGCTGTTACTCACTCCAATACCACTATAAAGACGAACGAAGGTATACTTCCGCGTGTAACAGCAGCAATAGCAGAGCAACAAAGCCAGCAACAGCAACGACCTCATCAGATGCAGCAAGAGCTGCCGGAAAAGCAGCCAATAGCAACGACAACTAAGATACCCGTTACCTCAGTAACAACGCCAGCACAACCACCAGTATTTGCACCAGCGCCTGTCAAAGGAAAGGTACTAGCACGAGTTGCTACCTCACCACAGCGGCAGGATCCTAAGGCCGCACCAGCATCTGCTACTATCACTACTGGAAATGCCCAACAACCAGGCCCAACGCCTATCTTGTTGAACGGAAAAAAATCCCAGCTGTATCCAGTAAACGGCAATCGGATGGCAAATACACTCGGTGGAGGGGATGGCGGTCACAACAAGCGCAACATCATTATCATGCCAGAGGCTACCACAGCCGCAACAACACTATCAGCATCAGCATCCTCGTCCACACATGGTCACAGTAGCTTTGCTGCTGTTAGTAATCCTGTCATCGAAACCTTGCGGATGCACTACAAACATGATGGCTCACCTGCAGGCGCAGTCTGCCTGACCTCACCACCGATTCTGACCACTACAGCTACAGTCACCACTGATGCTGTTAACAACAACAACAACAACAACAACAACAACTATGACTACAGTAATATTAAGTATACCAATAACAGCAATAACAATGATAATAGTAGTAGTAATAATCATAGTAATGGCAACAAAAAGAGCAATCACAGCGAACCGGATATATCGAGACGGGTCAAGATTGCACCGTATGTCAAACTTCGTTGTGGCTCGCATGATTCATTTCGGATGCCGGATGAAATCCACTATAACTATGGATCGACGACGACTGGCACTGTGAGAGCGACAGGAGGAGCAGGAACAGCGACGACTCTGCTCAGTGGACTCTATCAGCACGACAACGCGAGTCGGGTCAAGTTGAATAGCGTTGACAGCACTGGAAGCCGGGACAACAGTGACACAAGTGACATCACGCCGAGCAAAAGCAGAATGGCAGCAAGACATGCTGGAGAAGCAGCAGGGGGGCTGTTGATGATGCGGGACAAGAAGCAAAAGAAAAAGGGCTCTTGAAAAAAAAAAAAAGAGATCTACGTTACACGAATCCAATGAAAAAGAGTTGCGGGATGCCAAAAGAACTTGTAAATTATCTTTATTACTATTTGTATAGCACATGGTTTATTGCTCCTTTGTGGATCGTGCTTTTCATGATGACGCTGCTGCTGCTGCTGCTGCTGCTAGATCGCTGGGCTGGGCAGGGCAGGGCAGGGCCAAGAGGGAGACAAAGAGAGCCAGTGGGGGGGCCGTGGTTACCGTTGACAAGGCAACGTAGGTGAAAGATGTCAAACGTGCGCTAAACCAGACCAGGTTAATACGGGTGTGCTTGGATTGGTAAGCCCCGATTTTAAAAATAATCCCTATTTTTATATCACCAGCCAAAAAAAAAAAAAAGAGCGGCCTTTTTATTTGCAGTAACAGATAATATGAATGGTCGATCCGAGAGAGAGACGCTGTGTGTTCCATTACCTGTAGCCTGGTCCCTCCATCCTCTCTCTCTCTCCCTCTCCCTCTCTCTCTCTCTCTTCCTTTCAGTATACCAAACTGACCGCCTCTCTTCCTTTCTCTTGAACGTTCCTCTCTATCTCTCTCTCTCTTTCTTTCTTTCCTTAATCATTCTACTTGATTATGCTAGATCCCACATTAGCCGATCCTTCGCCTACTGCCAAACCAGTAGCGACGAAGAAAGGGAATCAGCAGCAAGGAGGTACCGGCATTCCGGATTTTGTCAAGAAATTGTTTTGGTAAGACAATTTGCCCCAATCTTCAGCCGTGTCGAATCGTGGCAATACACCCTCCCTCCCCCCAAAAGAAAAAAAAAGACCCTGTTTTGGACAACTCCAAGTAACTGAGTAAGAATAATATAAAAAGTAAACTAAACTAAATGTGCCTGTATACAACAACAACAACATAGCATGCTGGAAGAATGCATATATCCTCACATCTTTTCGTGGAGTGCAAAGGGAGATACGTTCGTTGTCAAGGATCCAAGCGAGTTCGCCAAAGTGATCTTACCGAATCACTTTAAGCATTCCAACTTTTCCAGCTTTGTCCGTCAGCTCAACAAGTACGACTTTCACAAAGTACGGAACCCTGATGATCGACGTCGTCGTGTGTACGGTGACCAGGTAAAAATCTACGGCTTCAAACGGGGTGCTCGACTCGTGGACAGACATTCTCCACTCGCTTTCGTGTTGTCAACCTTTTACTTACAAAGATAGCTCTACAAAACAGGCCTGGGAATTCCAACATCCCAATTTCAAGTACAACCGAAAAGACCTCCTGGAGGGCATCAAGGTAAAGTAGCCTAGAACATCCTGATCGTGCCGAGTATTGTTTGTTTTTCTCAATGTCCCCTAGAGAAAAGCAACAGGCAAAGCAGCAGCAGCAGCTGCACCACGCGCGGCTGGTAGCGAAGGAGCATCGGATGCATCTGACAACAACAACCGCGGGTCGTCGCCATCGTCCTGCACGAAGCACGAACTCAAGGAAATCGCCGTCAAACTTCAAGAACAGATCCAGCAACTCCAGCATAGCCAGACCAAAATGGGTGCTCACATGCAAGCATGCGACTTAAAGTACAATGCAGTGGTCGATGCGGTTGAGAAATTCCGAAGCAACATGGCTGCTCAGGAAACATTAATGCGCGATATCATGCAGCATTTAATGGCGACTTTTAATGGTACGAAAGCGCAAACGCGGGAGAGAGAGAGAAAGAGAGAGAGAGGGGGGGGGGAGAAGGAGAGGCGTTTTCTTTTGTCAGTCAAGTGTGGTGGAACATCAGTAATAAAAATAGTAATTGAAATGTGGATATAAACAGAGAACAGCAGCGAGAGTCCGCCACCCGACATGCAAAAGCTGTTACAAACGTATAACAAAGTGTCACAAGCGAATAGCGATCAAATGAACCGGATATCAAAGCTCGTGGAGCACGTGCAACACGACACTGCAGCAATGGCACCACCGCAAGCAACAACAACAACAACTGCTATTACTACTACAGCAGCATTACCATCATCATCAAGCAGTACTGCCACTACCATTCCGTCGATGGCCCCTGCCCCTTTTACTTTTGCAGTTCAGAACAACGCAAGCAGCAGCAGCAGCAGCAGCAGCACTAATAGTAATAACCCATACCTCTCATGCCCAACACCGTCGATTCCTCAGCCAATGCCCTTGAAAGTCGCCATGTCTCCCTCGCTGCGAAGGAAATCCAATATCCTCCCGGGCTGGTCAATACCCCCTCGCGTGCTGCTGGTCGATGACGATCTGATCTTTCGCCGCCTCTCCACCAAACTGCTGCAGGTAGCAGGCTGCACCATTGACGTTGCTGCCGATGGTCTGGAGGCAATCACAAAGCTCGGATCCGGATCCTACGACATTGTCTTGATGGTATGCCTTTTTTGATAGAGTCTACATGGATGAGAAAACCTCACGATGGGGATGTTGTGTGGCTTTGCTCACCCCAACCAATAAACACATGTAGGATATCATGATGCCCAAATTGGATGGCATTTCGGCCACACGGAACATTCGGCAATATGATACGTGGACCCCTATCATTTCCATGACATCCAACACGACGGATCGCGATGTCCAGGAGTACATTTTGAGCGGCATGACCGATGTACTACCCAAACCATTGGATCAGCGGACGCTGCGCAAGCTGTTGGAACGCTATTGCGCCCATCTCAAGGCGGTTCGCCAAGGCTACTACGGCAGTGCGCTTGAAGGCACACCGCATGCCATTGAAGCTGCTGCTGCTGCTGCGGATGACAGTCATGGCAAGGGCAAACAGCCCATGATTGCCACTCCACCTGTAATAATATCAACCTCGTCTTTTCTCGACTCAATGCAAACTGACGCAATACAACCACTGGAACATCAACAACAACAACAAGCACATAATCATCATCATACTCATCATCATCATCAGCTACAACATCCGCATCATCATCAAGCACCGCAAGATAGCTCAAGCCATCGGTGGCAGGTCTTTGTAAATAACGCACACTTTGTCCCCACTGCTGCTAGTGCTGCAATGTCCCACCCGCCGCCACAGCTAACACAGTTGGACGACGACGACAACGACGACGACGACGAGAGTCGTGCGTGGAAGAAGCCAAAGTTGGCAACTACTATTAACAACGAATGAGTCAAAGGACCAACAGCAAGAGGAATGAATAAAAAGACGTTTTACTACTTGGCTCATGCATCATAGTTAAGATAAAGGCAGCAGGGCAATAAAAGAAGGCTCCTTTAAATCATTGCTTTTTTGCCCCAATAAGCACGTACACACCACACACACACACACACACAACATGTACGGTTGATTTTGAAACAATAACAACCATGAAATTGCTGCTCTATTTGGGTGCTGCACCACCCCTCCCCCCCCTCCCTCCCTCTCGCTCCACTCCCTCTTTCTCTATTTCTTTCACGCTCACTCCACACATCTCTCTCTCTCACCCACACTCACACCACACAGAGTAAGCGCCCCACCAAAATCGCAGCCCCGTCAGCCGCGACCTTTGATTTTTTTTTTTTGTTTTATTTTCTTTGATGCGGTCGTCTCTCGAAACTTTGTTCTTTTCTTTTCCCTTTTTTGACTCATTGCAAAAGTTAGCAACAGACAGAAGCGAATGACCAACACCAATGCAAACCTAGTGATCGCACCATTGTCGTCGTCTACTGCCGCGAATTCAGGTGTCGCTCACCCCAACGAAGCACTGCCTGGCGCTGCTGCTGCTGCTGCTGCTGCTGCTGCTCAACAACAACAACAACAACAGACAGGTGACATTGTGTTTGACGATGGTCAAGGCGATGATGAAGACGAAGATTCAAAACCATCCCCATCACAGCCTACCAAGAATAAACACGCTGGACGACGCAAGATCAAAATTGAATACATTACAGACAAGACACGTCGGCACATTACCTTTTCCAAACGTAAGGCTGGAATCATGAAAAAGGCAAGTGTGTACTCTCTACCTATGTGTGTGTGTGTTGTTGTTGTTGTTGTTGTTACTCTATTTACGCTGTTGTACTGCCTCCTTAAACTAACTCCTTCTTGAAAAAAAACAAAGGCCTATGAGCTGAGCACATTGACAGGGACTCAGGTATTATTGCTTGTCGTGTCTGAAACAGGGCTTGTGTATACGTTCACCACGCCAAAGCTACAGCCGCTGGTAACCAAACCGGAGGGCAAGAATTTGATCCAGGCTTGTTTGAACGCACAGGATTCACCGGTGGAACAGCAGTCGTCTCCTTATGTAGGTTTATGGAACAATAAATTGTGCATTGTCGTTATTCTTACTGGGAACCCTATTTTCCATCCGTTTTTGTAGTAAACGCCCCTCGCTTTTTGATGGTATTGTTAATATTACATAGGATCTTCGTCAGGGATGGCTCCCACGTTGATAACCAGTATCCTTGATACATACACTTTCTGACAATACACATCCCACCCTCCCCTTCCCCCACCCCACCCCACCCCCAACATCACACACGGTATATACAACACTCCATGCGCGCAGACGATCAACTCTTCTTTGACAACGACAGCAGCAACAGCAACACTACGGCAGCCACACAAACACAAAGCATCTATATATTATTATACCAGGATCCCATTCTTTTTCTTCTTCATTTCGTTCAACCAACTTTCCCCTCCCCACTCTTTTTCTTTTTCCCCACATAAAAAGATCCTCAGCTTGATGCAATTATGTACAATTTGTCTCGTTAATCATGACTGCTATACTAATACAGCCATTTTGTGGACTGCACATTGTGAACAGGGGCGGGATGATCATGATGGTACGTGTGTAGAGCGACGCAGAAAAGGAAAACGAAGATTGAAAGCTAGTATACGTAGGGAGAGCATGTGACAAGATCATGCGTCTATTTCCGGGTGCACACAACAACAGATCGTCTGAGATAAAGAATCTCATGTACGAGATGGTGATGCACCAACCCATACAATAATATGCATTCATCAAATTGCATCATAATCCATGGGGAGGCAAATATTATTGGAGTTTTGCTAGGATTGCATATATATATATATATATATATATACAATCATAGATACTAAAAGACGTTGAGAGGAGTCTCTTTGAGCGATGTGAGGTTGTGTCTACCGTTCCCAAAGCAGTACAGTAGAGCAATCAGATGCTCGTGGACGTGTGTTACATTCTTAAACTTGCTGTCACCGTTGAAGGATTGACTCTTGGCCCTGATCGATGAAAACATTGCCTTTCAGGCCAATATCGCGCTTTTCAGTCCCTGGGACAGCAGCAACTTGAGGCTGCCCAGACTTTTCTTCTACAATGTCAATCTTTGGTTCTTTGGATTGCCATCATACTATCTCGCGATTGCACAAATCCAAGTCGGTTGGAGCCCAAAAAACTCGTATTGGAATTCTTCGCTGGAATCAACAATCGCATCTTTTAAATTTCTTGGGAAGCATAAATGGGATCACAGAAGCCCTTAGTTTTCGTACAGTCAGTCTCGACTCCAAGTGGGGCGGATTTAATTTATTAGTACTTTACCAGCAGTGTCTTTTTTTGGCTACTACTATCCGGAAGCATTGATACTCCAAAGAAAGACCGAATATTGCATGGTTGATGGAATCCAGTTGTTCATATATACGAATTGACTGCCACTAAGAAATCAAGAAGAATCACAATTGTTAAATAAGCGATGGAAACACACAAGAACACACACGATATATACGCTCATTCCAAACCTTGGCTGATCATTAGCTTCACCAAACCCTACCCACCTCCAGATTTGTCATCTGTTCCAGAATTCTCTGATCTTGTCATATGGCCCACTGGTTTTATTTCGTTTCGCCAAATACAGCCATGTAGCTTTGATTGTGCATTAACAATAAATCTATCGTAGTATAACAATTGGATACTTATGGATGAAGAATAGAATTACTTGGTGATACGACAAGGTATGCGTCCAACAAGTGAATATCGACTTTTGTCTTGTTGAAGCTAACCGACGGATGTCTGCTGTTTTGACATAGGAAACCATGTTGTCCAAAATCCATGTCGTAGAGCAAAGCCTACAAGTACTTTACAAAAGAACTCATAAACGCCCAATAGGCCAGAGTATATGGTAGGCAAATCATCCTACATGGCATAAACCACATTGAAAGGGTAAGATCATTTTGCTTGATCGGCCCATATCGTTACACAACTGAATACATATGTACAGAATTTAAAATCCAAGTCTTTTTTCCAAAACAAAAGTTAAGGAAAGCTTAGAGTCTATATTTGTATATTACGAATTAGTATGTCCTGGATATGAGTTAACTTTGCAAATGCAAAAGAGTATACTGTGATACACAAAGTGCATAGAAATATAAAGTATATTGTGGCCGTAGGATGGAAATGCTCTTTTTTTATATCAAGAAATCTGGTATGTCCTTTTGAATTGAATTTCTTCAAGAACCGATTTTCCGTCTTCATAATACTATATCATACCATCAATTTAGTAGCTGATAGTACTCTATACAAGAACTTTGCACATCACTCATTATTCTTACCGGAAAGTTATAGTCCAACGCAGCCTTAGCATACTCTTCTGCTTCCATCCATTCTGATTTATTCAGATAATATCGAGCAAGGAATAATCCTGCCTCTGCGATCTCTTCGGTATCTTGCTATATAATCACATGTGTGTTTGAGAGCTTTTTCTTCCAATAAAAAAATATCACTCCCTGGTTGCTTTTCCCCCATCTCCTCCTTTCACACCAAACTTACCCCTTCTTCCACATATCGATCAAAGGCACGGCGATAATACTCCGCTGCTGCACTGCTTTCGCCCAATTTATTATACGTCCGTGCCAGTTGGATCATAACCCTCGGCTTTGCTTCTTTATCGCATGCTGCTGCCCGTTTATACCACTTGATCGCTTCTTGGTCTCGCTGTAGCAGTTCATAGCAATCACCGAGTGCTTCCCACATGCGTGCATCGTTTGGTCTAATCAATAACCAAATGTCAGAAAGTAGAAATAACTACACACAAGTTGGTTTGGGTTCGCAGCCCTTTATTCCGACTATGCGTACCTTAACTCTGTACTTTTCTGGTAATAATGCGTCGCGTAAAATGGCAAACCGAGAATTTCATATGCTTGGCCAAGACCATACCATGCTCGATAATCACGGCTATTTAGATCTTTTTGATCTGTTAATCACATAGGCTATCGAAGGAAAACCAATTATACCCAATAAAACATAGACTAAAACCATATATATCTCACCAATTGCCCGACGATAACATTCAATTGCAGCGTGCATGTTCTTCATTTCAATATGATCATGTCCAAGTAGCGTCCATGCAAGATGGTAGTTGGGATTCAAGGCTAATGCGCGCTTAAAATATTCTACCGACTCTGGGAGTTCGCCTCTTGCACTGTGATAATTGGCTGTAATATGATCAAAGACAAACATTAATAGCCCATACACAAAACCCGTATCAGGGAAATAGAGTAAACCGACATTTTTTTCTGTTTTAGTACATAACTTTACCTACTATACAGCATGTTTCTGGGCGATATTTGTCTATTCTCGTACATTGATGTGCAAGTACACTGAGTTTCGTACGAGATCCTTGGAGATACAGCAAATTTGAATATATATCCATGTCTTCTAATCGACATGGATTTTCTTGTCGTATTTGATCAAATAATGCTTCCGCTTCATTATAATCTAAGCCAACAGGAAAACTCAAACATTTTAGTTTTTCTTTTTTTCCGTTATCCTTCTCTAAACCATAGTATGTACAAACATTGTTCTTACCAAACATATCGTAAAATGCTGTTGCTAATTGTGATTTGACAAAAATGCTATTCTCGAAATGGTTTAGAAGGGGAGTCATAAAGTTCCAGAATGTTTCATGTGATAAATTGATCTCTAGTGCTCTGCGCGCAAAGAAAAAGCTTTTGATGATACTATTGGGCATTTGTTCGTTCAACACTTGCTCTAGATCATGAAACTATTATATCACAGTCTTTCACGGTTAGAATTTTTTTCTTTGTCCCCTCTGTCACATTCATGCAAACCCAGAATCCAGCCAAAAAGATCAAACCTGTTTTCTACTCGTAACAAGTGCACCCAGTTCTATCCAAGCCGACCAGTTGTACTCGTACTTTTTCAGCGAAGAAAGTAATGCAACAGCTGCTTTATCATTGAACTCGCGCTTCCGTAATACAGTTCCGTATCTTTCATGATACAAAGTAGTAATTTTTTTTAGGAGAAGGGTTCGATCATGTTGCCACATCGAAAAAGTGCAGTAAGCTTACAAATAGAGATTGAAAGCATCCAACTTGTCTTGGTCATGATACTGCTTTAATTCCTTGTAGATAGCATCGAGCTCGGCATTTTTCGCATGTGAGTTTTCGGAAACGTCTGAATAATACATGCATCCAATTGTTTAAAACATCAAGCCAATACTTACAAGTTCACTACGTTGTTAAACCCCTCGTGCTATCTATCCATCATTGCCAGCTAAAATAAATGAATGTCTACCTAACATATCGTGTATCCGTTCATTTTTACGCTTTTCGCCAGCCTATACGCAGACCCATCCATGAGAACATCCATCTTCAGTAAGGATCCACGATAATAACCATCTCGATCACATCCTAACCCCCCACAATTCACCTTTTTACTTACCAGAAACTTTGCATATAATCGTAGAAACATCAGCCGCGGATGTGTATAATCTTTCAAGATAAAGGCCACATTATCATACTGCTGCATTCGAAATAACGCACGCGCATATTGATATTTATTGTACTCCTTTTCCGAAAGTGGTTTTAACGACGACTCATAATCTGTACAAACAAGTGCTGTTTCGGCGAGATCGGGCGGTTGTTCGGACGCGATTCCGTCAAGAATCTCTGTCGCCCTGAGAGAGAGAGGACACGTTTGATTAGTTAAAATCAAACGACAAGGAGGAGGAAAATTCATATTTCGAATGCCTCTTTTTTGATTTACCATTGCGCGGACAGTGTCAAGCACCGTTCGCGACAGACTAGAATAGCCTGTCTTAATTGAGAGCGGAACCTGTCAATGTCGTTATCACTGAGTTCTCGGCTAGGTCGTAGTATCTCTGTCATTCTTTGATCTTTTCACGGGAAAGGGTGGAGGGAGGAAAAGGTGAAAGGACCAACTTTTTTTTAAATATGCGCGTTTTGACCTAGAGACTGACCATAATGCCGTCCTATAAGTGGAAATTATTTACCTAGTAATCGGAAGTCCTGTCGGAAGGCTCGCAAGAAGCCCTTTCTAATTACAATGCTGGCCTCAAAGCATACAATACGCATGATACGACTGGAGCAATAAGTATAGCTTACCAGTATACAGTCGGGGGAGCCCTTGGTACATTTCTTGACCTTAACTTATAATATGAATATGTAATAACATCGTTATGGTTGGCGCCCTGACCTCAGTAGCTAAGGTTCCCTAGAACGGCAAATTCTACGGGTATGGTTTCGAGACACAAGTTCTGTTCCTTAGATATTAAGCTAGGGTAGTTCAATGTCTGATATACATCTCAACAGTATGATTACTTATTAACTCCATCAACCTCATTATAGAACAGACCAACAGGACATGAATCATAATGAAAATAAACAACAAAAAAATAGGAACGAAGAGGAAAGTAATGCTCAAGTCATTGTCTCTCCCAGTTTCAGCAAATTGTGTTTTTGCTAATGTAATGATTATTTCTTATTTTAGTTTAAGTAGTCTACAAAGGATTGATAACAGCAATGTTAAACGAGGCAATAGATGGAACCTTTGAACACTTCTTTAATCAAAGCATGATGTCGTTCTATCCCATGTAATTACTACTTCTTGTATTATTATATTTTTCTTTATACTTATATTAACTTGATATTTAATATTATAAATTAAGTATTTAGGAAGAAAACATAAAGTTCAAAGAATATGACTTTGAAAACTGTGAACGATTTCTGTTTGTGTGTGTGTGTGTGTTCTTGTGCGTTTCATCGCGTATATGTTCTCAGCAACAGTTAATCCGAGTATATGTGAACAACTGGATGCCATCAACCATGCAATATTTGACCTATTTTTTGGAGCACCCATCCATTTCAATGATTTACGGATAGTAGCAAAGATGACTCATTCAAGTTCGATGACAAAGATAAGCAAGAGCTTCTACCATCTCATAATAATGCCCTCCGAAGCATCCGAAGCAAAATAAGAAATGGGAAGAAAGATGCGATTATTGACTCCAACAAAAAATCCCGCAGCAGGATTCCTGGCTCTAAACGACTTACATCAAACCATTGTACAGCCTGAAGATAGTATCATCGAAAACATGGCATTCATTGGACCAAACGTCGACATCGTAAAACAAAACTCTGGTTCAAGATGCTGTCAGGCTACCAGGGATTGAAAAGCGAGATATTGGCATGAAAGGCAATATTTTATCCATCAGGACCAAAAGTCGACTGTTCAGTGGTGACAGAAAGAAAATGCAACACACGCCATTATAATCGCCAATCACGCCACCTGTATCTCCACAAGCATCTGATTGCTCTACTGCTTTTGTGAGCGGCAGACTCAAGATCACAGTCAAACTCACATCGGTCGAAACGATTCCGCTCAGCATCCTCTGATACGCCCTGTCAATACTCCCGAATTTATATATGTAATCCTAGCAGAATATTGACATCCTCACCATTGATAATAGTGTAACTTGATGAATGCATATATGTATGGATGGTGCGGTGTCGTTCCATGCTCTCCCTACATATATAATCGTTCAGTCGTTCCCCTCTTCTACCTCGCTCAACCCTGCACACATGCATACACACGCATCATCCTCGCCATCTTCTTCATCTTCACCCGTACCTGTTCGCAATAAGCAGCCGATATACTGTATTGGTATAGCAGCTATGAAAAATGAAAAACTGTACGAGACAAATTATATATACTTGCGTCAAGCTGAAAGAGCAATCTCTGTCTGTGGGATTTTCTTATATGAAAAAAAAAGTGGAAAACGTTCCTTGAAAAACACCATGATGGAAAGAAAGAATGGGATCCTGGTGTATGATATATAGATGCCTTGTGTTTGTGTGGTTACTGTTGCTGCTGTCGGCATATTATAGTAAACTCGCAAATCCTCTTCATCAACAGCATAAAAGTCACTTTGACATGTGTTTGGGATGAAGGTTTGCCAGATAACACGCAAAGGCAGTCAAAAGGTACTATCCAAAGGAGGTACAAAGGCATCACTGATATGATATTATGTGTATTAACACAATTCACGTGTATCATATTCCAGAATTTTTGATCAATGGGTTAGGCTAACTACTAAGAGTCGATAAATGTAATTGCTAAAGAAGATTTATCCGATTTTGATGTGTATAACGTACGACACATGGCCCGTGCGCGTACCAAAATTAATTACTATCTTTGTAATTTCTACGGTGAAGACATCGATCCGGCAACTCGGCGACCTTGCACAAAGACATGGGCGAGTGACTGATCGCTCCCATTAAACAAAAACTTCTCGACCATCTGCAGAGGCGTCTCGTTACCCATTAGATCCACAGGGCCTTGGCTATCCAGATCCACGACCAATGCATCAAAGGCCTTGCCAACTACGAAATTGCCAGTGGTATCATGAAGACCGAGTACCCGAGCACCGCCCAACGTTGCCAAATACACGAGCTCAGCCGTTCCCAAATGCTCATAATCCTGCTTGCGATCGCGATGGGCCATAAGTGTGCACTTGGAAGCAAAGAACGACGACCGAACTGCATCGAGCATCGATGGTGCAAATCCACCGGCGACATCCGTACCCAGACCGACCTTGATGCCCTTGTTCAAGAAGCGGCGCACATCACACACGCCACTGTGCAAAGAAAAGTTGGAATTGGCGCAATGTGATACACCCGTGTTGTGTTTGGCAAGCATATCAATCTCGTCATCCGTCATGTATACACAGTGGGCCATGTAGCTCTTTTCGCCAAGCAGACCGTGATCTGCATAAATACTGGTGTAGTCTTTTGATTCAGGGAACAAGGAGCACGTAAAGTCGATTTCGTTGGGGTTTTCACAGAGGTGTGTCTGAATCGGCACGTCGTGTTCTTGAGCCAACTTGCCTAGGCCATGCATTAATGCGGATGAACAGGTGATGGCGAACCGTGGTGTTACGACGGGTGTGATGATGGTCTTTTTCGATTGTGTGTACTCGATGAATTCTCTGGTATCGTTCAAACTGGCTTCTGTGGGTTCAATGTAGTAGTCAGGGCTGTTTTGATCCATGTTAACTTTGCCGACATAGGCACGCTGGCCCAATTGTTCGATAGTGTCCACAAGTAATTTACAGGCATCCAGGTGAATTGTTGCAAACCAGCTGCAAGTCGTAGTGCCATTGCGTAGGAATCGCGACACGACCTTGTTGTATGCGTCTTTGGCAACCGCTGGCGACTTGAACGAGGATTCCGCAGGGAACACGTATGTGTTGAGCCATTCGAGGAGCTGCAGATCCATGCCCGAGCCTGCAAACACGTATTGTGGTGCATGCTATATTGTTTTTAACAGAATTAGTAGCTATCCCAACAAGCACAGCATATCTGTCTACTGAAAAGCAGGAGACTCACAGCGTGTGTATCTACGAAGCCGGGAAACAGGAATTGCTGTGGCGTCAGTCGATGCAGCTGGGGGGAACGTCAGTGTTACTTGATAGATTAATCAGGCCCTTTCTTGAGAATATTTGCCCACGCAACAAAATCTGCTAAAACCAACCTTGTACGGCCGATCGAGCCTTTCTAGAACCTTGACAACGTCTTCCACTTCACGCTCCATGGTAACAATGCTGCCCGTGTCATTGTCCACTACGAGCAGGCCATTGCACACAATGTCAAGTTGATTCAGCGAGATTGAATGCACAATGGTACCATAAAATGCGTTGTAAGTCATGTCTCAAGAAACAAATTAGTTAATGATAAGTAAGAAAAAAGAAACAACAAGGGAAATAAAAAAAGGGGGATCTCATATGTGTTTTTATAAGGGTCTTGAAAAGACTGAACGGTATTTTTAGAGGCAATGATAACCAGTGGCGGATCGATTATAGACTCTATTTTCGGTTATACTGCCTTAATGCACACAAATCTGTAAGAGGCCACAGAGAGAGAGAGAGAGAGAGAGAGAAAGAAACGCCACGATGCATGCGCATCACATACTAACAAAGATTCTCTTTCTATTTTGTTTGTTATGGTTGTGAAAACATCCAAAGAATGATCTAAGAAGCTAATATTTTTTACGGAAATTCATCCGCTCGGGTTATAAAGTGATGCTATATGGGGTTTCCTTTCTTTCTTGTTCAACGCAAACGTAACCACTACTAAAACTAAACCAGAAAAGCAAGGATATAACCATGGCTGAAAGGGGAGGGCTGTCGCCACCGAGATCTGATAGACATCATCCGCAGACGCTATCCATGCTGGTAATGCTTCATATGCAGCAATGTTTCAGCCGTAAGATATCAACTCACGTCCTTTTTATAATAGGATTTTAAAGGCGCGCAATATGCTGCAGCTGCGAAATCCGTCAAGGCCGAGCTCGATCATTTAAAGAGTCAGGCGGGTACTGACCGTAAAGTAAGTTCGGCGCATATTGCATTAAAGATAGCAATTATAGTTTTAATCTCTTGATCTAATCATCAGCGATGGTGTTATGTAGCTCAAAACGGAGATGGATGCCTTTTATCTATTATTTACCCGTTATCTGGACGATACTGCCAAAGGCAACAAACTGTAAGCATTTCTTAATATGTCGAATGAGCGTTGAGAGCATATCAATAACATCCAACGAATTATGCAGTGATTGGGACAAGATCCAATCCCCTTCTGAAGAGCAAATTGTGCGATATGACACTATCCCAAAAGCTGGTGCAGAAGACCTGTCAAAGCTTGCCGTGCTCAAACTGAACGGCGGCTTGGGAACAACGATGGGCTGTGTTGGACCCAAATCAGCGATCGAGGTGCGCGACGGCATGACGTTTCTTGACGTGAGCGTGCGCCAGATCGAATACCTCAACAAAAAGCACAATGTGGACGTGCCGTTCATATTGATGAACTCATTCAACACAGACGACGAGACCAAACGTATTGTCAAGAAATACGAAACGCACAATATCAGTATCCATACGTTTGACCAGAGCAAGTATCCCCGTATCAAAAAAGAGTCGCTCTTACCTGTGCCGCGCAAGCCGGGTGCACCCATTGACCAATGGTATCCGCCTGGCCACGGTGATCTTTACGAATCCCTCTACAACTCGGGCATTCTGGATCAGTTGTTATCGCACGGCAAAGAATATCTATTTGTTTCCAACGTGGACAACTTGGGCGCCACGGTCGATGTGAACATCCTGCACCACATGATTGAAAAGGATATGGAGTTTATCATGGAAGTCACTGACAAGACCAAGGCCGATATCAAGGGAGGCACATTGATCGATTATAATGGCCAGATCCGGCTTTTGGAGATCGCCCAGGTGCCCGATGAACATGTGGAGGACTTCAAGTCGATTAAAAAATTCCATATCTTCAATACCAACAACCTGTGGATCAATCTGAAGGCGGTCAAGCGGATCATGGACGAGGACGCCCTGGATCTCGAGATCATTGTCAACAACAAGTCTACGGATAGCGGTGAAAAGGTCATCCAGCTCGAGACTGCAGTAGGTGCTGGTATCAAGCATTTCAAGAATGCCCATGGCGTCAATGTTCCTCGTAACCGCTTCCTGCCGGTCAAGTCAACTTCGGATCTATTCTTGGTCACGTCTGATCTGTACTCGCTGGTGCACGGCGAGCTGTCCATGAACCCCCAACGCATGTTCCATACAACGCCTCTGGTAAAACTTGGAGATGAGTTCAAAAAGGTCAACAACTTTTTGAGCCGGTTTAAGAAGATCCCTCATATTTTGGAGCTCGATCATCTTACAGTGACAGGCGATGTCACGTTTGGTGCAAAGGTCGAGTTGCGTGGAACGGTAATCATCGTCGCCAATCATGGCGAGCGCATTGATATTCCACCCGGCTCTATCTTAGAGAACAAAGTGATTACGGGTAACTTGCGAATCCTCGATCACTGAGTTAGCATTACCAAGATATGACACAGCAGCAACAAACATGCGATACTTTTTTTGATTTACAATTTATTTTATATAAATCTATAAAGAGTAATTTCTAAAGCAGAAACGTAAAGATAGGCAAGAGAACGTGCTAAAATGTTGCGTATGTGAATGCATGCATGTTGGTTCGCTACACGTGTGATGGTTACAGAGGAGTATGTGGCATCATGCTAATAAGAACAAGGAAAAGAAAGAATATATGGAATACAGAATAAGAGAAATATGTGTGTTGTGCGTGTGTGCGAATATATGAATGAAACAGTAAAGGAAGATAAAAGTGGGTAACAAGCTTATGTATTCCATGTCTGTGCAGTTGTAGGGGATGCTCCAATTGAGTAAGATTGTGGTGGTGCAGTAGGGGATGCTCCATTTGAGTAAGAATGTGGTGAGACAAGCGCTGACTGAGCGGGTGCATTTGGATCTGGTACGTAGCTTTGCATTGTTGGATACGCGAATGAATTGGCTATAGATGGAGGTGCTGCTGATGGCCTGCTAGCATCAAACATAATCTGTCCGAATAGCGCACTGTCGTTGAGGAAATCGAAGCTGTCAAAGTCTATATCACCGGGCATTATACCATAGTTCGGAAGGTCGTCATTGAGTATGGATGAAAATGCAGGTTGCTGTTGCGGGGGCGGTTGTGGTTGAGGTGCTGGTTGTGATTGATGATTCTGTGGTGGTGGTGGTGGTGGTGGCACTAACTGTGGTTGTTGATGCTGTGGCTGCTGCTGCTGCTGTATTGGTTGAGGTTGTTGCACTGATAGCGTGTCCCGTTGAGGAATTGAGGTCATTGCATTGATACCATTTGGAGGTGCAGCAGCAGAAAAGTAAGATTCGACTTTCGGATACTGGAAGTCGTTTGGTGTGCCTGATGGGGTTGCAGTGGTAGTTCCTGACGGCGTCATTGTATCAACTGGAGGTGTGTACGTTGAGTTGTCGGTCTTGAAGTCATACGGAAATCCTTGTCGTTGTTGAGGCTGGTACAATCGGCTATGCGCGACCAAGAGATCACTTGCCGTGCTTGCAAGCCTTTCACACATGGGCCAGTAAGGTTTCAGTCCCTAATAATATCCAGATGCGATCGTTTAGCGTTTTTGTTCAGCTCACGCTTCAGCCGAAACAATAGAAGAAAACCTACGTCAATCAAATCATATAAGATCTTGAGAGCATTGCTACTCTTTCGGCAAGCATCAGGTCCTTTGGAGAACGTAGATGTCATGAGCACAGTAGCGAATACATAAGCAGAATATCCCATGAATGGCAACACATTGTAACCACATAGATCACGCATGGAGCGGAACACGCCAGTGCCTGTCCGAACGCTTGTCTTACACGTGTCAATGCTGGCCTGTATGGCGCGATATACGTCCGGATCCACATCACCCGGTCGAATGTCACCGTATGCCAAACTGCCACGATGTAAGACCATCAACGAAGAGCACCACACTGCATGTATTGACAACCAAATGTTAAAGTATGTGAAGCCGGCACTGTCCTTGTGAAAATCGAGATTCTTTGGTGTAAATTGGAATCGTTCAGGCAGATTGTCTTTCCATAATCGTAACCGTGTATCCAAACCCGCATATTCTGGAACTGGAGGCCATTGGATCGACGTCGAATCCGACTTTGACCGACTCATGACCGTGTTGACTTCACCAAAAATCTCCATAATCTTCATGTAATGTCGTGAAATGTCCATGAGTGAATCGTTGGCAATGCGTTTGTTGGTCGCAGAAATGTTCGAGTCGGAATCACGCAGCACCATGCTTTCTGGAATGCTGGGTGGGTGTGCATCGACTTCGCTTTTCGTGATACTTTGTGGTCGGTTCGTGCCGGCACTGGTAAATCTTACACCGAGAATAGGAGAAGTTTAAAATAAGTTAGCTCATTCATCTTTCTCAAAAAGTAGAGAAATGGAAAGTTTTGTCGTACTTGTCGATACCATAGCAGCTCCAGAAAATACGTCGACGTAGTGACATGGCAACCGTATCTATCGTACCGTCCTTGGATAGGATGGGTGTACTCAGCGTCTCTTCCTTGTTCAACCCAAGTTCTTGACAAAACCTAAATTTGGTTGTGGCGTGAGTATGGTTATTATTGACTATAACCAAAAGCTGTAAGCCAAATATAACGAAGGGATCCCCTCACAAAAAAAAAGATATATATCTTACCGTACTGCCAATCCTGTATAAATCCATGCTTTTGAGCCCGATGCACGTCCGTATTCAAGACATGCCATGATGCCCCAAAACTGGAGATTTGGTAGCGTCGGTTCAAGCATACTAGCATCGATCAACGATGTCGCCTTTGCTGCAAATCGTTCACCCGCCCAGTAGGGTGGATCTGTTTTGATGCTCGGATCGTCGGAATACCTGTTGCAGAAATTGATCGGTCATCATCATTATTATGTCTACAATGCTGAGAGAAACAAGTAGATGTGCAAATTTATACCTGGCACCAATAGCAAGCACGCTCCACAACAGTGGTTTGGAAACGGTTCCGTCTTCAACGGATTGCTTCAGCGTTGCTTTGTGCACAAAGGGGAATACAGAATTGATATACTTGAAGAACAAGTCGACTAGATGCATTATGACCTCCTTTGATGGCAAACCCTCGTTTTCCTCTGCGATGCGTTGGACAGGATCTTTATCGTTCATATTAGAGCCAATATGTTTAGTTATATCTATTTGTTGCACTATAATATTCCCAATCATCGCTGTGCCATTACCTCGAGTATACGATGGTTGACTGGGTAGCATTGAACGCATAGGCAGCGGCGACTCTTCTCCACTGCTTTCACTGAGTAATGCTGCAGTACCACCTAGTCGCACAAGCCGTCGTTCCATCTGGGCCAGACGTTCTTCAAGAAGCTGCACGTATCCCTTTCGTGGTCCGCGCTTTTTGCTCTCTGTGTATTCGCACTGGGTGTTTGCTTCTTGGCAATGAAGACATTCTGGTTTTGTGCCGTCGCATTTAATCTAAATAAGAAAACAAAAGGGCCTTTTGTCAGCGATTCAAAAAAAAAATAGCCACGAAGTTTAAAGTACAGGGAGAGAAAGTTGACATGATCACTCATGTCGAAAATGGTTCTTTGACGGCCAACCTTCTTCTTTCTACACAATACACAAGCTTGGGTAGCGCGTACGCGCTTTTTGCCATTCTCGTGTCGTAGGTGTTCGGCATCGCTGTCGTGTTCCATGGTATGAGTGCATAAATTGGCTTGACAAGCGATTCTCGTTTTTTCTTTTTTGGTAAAGGATAAAAAAAAAGAATGGGAAAAAGAACAAAAAATATGTTGAAATTGGATAAATCCCGACGATATACTCGGGTTGTCGTTAAGCCACGGTCAATGCTCTCTAATTCCTTCTATTCTTGTTCAAAGAAAGCAACGTATTTCTTTTCAATGTTATCTTTGTTTCGTAGAAGGAAAAAAAAAAAAAAGAGGAAAAAGAAGCGAACGAGTTCAAGGTTCAGAAAACGTAAAAAAAGAAAGGCAGAAAGAAATAAAGTTCGATCCCCATTTTAATAGCCTTTTTCGTACTGCTCTTTCTTGTCTGTAAGCGGCACATACTAAAGCATGGGCGGGGGTGTTAGTAAAGCATTTAAGCTCCGCGTCCTGAGCCGTGAGCCGGGGATTGTTGTGATAAACTTACCATTACACCCAGCCATTTTTCTTCTCGAACCGTTCCATCTTCCTGCTTGCGATAAATCATGATTGACTGCGACGCCGTGCCCACCGGTGAGAACAGCCTACATGCATTGCAAAAATAACACATCAGAGACAATGTGCTCATGAGTAATGCTATTTCTTGACTCATCCTATATTCTACATAGAAACCCCCCAAAAAGACATACAATCCTGGTGCCTTCAATTGCCTCAATAATTCGGTAGGTTTCTCGCTAGCAGCGGCACCCACATGGCTACAGAAATCCCAAAAAGAAATCCCGGTTAAAAGAATCCCCATTCTCGGTAGCTTTATATAGCCGCGCTCTCTCCTCCCATCCCTCCCCTTTCTCATTATCTTGCATACATGCAATCGTAAGGCGAATCCTCGGGATATCCTTGACGCCCGTCGCCCGCGACAAACTTGACCCTTCCAGCTACCATCCAATCCTTGTGATGTTTTTTCACATTGCGCTCGCTGATGTCCACGAGCTCTTGGATATGCTCAATGCCTATCACCCGACCTTCTGGTCCGACCTATTGTATGATAATAGATACAGGAGAAAATTATGCAGGTTTAGGAGCAGTAGCCGCATGTTTCATCTTTTTGGTAGCCATCCAGATATCTTACCATATTCGCCATGCACGCTGTTAAGTAACCACTTCCAGATCCAACATCCAGCGCTATCAACGCAATACAGAAGAAAAGAAATTTAGAAATTTTCTCTCAAAAGGCTGTGTGTGCCTATTATTCTATCTCAAAGGCATCATCTTGCCTCTCATTCCTGGTTTCAGGAAATCCTGCATCTTTTCCAATGCGTAACCATGCATATGCCTGTTGTATTTTGTTAAAAGAAGAGTGATGTTGGTGGTGGTGGTGGTGGTATTAGTCAATGTATCAGGAAGGACGAAAAACCTTCGGCTTTGTATTCAATGTTACTTACGGTGCAGATATGGTAGCGCCAAACCCGATGCTTTGAGGCTCATCGTGATACGCATACCGAGGTGCGTAATCCTTCCTATATCAACACACATAACCAAGTGTTATTGGCCGTCATGTGCAATTGGTCAGATTCGCAACGATCAAGTATGGAAAGACACACCTGTCAATCGCCTTCATGGTGTTACGCACGCGTTCACTTTTAATGATTTTTTCTTTAAAGAGATTCTCCACCAGTTCCACATTCGATGCACCTGTGTCTATCGTTAAGCTTTGCATTGTGTTTTATTCTTTTTCTCAAATAAAGCTTTAAAAAAAACCTGAACAGCGCCATGCCATTGTTGATTTTTTAACGGTATATACGCGTTGAGATTACAAGGGGTTGAGGTTACTCGAAAGAAACAAAAACCGAGAGAGAAAATCATATGGACGTCACTGTCTGCATGATTGAATAATTTGCTCATTCTTCTAACATATTCTTTTACTGGCACTACTGCTGGCACTACTATTACTACTACTTACACCTTTGATTACTTCCACATCAGTTTTCTTCCCCCTCTCCTTTGGTTGCAGATCATTTTCGAACCCTTTGCAAGTTACAAACGTTAGGAGAAAAATAGCGATGGTTCTTTGATCCGATCTGTGGAAGGGACAACGTTAATCCATCAGTCAATGCAGCGGAACTCGGGTAAAGTTCACTTCCCTTCCCGCACAAACCGCAACTTCTTTTTCTGGAAACGAAAATGTTTACTCGGGCCGTCCATCTGGCTAAAGTTTTGGGTGATAATTTCATCGTCTCGGGTTAAAGATCACGCATTATTATTATTACATACGTGTGTAGTGTTCGAGCTTATAGAATCCCTGCAAGTACTGGCATGGAAGGAATGTGCCGGGCCCTTGGGTAATCTTTATCACATCTTAGCCAGCGCGACGTCAACAATCTCTTCACCGCCTCTTTCTGATCTACAGAAACGCTGGCATGTAGAGTTATTAGACTTCCAAGCTTTGATCCCAGTCAAGTGACAGTTTTCTATGATTTAACGAAGCAATTTTCAGTCGATTTTCTTCTTATTCCCAGGAATATCATACGTGCTACTATCAGAATCCCACGCGATTTTTGTTTAAAGTAGTACATACATTCTATACTCGCTTAAAATGTGCTGAAGTAAGAAAATGTCCAGTAAAAAAGCAACATTATGGCCGCGTGTAGTATAACATCGCCATCCCGCCGTATATAAACGTAACATATACCTATTACAGCATCATTGATGTGATAGCACTGATCCGTATTTATCAGATAATAATACAGTAGTGACAATCAGATTTATTTTTTTGGTTCTGTTAATACATAATCTATATTTTCATCATGTGATTGTGAAAGCTATTATATTGTTGAGCAGTCTTGAACATGGCTGCTTCAATTTTGGAATGGTTTACAACCTTAATGTCAGCTCGAATCAAGAAATGACTCTTGTATCACGCTTGTTTTCTTCTTTTATGTATTACCAGTATATTTGTTAAACTGGTACAGCGAATAACACCCGTTTCATTGAAATCGTTCCGAGATCGGTTGAAGGAAAAGAGGCCTGCTACTAAGATCATCGATACACAAATGATATAACGCTTTGTGGCTATGTTTGCTCACATGTAGTATATATAGTTATGTGATCTTCGACCAATGGGAAATTTGTCGTGGCTTTGAAAGAAGGGAGAGGCGATGTATTTTGATCAATGTTCCACATTAAATGATCGATCAACCATGAGGCTTTTTTTCTTTTGTTTATCTATTTTTATCTCTGATGATAATTTGATACTGTAAAATGGTAACGAAAGAAGCATTGAGCTCTGCTGACAGGTTTGTTTTGGGCTTACTCACGGATGATTATATTCTAGTAAACTGCCGGTTTCTATTTTTTTTATATATGGGGACATGTGGAAATGTATGTATGTAGTACACATGGACCATGCTTCTTTGAAAAACATCAGGAGGAGAAATAAGAAACAGTGTCGGTATGATATTATGTATACAGTGCCCACGCGATAACTTGATCTCCTCCGTGACGCCCAATTGTGATCAAGTCATCGAAATATCAAGTTATAGTGATATAGTGAGTAGCAGCTAAATCGTTCATTGGTGATGCAAAAACATGATCCATTCAACGAATCATCAAGTAATATCAGTATCAATTTATCGCGTGGGCAGTACAGTAGTCGCTGCTCATCATCATACGTCCTATATGTTTTCGCTTCCAGTTATGCATCTTCCAACATTAATACTAGACCGTTCTATCCAGCAAAAACCAGGCGAGTACACCTGTTTTAAAAAAATAAAAACCCGTATGATTTTTTTGTTGATCGATTCGTTTTCTTGTTTCTCCTCTACGAAAAAGCACCTGTTCTCCACAATATAATATCATCATCTTGAAATAATGCAATGCATTGACTTCTTACTCGATAGTAACCTGGAATCACACCTGTCAAGCGAATGTTCCGCTTTTTGTAAATCTGTTTACGTATGAACCTTTGTTTGTGTTTTCTTGGCACAAGCAAAGCAGTTTATGTTTTGTTTCTCTCAAACATGACCGAGTTACTGAGAAAAAAACCTGTCTACAGGAGGTTGTGAAATAGGCCTCTTTTAAGTCAAAACGGATCCTACATCCTTAAACATATTGTATACAGCTTTGTTTTATGGCATCTAGTTTCTAGCGTATGGTCCGCTATGCCATCATCATAATTATAATGACTATAATAATACTCCTGCAAACATCTAACATCATTTTTTGCATTAAGTCTGATGAGTAATATATCATGCTTAGATAAAAAGTTTTTGATTTTTTTTCAAGCCAGGGTGGAGCCAAGTTGTTGCAGGTCGATTGTACATTGACCAGTAGCGAACAAGTTAGCAATAATCTGCTTTCGTCTAAATACATTGCTACATACAGTATAACGATACCGTGTCACCAACCGTGAGAAAAGCATCACTTACTGACAGGTTCTGAACGCGAAGGTAAAGATGGAGAGATACTATTCTACGAGCTAGCGCTCTACCCTTTACGCTGTGATGATTACACTTTATCATGATCATTACTTCCTACACCAAGTCTTATTGCTGTAAAGGGCTTGTCCTGTTGGATGGTATAACTCCTAGCGTCCAAAAAAAAGTATATATAAAGAGGGCCATTCACAGCTTCATTTTGCTACTTACACACACATCGTTCTGTGCTCTCTTATACTACCTTTCTCCTCAAAACAACTCAACATGCGTCTCAATATCGCTCTTTCCGTTGCTGCCATGGCCATCCTCTCCAGTGTACAGGGATCGCCTATCTCTTTGGCTCGCCGTGATGATGAAAAGTCAGTCGATGGAAAATACTACGATGGCGGATATGACAAGGACTATGACCACGATGGCTACTACCGTGGTGATTATGGCAAGGGCTACGACCATGATGGCTACTACCGTGGTGTTTATGGCAAGGGCTACGACCATGATGGCTACTACCGTGGTGATTACGGCAAGGGCTATGACCACGATGGCTACTACCGTGGTGATTATGGTAAGGGCTATGACCACGATGGCTACTACCGTGGTGATTATGGCAAGGGCCATAGAGGATCCGCTATGTACAAGGACGAATACGGAAATTACGTCTCCAAGGCTGGCTACTATGACAAGAAGAGCGGCAAGTTCATTGGCAGCCTTGCCGTCTATGGCAAAAACGCCGATAAGTACGATTACAAGGACGTCTATGGCAGCGCTGCATTTTACGACAGCAAGCCCAACAAGTACGGTTATAAATATGGTGATGCTGGATACTACGATTACTATGGCTACTACCGTGGTGATTATGGCAAGGGCTACGACCATGATGGCTACTACCGTGGTGGTTATGGCAAGGGCTATGACCGTGATGGCAAATATGACGACCATGACGGCAAGTACGACGACCATGATGGCAAGTACGACGACCACGATGGCAAGTACGACGACCACGATGGCAAGTACGACGACCACGATGGCAAACACGACGACCATGATGGCAAGTACGACGACCATGATGGCAAGTACGACGACCATGATGGCAAGTACGACGACCATGACGGTAAGCACGACAATCACAAAGACAAGCGCGACGACCATGATGGCAAATATGACGACCACGATGGCAAGTACGATGACCATGATGGCAAATATGACGACCACGATGGCAAATATGATGACCACGATGGCAAATATGACGACCATGATGGCAAATATGATGACCATGATGGCAAGTACGACGACCATGATGGCAAATATGACTACTATGACGGCAAGTACGACGACCACGATGGCAAATATGACGACCACAAGGGCAAGGACGATAAGGACGGCAAGTAATATAAAGCCCTTCGACTCTTTTGTTTCTTTTTCCTTTCCATCTCTAAAAAAGTTATCTAGCAGTACCTCATTCCTCTTTTCTTTGTCTTGTATTCGAAATCAAATCATCATAGCAGTACCCAAAACCTTTTTTTCTTTTCTGTAACACCACCAAGTAACTCAAAAGCCTAACAAGAAGCTGGTTTTAAATTCCTTTGTTATTATATTCTGTGCAGTATCTTCTCTTTCCTTTGTCAAGAATAAATGATCTTTCTCCTTTGAACTCATCTGTATTCTTCCTTCGAGTATGTATAGTCCGCTGCTTGATTATGTACAAAAGATCCCTATAAGAGATAGCTTTATCAACAACAACAACAACACCAAGACGCACATGTATGCTGCTTTCTCCATAGAAAATGAAATTGCCACTAATGCGTGAGAATGTGCAGCGATAAGGAGGTTGCAGGCTCCGCTTCTCATTGGATAAGCCGATCAAAGAGATAAGCTTATTTTGGCATATCAGGAATCTTAAAAAAATGCTTCATTCTCCAGGACAGTCAAAAATAAAGAGGTTAGATTACGAGTGTGTGTGTGTGTGTGTGTGTGTTATATGCGGGGAGATCGCTGATGATTATTGGATCAGACACACGTAGACAGGACAAGGACATGGCTGGTTGAACCCCCCCCTCTTACTCTCTGCATTACAAAATTGACCACGATTCAAACGACCAAGCATAAATATGCGTGAGATTCAAAGCGACTAGCCATTCATGTTGTAGCTGCGTACAGTATAAAAGGCCCACGGATGCTATAGCTTATCTCTTTCTAATTTCACCATGGAAGACTTTCGAATATGCATGCACAGTTCTTTCTTTCTGAGATTACAAGGGTGTTTGTTCCCCTATCGTGGCAAGGCAGTGTGAATCGGTTTCCATGGTGTCACAGCAGCCAATGTTGCTATAGCGCATACATTTGAAGCTGTGTTGTGTTTATTATGCAGAGAGAGAGAGAGAGAGGAGGGGGGGGGGCGTAACTCACATTTGAGAGCGAAAAGACGCCCTGTTGTCCATTTCATGCATTGTCGTCAAGTGAGCAGGTGTGTGTTGTTATGATGAAATGTGACCCAAACACTTGGACCTTTTGTTGACGTGGTACAACAACAAAAAGCAACCAAACAAAAAAATGCTTATCGGTTCTTTTTTAATAATTGTTGTTATTATTCCTGCGACAAGAATAAAAGGTGGTGTTTTTTTGATTTGATACAGGCGAAATGTGCAAAGTGGAATAATGCATGTGGGTAGTAGGTGATGGCGATGGGTGGGCTGGAAAAAAGAGAAGAGGACGTTGGCATATGAGAAAGCAAAATGAACAACAAAATAGCAAATGGAGAGTAGAAAACTGCAAAAGGGATAAGAAGAAGAAGAAGAAGACTGGGTGATTATTTTTTTCTTTTTGATTTGGGCAGAAAGAGAGGGAGATATGTGCATGATGGGGATGATGGGGATTGACGGCTGTGACTAACCATCATTATTTCAGTGAGGCATTGGTGCTACCGTACGACATGGACCGCCTTCTGGCGCCTTCAAACGCATGCTGTAGCGACAGACCGGTCGGCATAAAGTAGCTCGGCATGGACGACGCCATGTCAACAGTGCCGTTGGCAGTCGCGTTGGACGAGGACGAGGGCGAGCTGGCCTGTGATGACGAGCCTGGCGATTGCTGTGTCGGTGATAAGAGCCCCGTGGGGATGAATGACAAGGACGTTGTGTTGATGAGTGGCGGTTGCTGTTTCTTCTGCTGCTGCTGCTGCTGCTGCTGCTGATGATGATGATGATGATGATGATGGTATTGCTGTTGCTGTAGCGCATTGGTCTCGGACATACGCCGTTGATGGAACGGAGCACACGCCGATGTGTGTGAGGCAAAGGTGTCGGTCTTTTCAAACGTTCTTCCACACTTGCAACGAAAAGGCATTTTGAAAGAAGAAAGTAAAAAAAAGAGGGAGAAAAAGAAAGAAGAGGGAGGGAGTTTGCTGATGGGAAAGAAAATTGGGGGAAAAAATCAAATGGGAGAGTGGCACCCTCTCCTCCAACCAACCAACCAACCAACCCTCCACAAGCATCTGCTTGGAGACAGGTCTTCATACGTCACCCGCCCAAAAAGTTGGTGGCCACATGATCCCTTCCTTTTAAATGCTCCCCTCCTCCCCGCAACTTTCGCAGTTCGCAGCAGCAGCATTATCCCACTCTTCTCGTCGAAAAGCTTCTTTGATTTCAAACTGAGCTCGTTCTAAAACAACACTAAAAACGCAGATGATGATGGAGCCAGGAGGATCTGCCCAATAGTAATCCATCGTCCGTCCAGTGGCAACATCTTTCCTCAAGTAGTGGGGGGGGGTGATGCTTTACCAGCTAAATCTAAGCGTAAAGTAGCTGCCTTTGCTCTCGGGCTACAGATGTTGCAGTGCTGGCCTACGTTGATAGGTGCATGCAAGCAACAACTTGCTTTTTATGGACTGTTTTGGTCAAATAGCAACACAGCAGCACATTTTTCATGCAAAATATGTTTTGAGTTACCCAGTCCCTCTGGTGCTGCTACTGTGCAGTATTACTTTTTCACATGGGGGCCATACTAACATGTTCTAGCAAGGTAAATCTCTTGTATCTGTTATAGATCCAGAATCTACCAATGTGATGGATGATTGCAAGATAAAGATCTTTCTTTCTCTTTGTTCGTAGTACGTGAATAGTAAGCTTATATGCTTACATGACAATATGGAACAGTAGTCGTCATGCTTCTTAACCGGTCATTTACACACTCTCTCTGTACAACCTATAAAAGAATTTGAGAGATGATGATGATGTCTTGGTTTCACAATAAGCTTGTGCTTGGTTTTAATCTTTTTTTTTTTGGCACAGCTACTGTAATTAGTAGCATTATGATAGTAGTAGCGATGTGCCGGGTAGCATATGTAGCGTTGGCAACAAAAGATCACTTACACACATTAGCTCTTATTGAATTCTTTTCTACGTAAAAGTGGCTTTAATGACTTGCATGCATTTTCATAGCGTCAAGGCGGCAGGGTAACTTTGATAAGATGCCGCTTCTCACGAATTCCTCCTGATTTACCTTCCATTTCCAGTAACAATGCTAGTTAATAATATGCTCTACGTAACCTATGCATCATTTTCTTCTTTTCATCTTCGCACGCCCACACCGATTGCTTATTTGTGTATAGTCCGTAAGGCGTTGTTGTTTGCGTAGTACCATGCGTACATCCCCCCCCTATATCCAAACATCACACCTTGACGGAACACGCATCCCCCTTAACAGACAGAGCAAACCCTGTCTTCCGCCTCGCCCATTCAAAATAGCTCCTGGTCAATGACAAACACTTGGGTACGGTAGGCGCGAAAAAAAAAAAAAAAAGAACTGTCAATGCCACCATTTGCAGTGTCTTTGGCAACAAAATTTAGGCGTGCGGTCATGAATTTCTGGGCAACAACCCTTGGCAGCCAATCTCTACATCCTCGTTGATGGCAACACTTGGGTTCTATGATGAGTGAAGGAGTTTGGGACCCTGTGCCCTGTAGCAGGATACCAAGGTCTACCAATACTCTGCGAAACCAATTTACACTTTGAAAACGAAGCTGTTTTCAAGTACTACTCTTGATAAGTGGAATCGCTAGCAAGCTAGAATTCGATAACTTTCTTTTCTTAAATTTAAAACATTGCGATCTCGGCGATCAGATTGAGTGGGGTGTGTGCCTTGAAAAGAAACGTGCGGTGCGGCAGGCGTGGCGAGACATCAAGACGACGACTTTCACTGAGCAAAACGTCACTAGACATACAGGATGGACAGGGCCTTCTTCTTATAGCATAGATTACAAGTGAACCTTTAATGAAATCAATCAAGTCATTGCATTCGCTTTCCCTGATTTGTTTTTAACTGTCGCTTCTGAATATTCCAAGTAGGACGGATCCCGCGTGACAGCAGTGTATACTACCTCTATGGTTACAAACAACGCTAGTCTTTAATAAATTATGTAATACAAGGAGCACTTTTCTCATACGATAAACTACTGTGGCTATGCTCTCAGCAGCGATAAAAGAAATCTATATAGGTACAGTCGATAGAATTAAGGTTGCCTGCCTATTGGGGAGTGGGGTAATCTAAGGTGCTTGTCGAGTCTCTCCTTTTCTTTTTTCTTACCTTTTCCAAGGAATGTAATCTTATATTTTGATGGTGACTAAGACAGAGATACTTGTTCCCTTATCTCTCCCATGTGCATGACCTCCTTCCATGCCCTTTTTTCCCCTAATATCATGTAATATGACGACAGTAAGTTATATATCTCATTGAAATGCGTGTATCTGTTGGAAGAGCCATTTTTGTTATGAACAGATCGAGCATTTTTGTCTAAAAACAGAAGAATTTAAATTAAAGGGTCAGCACACCCTTTTGGCTTGTCTGTATCACTAAATCGTCAGAGATCGATAAAGTGCAATAGGTCAAGTGATGGATGTGTGCTGCACATCCTTGATCACATTGCAGCATTTCAATCGTGATTAAGAGAACGCTAACACAAAAAAACTTCCTTTCTCTGCTGCTGCTCCAGTGATCCTACCTCTACTTCTAGCACAGCAGGTTCCCTATGTATACTTACAGGTACAAGCTTGGAAGATCATGTTGTAAAAACTTGAACCGGCAGCTCGCTCAAATCAAAAAGCCTGAGCTAATGCTATATAGGGAGATACGCAAATTAATTATTGTTTTGCTTAGCTTATACCAGAGCAAAAGGTGTACATAGCTTTCATCACAATGTGATTATTGTCCGGGTTAATGTATACAAGGAAAAAGACCAACTACTTTATCTGTAGCACATTTTTCTGGTACTGATTTCGTTTTCAAATAGTGCCCGATACAGTATGCACATTTACAGCAAGACATTTCCCTGTAGATACGAGTACATGTACCTCTTACAAAAGAAGCCTTTTCCATCTGTCTCAGCGCTGGTCGAAAGGTCAAGCTACATTTTATTTTACGCTCTTCTTGAATTGCTGACACAAACTGTTTCAAACCACTCGAGTAACTGACAATCACTTGCAAGGGTACTGTCATGATGCGTTTCCTCTCCTTCACATACGCAATGTGTCATGGAAGATAGCACACATACACGTAGCATTGCGAGTAAAATCAAAATTACTATGTACATTATACTTTTATTAGTTGTCGTATTCTACCCTGACAAGAACTCCCTTTTCATATTTAATGCAAATCTTGAGCTAATAGCCTCAAGTCGCACAAGATAGAGCACTATTCGTTCGTCAACTAGATGCACCCTTGCGATGGCGCGTTGCACACCCAACTGTAGCAACACGTCGCTACCACTTGCATCACACTGTCGCCAACTATCCAGCTCTTTCAGATCCTCAAGATAACGTATGGGTCGATCATCCACCGTCATCGCACATGCGTCATCCAGCATCACGTGCGTATCATCGACGCCATTGAGCGCCATGCCTTGGCTCAATTCACGCAGTTTCCGCTTATGTGGATCAGTGAGTTCGGCCGAAAGCATCCGACACTCTGTACCATGCATATCGGCTTGGTGAACTTTTATGCGGAAATCCGATAATTGAACGAGGAGTGCATGGGATGTGCCGCCACGCTTGTATTGCAGCATACCGCTGTCGCTGCTGCAGTTGCTACTGCTACTGCTGCTGGTTCTGTCATTTTCTTTAGGTCGCATCAAATTCGCTGCCCGGACATCGTGGAGATATACGAGCACTTCAAGACACTCTTGGTCACCCAGTCCGTCGAGTGTTTCGCGCGAAACAAGCAACTTATCCCGCAAGTGCTTGAATGCATAATATTGTGCATCTTTGACCAGGTTTTTACGATGCAGTTCGTCGCGAATACGGATGGTGTAACCGCGCAAATGGCTGATAATGTCTTGAAACAAGTCCGGATCGCGATCAATATAAAATGGACTCGTTTGGATGCCATTGCCGTTAGGAATAAATAATAAGTCTTTGATGGGTCCGGTAAAGTAGTTTGTTGACTCTCCATCTAGTTATTTACTCATTAGATAAAACAGCAGTGAGAAAAAAAAATGGAAGGTTTGAAGTTACCTTTTTGAAACAAAGACCAAGGAAGTCGAAATACACGACCACCCACATTCACAAAAAGATACTGGAGGAGGAAGGCACGTAATCGTTTCAAACCATAGTAATTAGCGTCGCTTAGTAGCGCCTGGTTCTGGAGCTGATCCCGAGGCTGAACATAATAGCCGCGTAGATGCTGCACAACCAAGTTAAAAACGTCGGGTTCGCGATCCACATGCATGATGCGTGTGTTTTTGCTTCGTCTAAAATACTCGGTAAAGAAATTCTGTGGCCCGTCACTTTTGATCGATTCCCAGCTGAGACGGAACGGTCGGCCGCCTACAACAATGGCGAACATGGCCTGTTTGGGTGGTTCGTACTGGCTGTCGTCGACGCTTTTGGTGTTGTTGCTGCTGGGTGTCGTACAAACGCTGTTACCCGTCTGTTGTGGCTGCGGTCGTGCGTCGTCGTCGTCTTGTCGCGTCCGTTTCTGTCCCGCCACCGCTGCTACTGCTGCTGGAGGTCCTTGAACTGTTGTTTGCTGTTGTCCCGAAAGAGCGGCTGGCTGGAAATCGTTGTTCACGACATTGTCAGTAGCAGCAGAATCGATTTGAACAGCAGGATCGAGCGGACAAGTAGGATTGTCATTCGTGATAAATTCGAATAGATTGTCGGGAATAGCAGCAGTTGTACCAAACAAGGCTCCATCGGTCATCATTAAGTTCTGGTATACATCATTGTTGGTGGGCAAGGTATAGTCAAAATTGAATGCTTCGTTGGGACCATTTGCATTACTGTTGCTGTTAGTATTATTATTACTAATATTATTATTATTATTACTGCTATTGGCGTCCATGTCCCGTAATATGGCACAGTATACAAAATTCCTGCGGAACGAAAGGCCAGCGTTCAAAGACAGCAGCCTTTTTTTTTTCTAGCATCTTCCATTTCATCGGTGACTTTGGAGCTGACACCAATCTTTCTTAGTTTCCCCCCGGTTGCCCACCCCCACTGGTTCGCTTCTTTTTTTTTTTTTTTCTGTAATTCTTTTAACCCCCCCTCTCTTCCTCTCTTTCTCTTTTTTCTTACCCACTCGCACAGTTTAGCCTTTTGTTTGCGTCCTTTCTGCGACCGACTGTATAGACCGAGGGCCTTGATATCCGAACCACATAAACGAGAAAAATAATAATAATGACGCACTCTCCTATGGACGTTGACCCTACTGTGTAAGTTACTATAGGAACATGCTCTCTCCTTGGTATTTCCTGCGCGCACTTTCACTCTCTTTCTGTCTTTCTCTCGTTCGGCCTCTTAACCTATCCTTCACTTTTGTGTGGTTTGGTTTTCAACGAAAAGAAGGAAGAAGAAAAAGAAAAGTCGCTGCTCTGATCATTCAACGTTGAGCTCATCAATCTTTTATATCCGGCAATGTGTAAATGAATCGCACCTTACAGTTCGGCTGAAGAGATCAAAGCCCAAGCCAATCAAGAATACAAGACTGGCAACTACAATGAAGCAGTTAGACTTTACTCAGAGGCTATTGGTAAGTTGTTATCTTACTCCGTTTCTTCTTCCTCAGACATCTCCAACCCCCCGAGGGTTTTCTTCTGTTCTCCTTTTATCTATCGTTGGTTTGTTTGATTAATCCAACCATACACTATCATCCATCAGAGGCATCGCCCAAAACAGCCACTTACTATGCCAACCGCGCTGCTGCCTTGACGATGCTCGGCAAGTACAAAGAAGCCGCTGCTGACTGTCGATCTGCCACGGACATTGATCCAAGCAATGTCAAGGCGTATATGCGTGCAGGCAAATGTCACATCAACTTGGGTAACTTGGAAGAGGCAACTCGCCAGTACGAGCAGGCATACCAGCTGGATAGCAACAATGCCCAGGTCCAGCGTGAGTGCCAGAACTTGCAGTCGGTCAAGTCGTACATTGGGCAGATGGAGGCGTACATGAACGGAAACCAGTGGGGTCTTGCCGGAAACAGTCTAGATCGCGCCATCACCTTTGTTGATAAGGACCGTGTGCCTGTCAAGTGGAACATTTGGCGTGCAGAATGTGCTTTGGGTCAAAAGAAGTGGTCAGAGGCTAGCCGGATTGTAAAGTAAGTATGCATTTGCCTTGTTTTCCCTTTGGAAGTAGTGCTGTGTGTGAAAGGCAATATGTGTGTGTAACTCAGACTGATAATGTGTGTCCTCTGCTCTGTTTAGCTACCTGGTCCGATTGGATACCCAGAACCCGGATGTCCTGTATCTCAGGGCACACGTGTTTTATGGCCAGGGTGATAATGCAAAGGCTATTGCCCATTGTATGGAGGCTCTGCGTTGTGACCCTGACTTTACAAAGGCCCGTATCCTGGTGAAGAAGGCTCGTGCGCTCGATGCGCAGAAGGAGAAGGGTAATGCTGCTTTCAAGGCCAACAATCTTCAAGAGGCATATGATGCATACACTGCGGCTTTGGAAATTGACGACAAGAACGATGTCTTGAACGCCAAACTGTATTCCAACCGTGCTGCTGTTTTGCAAAAGGTAAAGCACATGTTCGCATGTAGTGATTCCCTGGATATGTTGCGTAGGAGATTCCACTTCAGCTAAAGTCATTAAATCATGTAGTTGAAAAAATTCCAAGAAGCACTGGAAGACTGTGACAAGGCTTTGAAATTGGATCCTGATTTCACAAAGGTCTACAGCCGTAGGGCCGCATGTTACATGGAGTTGGAAGAGTATGAAGAAGCGGTCAAGGACTACCGTCATCTGACAGAACTCGATGCAGGCAATCGAGGTTAGTATTACGCTCATGATAATGCAATCCCCCTATTTCTTTGCTGATCAGTGTACCACTTGTAGAATACCGAGGCTTATTGCAAAAGGCTGAACTTGAGCTGAAAAAGTCACAGCGCAAAGATTACTACAAGATTCTTGGATTGACAAAGTCGGCCACCGACTCTGAGATCAAAAAAGCATACCGTAAGCTTGCCTTGCAATACCATCCTGACAAGAACGCTGGTGATGTCAAGGCGGAAGCCAAGTTCAAGGAAGTCGGCGAAGCCTATGATGTGCTCAGCGACTCTCAAAAGAAGGCGCGCTATGACTCTGGTGCTGACCTTGAAGGCGGTATGGGCATGGGCGGCGACGCATTCGACGGCGCAGGTGTAGACATGAGCGATATCTTTGCACAGATGTTTGCTGGACAGTCTGGCATGGGCGGCATGGGTGGAGGTATGCCTAACATGGGCGGTGCCCGATTCAGTCAGTCTTCGTTCGGTGGAGGCGGTGGTTTCCCAGGCGGTGGTGGTTTTGGAGGAGGATTCCCCGGCGGCAGTGGCTCACGACGTTCAGCAAACGGTGGTGGCTATCACAGCTTCCACTTTGGCTAAACTGGGCCGAACAACAAAAAGTAGTAGTTTACTATCCAGTCTGCCTGCTTATCCTCCTATTTTCCCCCTGTGTAATATTTTCATTTCGCATTCCATTCCATTCCATTCATCCATCCATCCATTAATCCAACCATCATCCTCAACCTAGTACAACCACACACACACACACACACACACACACGCCACGCTACCTTGTTTATACTACCTTTATTTCCCAATAGTCTACGTCGTTCTAGAGAAAACCCATGTTTTTTGTTTGCTTTTCGGTCCTATTACCCTTACAAAAAATATATGCATGTACACACGTATCACCGAGTTTAATTTGATTCGGTGCCTTCCTTACAAAGGAGCTAGCTAGAGATAAGGCACTTCTAGTTTTGGGAATTACTGTCATGGATTAGTAGTTGCTGTGGAGATCGTCGTCATTATATCTAGCAAGCCATATCTCTAACGTGCCACTCACAGCATGCAAAAACATCTTCAGCGTATACAGCTAGATTTGGTGGTTGCCTACTGTTGCATGTAAGTACAACTTTAGTATGTAGTACATACAAATACTAGATATACAGTAGCACCTGATCTACCCATTGTCGGTATAAGCAATATGTAGGTAAAATAAAAGGTTTACACAGTGACAACGCTATGGAGTCGAAAACATGCATACGTATGAACGTGCGTGTGCTGTATGATTATGATCCTTTATCAGTTTATTCTGTTTACCTGACGATGAGTATAAAGCACACGTAATTGAGTCTGCTATAGCGGAATCCAACGACGATCCTCTCCTTTTCTCTTTGACAGACCGGATAAACAGGGAAATTATCATGCTCTCAATCTTTATTTTCAGGTCTCTCTCTCTCTCTCTCTCGCTCACTCACATCCACACTTCCCCCCCTTCTCCCTTCGTACCAAAGATAGATTGTGCTATACATACAATTTCTAATAATGCAGTCCATATTTCTGACGCCATGAGGCAACCCCGTAAAGGAACCGACAGAGTAAGGGGTGCGCTTGCGATGATTGCTAACAAGACGGACAATGCACGTCTGTGATGTGTGCCTGAAACAGGCCAACGCTGACCCTGCTTCTATTGTCAAAAAAAATCATGTACTCCGTATTACTAGTATTTGTTACTGCTGCGTGAATGTTTCTCTTTTATCCCTCTTTCTTGCTCCTCTTCTTTCTTTTACTCTTTTTCTCTCTTTTCAAGTGCGTCGTTCCGACTGATTGTTATCAGACAGCAAAGGGAATAAAAGATGACCATTGCTTACATGTACAAGACTTGCAAATGGGTTCTCGACGGATTGACCTTTGTTCCAGGCTTCGATCACCTGAACATCATTGAGGATAGTAACGACGAAGATGACCTATCCTTATCACTTTCAGCACTATCGTCCAGCAACAGCAGCAATGCACATCAGCAAAAAGCCAGCAAGAGCAACAACCGTTCCCACATGCCAGCTCCACTGTATCGTCTATGGCAATTGTGTCGACAAGGACATATTTTATGCTCTCTTTTCAATTTGTTGAAACCAGAAGCAGCTATCGACCTAACCTTCGAGCAAAATTCTTGCAAAAAGCAGCATCAAGTCTTCGTCTATCGATTCATCATTGCCTGTCGACACCATTTAACGTTGAACGAAGATGATCTTTTTACGGTATCCGAGATGTATCAAGACAATGCGATCGGGTTCAGCAAGGTAATACAAGAAAAAGCCAAATTGTGATCGACGAAAGACGACGATTAGTTACCCGATGGATGAAGCTTATGCAACAAACAATTAATTGTCTCTTTTCTATACCACGCCGCGCAGGTCATCAACACATTACATACAATTTTAACTTTATTACACGAAGGAGGTATCCTTAGTTCAGAGTACCCGCCCCCTTCCGATGCGGAAGAAAAGACAAAAGAGCAAAAGAGTAACCAACAACAGCACGCATCATCATCATCGTCATCGTCATCGTCATCGACAGCGTCAGCAGCATCTCCTACTCCAACATTACGCGATAAAGTGATTATCGAACTGCTACAAACCGAGCGCAAGTATGTCGAGTATCTTGAAACAATCCAGGTCTGTTGTAAAAGTGTATAGAGAGATTCTTCTTATTCCACCTATATGATCCACATTGCCACCCTTTGGGCTGAAACGCAATACTAACGATAATATTTGCTTTCTCTTTGCGATATAGAATTATGCTCATGAGCTGCGATCACAGCGCAACATCGTTTCATTGGATACTCTGCATCATATTTTTGGCAACCTCAATGCCCTTATTGACTTCCAGCTCCGGTTCCTTATGCAAGTCGAGTATCATGCTGAGCATCCTCAAGGAAACTTTGGCCGGGTATTGGTCGAGCTCGAGGAATCGTTCTCAGTGTATGAACCCTACTGCGCCAACATGCAGCATGCACTGGATCTCGTCGTGCAATGGGCACCCCAGCTTTCCTCAACAAGCGTCGAACCCAATTACGAGCTACCATCGCTTCTCATAAAACCTGTCCAGCGTGTATGCAAGTACCCTCTGCTGTTACAGCAGCTAATGAACTATACTCCCGATGACTGGCCACACTACGACGACTTGCAGCGGGGCATGGAAGCCATGGAACGCGTAGCATCTAGAGTGAACGAAACCCGCCGTTTACAGGAAAATAAGCAACGGGTCAAAGAACTTAAAGAACGCGTGGCGGATTGGAAATCCATCACCAACGTCGATGAACAGTGTGGTATGCTACTGCTACATGACAAAGCAATCGTACACCACAGAAATACAACCAAAGAAGTGCATCTTCATTTATTCGAAAAAATGATTATGCTCTGTGCCGAAGTCGCGAGCAAAAAAGCCAAGAAAAAGAAAGACGGACCGTTGTGGATATTGGGATTAATCAAAATTAGCAATGTGGCTCAAGTGGATCATGGTGGTAAGTTTTAATGGCTTTAAAAACATCGGTTATTAAACATGTGTATTATGAATACTAAACACTATAATGTTCTGGTAAAACTTGACACGCAATAGCCGTTGCACTATCGCTGCAAATATTCTGGCTGAAGGACTCGGATCTGGAATCGTTCACGTTAGAATACAGAAACGACGAGCAACTTACTCAATGGGAATCCGTGCTTGAGAAACTCATCCGACAGCAAACTAGAAACAAAAGGCTATCTAGCCTTGTCACTTGCGGTCTCAAAAGCCATCACGACCACGAAGATTTAATGGAAACGCTCTCGCCAACGTTTCTATCGTATGCATACATGAACAGACTCCCTGTTCGAGGCGGTTATTACGATCAATTACCAGAGTTGTTTGATAACGGAAACAACGAAGTAGTTACGCCAACCCGGACGTCTTCATACAGCCATTACTTTTATCACCAAAACAGCGCTAATCATCCCGGAAGGAACAATGATAATAATAGCACAACACCACATCATCTACATCAAACTGGCCCTTTACCGTCACCGAACTCACCGTCAACGTCGCTGCCTTTCAGTAGTCGAAGTAGTAGTACATGTGGACCGCCATCACCTCCACAAAGTGGTAGTAGTCCACCATCCCCAAGCGTTCAGGCAGCTTACGAAATCGAAGAGCACGATCAACAGCACATTATTACCCTGCAAGCAACAACCCGAGGCCGATCACAAAGTAGCCCTAACATCAGCACGAATACAGCAATAGGAGCAGCCAATTCTGCAAATTCCCGTAGTCGTCCTCCACGATCAACATCTCAAATCATACGAAGAACAACCACGGTTAAAGTAAAGCTCTTTTACAGTCGACATAGTGCATTCGTGTTTTATGCGCCACAAGATATCAATTATCAAGATTTGCGGACGCTGGCTGAACGCAAAACTCGCATGAAAGGTCTCAGCGGGGACTTTATCATGTATCGTGACGAAGACGGCGATTTGATAACGATCAATAGTGACGAAGATATCACTATGGCATTTGACTCTGCGCCAAGATCCGACAATGCAATTCATCTATTCATTTCAACCCAATAATTCCAATATAGCATAGTATCTTTCTTAGCAAATTCAGTAGAATTTGACTTTTCAAATTATCTTCTTATGTATATACAAGTTCCATCCTGAAAAACACTTTCTTCTTTCACTGCCTTCTTTTCATATCGTCGACAAATTGTTATTAAATTGCGTGCATTGACCTCCTCCACTGCTAAAATATAAGCTCCAAAAAAGGTTCTAACCTTGTACAGGTAAATTGATGCTATACAACCTCTTCACTTTGAATGATCACTCCTTAATTCAAGTAGAAGGCATTATCCCAAGTTGTCAAAGTAAGGTCAATCAAAGCATCAAACACTCTTTTTCTCATGATAGGAATCATATTGACGGAGGAGAGACTCATGAAGGAAAAGAGGAGAGCAAAAATGAAATGTGTTATTACAACAACATAGAAAGAGTTCTAAAGAATCTATACATCTATACGTGAACATGCTAAAAGGAAAAAGGGAAGAAAGGACCAGATCAAAGGAGCAGGAGGGGAAGGGGGGGGGGGTATATAATTATGATCATGATCTACATTGTATTTTTCTACTATATGAGTTTCCAGTCTTCAATCGCTTTCCACATTTCCGCATATTCCGGGCGTCCCTGAACCTCGTCTAGTAAAGGTGTTTAATATTCTTTGCTAAAGCCATCCCTTATTGCATAACATGATTATAACACATCAAGGGAAATCAAAGTCAAAATCAAAAAATAAACCTACTTGATTGAAAAGCTTTTCCAGAAAGACCATACGTCTTGACCAGATAGTTCCAGAGACGGGGTGTGACGATACTGAAAGCTACTGTGAATCCTCCGCGAGGTCGAGCATCACAATTTAATTTGCCTTCTTCATCCTCCAAAGCTTTGTTCGTAATTGGTTCCGTGGCCAACTTGCCATCACACAAGCGCAAAAACCAAGCCCAAAGCCACATTCGGTCGACAAAATAAAAACATGGCGTGGACGATAAAACCGATTTTCGGTCTGCTTCGCTGACATTCAGTTCACGCTCAAACATGCATTGCCGTCGCTTACCAAGCTGCTGCCGTCCAAGTTCGCTATCTTGCGTAATTGATTCCAGCAGATAGTCTACATAGTGTTCCTCGCTTTCATCGCCACGCGCTTCACCGAGCTATTATAAGCATGATCATCTATTAATAACAGCAAGGAACTATACCTCCTATAATTCATAACCATCCCACTATTTTTATATTACCTGTCGAGAACATGTGAAGCAATACATCTGCAGCACCGGAATACGAAGCAAAATACCATGACGATTGGGTGCCATGGCATGAAATCGATAAGCGCATTCCTTACAGCCTGTGACGAACATTAGAATCGGCATAAAATATCGACTGCAGATAGAAACAAATTATACACTTACGGATACGGATGTTGCCCTGGTAGATATACAAGCAAAGGCCAGACTGATAATGGTTCTGACCACACGTTGCACAGTTGTGTCGAGGAGGATCCCGGTGTATCACGTTGTTGTAAGGAGCTTTGTAAGGCTCCAACGTCTTTCTCGAGACCATACCGAGGTGAGGACAGATCCGGTTATGCTGTGGATCGCTGCATTTACGTTCGTACTGCTGTTTCCACGTATTATCTGGAAGCTTGTATGTGACGCCGAATCCATTGTAGAGCATTTCTCGCCATGTTGAATCGTCGTGGGCAATCACGGCAAATCGATGACAGACGATCGAAAAAGTTTTTAAATCGTCAACGGGTAAATGACCTGCAATGGCAGTGAGCAGCTCATTGTTCAGCTCCAAAATGTTGAACGGCATCAAGATCGACAAGTTGACGAAAGCAAAAGAAGAAACCCCAACAGAGTGCGGTATATGCAGAACAAACAAGAAAGAGCTTAAACCTCTCTCTTTTTTTTTTTGACGTCGGCTTCACTATTTCTGAAAAAGTCCTACACTAGTAGGACTCCTACGACTTGACAAATCAAATTAGCCAGAGTATGTCACCGTGGCTACAGACAAATCACTTCCCGAGATAATAGCAATGAAGATAACACAATAGCCAAATGTAGCTTGCAGTATTCATAACAGTGTCTCCTTCTATCGCAGCTCTACTGAAAGGTGCATCGTCCTCTCGCTATGCATCATTGTAAGCTATTTGAGATATGCTCTTCTCAGTGCTCGGATAATTCAAGTTTCAAATGATAGGTCGACCCACTCCTCAGTGCCTCTCCCGGCAACAGAGCCATTATACTGATAATCCAGAAAAAAATCTAGTCAACTCCCTTATTGACAGGATGCAATAAATTACCATAAATCTATGCAATTTAGATACGTTAAGTAAGATAAAGTAGAAGAAGATGAAAGCTTGGCATGAACATCATCAGCGAGCTGGTTTAGCTTCGGTTGCTGAGTACAAAATTGCATTTGGGTGTGTGTCTGTGTAGCTCATGTAGACCGTCTTGAAGTCCAGCCTGCAGCTTTTCTTTTCGTGTGGTTCATCATTACCATTCATTTCTTCTCGGTACGTTTACACGATAACCTCATCTTTAGCTTTTTATTTACAATTTCAAAAAAGCTAACATTCATTTAAACTTTCTGTGTGCTTCTTAATAGTAATGCCAGTAAGCATGCTATATAGATACTCTTTATTCGCGCGCTTCACTGAAACTTTCCAATATACATATAACTCAACACGTCGTCCCCGTTCTTTGCGCACGAACGACAAAAAAACCCCAACCCTTGCTTCATTCTGTAGGCATACCATTCTCAGTTCAACGATGGCGACTATCAGTCAGTTGGCAATATGTTTCTTTTGCCAGTAAAAACTAAATACCGCGGCAACGCACCTATAGGTATGAAAATATGAATAGCCAAGAAAGAGAGAGAGGGAGGAAGGGAGAGAATACAAAGGGATAATTGTTAAGTACTCACCATATGCATGCACACTTTTCACATATTTACTATCGACATCAAATAGCGGATCCTAACGCTGAAGATGTTGTCGATGAAGCTATCACCCTCTTCCGCGCCAACTGCTTGTTCCGAAACTTTGAAATCAAAGGCAATGCAGACCGCGTCCTCATCTATCTGATCCTTTACATTTCTGAGTGTCTCAGCAAAATCAACAAGAACACACCCCAAGGCGACGCGTTCAAGCAGTTGAGCACGTTGGCCGTCTCGAACTTTGCTATTCCCGGTGATCCCAACTTTCCATTGAACGCCATGTATGCTGCCCCTTCAGACAGATACCAGACCGGTAAAGTTACTTTCCCCTCTTCTCTGTTGCTGTGTATTTATGTTCAATCAAACTGATATTCATATATGTATATGCCGGACAGATCAAATGCGGCAATATGTACAGCAACTGCGTCAAGAGCTTGCTTCTCGACTGGTGGAGACGATTTTTGTGGATGGGAAGCCAAGCAAGTGGTGGATGTGTTTCTCAAAGAGAAAGTTCATGAACTTGAGCCTTTAGACAACAATTTTTTTGACGATGATGGGTAATGATGAGTATTATTAATATATTACACATCAAGCGAAAGAAATAATCACGTGTATTGAAGTAGTATGTGAAGTAAAAGGGGCGTGATTGGTAAATATTACAAGATCGTGGAGAATAGATGCGGAGGCGAGAGAGGAAATGATTATGGAATACACAGTGAAAAAGTCAGTATCCTACACCACCGAGAATACCGTAACCCAAAAGAATCGTAATGAGAGCTGCTATGATGGAAGAGGGTAATCCGCAAAGTACAAAGTCTTTCATGTGGAGGTAGGGTTTACCAGTACTATCTTCTTGCATAATGGCATTCATATTTGGAAAACTATATCGTACAACAAGTGTTCAGTTCACCTGACAAATGTCTGTCGCATATGTGATTATTTTCATTCGCTATAGTACTTACCCAGAAACTGGCAAACCCATGGCGACAGATGCCGTCAGACCAGTACCCTATTTACATAGCCACCCAGATTTAGTTCTCAAAGACACCCTTCAGATAGTACTATATTGCTCTTGCTTACCATTACTAAAAGGTTTGGATGAGGTGCCGGCAAATGCTGACCAACTTGCTTAACGATAGGCAAAATGATAAGTGCAGCGACGGTATGACTGACAAAGGTTGCAAACACCAATACCAGTATGCCGAAAATGAAAAGAATAGCTAGTACAGGCATCTCTTGTACACCGTTTGCTATTCGATGACCAATGATATCCAACAATCCAGAGCTATCGACCGCAAATCCTAGCGCCATACCGCCTTGTGCTATATAGAAGAGTAATTTAACATTTCGCTTATGCTGTGGATACCAGGCTTCAATTCTAAAAACTATTATTACCTAGCGTCACCACACTCCACAAGAAGTTGTTTAAATCCGTCTTGTTTAGCATATTAGTTCCAAAGAGTAGAACAAAGGGTATCAGTGCAATGACTCCGTTATCGCCCCAAAAATCTTGCATTGCTGTTTCGCCACACCACAGGCCAATCGTTACAAGACAGACAAGGACCACCCAGACCTGAGAATAACTTGGTCGCGCGTATCCTTGGTTTTTGATAGCATTAATCCGTGGCGTGGATCGCGTTGGACGGAAATATAATAGCAGCATGCCCCATGTGGTTAGTATACATATGATAGTGAGGGGTATTGAGGCGGCAAACCAGATACCCCAACCGGGATTAGGGTCCAGAAGCTGGATGGCGATGATATTTTGCGGTGATGATATGGGTGATGAAAGGCCACCAATGCAGGATGCCAGTGCAATTCCCATAATCAAGCATGGCCCCACTTTAGAATTGGGTGGTAACGTTCGTAATATAGGCTGATAAATAGATATGTTTACGATCGACGGAGCATTAGTGATAATGAAAGCAAAAAAGCAGATAATTTCATTACCTGCACCAGAGAAAAGCAGAGTACAGGTGTTGCTACGTTACTGATCCACATGCATAAAAACGCGGCGAGATACATGTTCACTAGAATAACCCAATGTGGCTTCGTCCCGGCTTTGCTCAATACTACCGCGGCAAAGGCCTTAGTGATACCATGCCTGCTAAGCGCTGCAGCGATGGCGAACCCTCCGAGAAGCACAGCAATTGTTCCGTTAAACATGCTAGCAAAAACGGCTTTCGCAGCATCTTTTGCACTCATTAGACCGTTTCCATCCTCTTGGTGAATTATGTCCATAGGCACGATAAGTAAGGGGATCAAGTATGCTGTTGCAAACAGTGGAAGCGTCTAGAATAAATCATACATTCACATATGTTAATGAGATGTAGACTACATATGCGTTTTTTGTTGACAAAAAAGCTTCATAAAGTCTAACCTCGAACGCCCAAAGCATAGCGACAAATATTAAAAGCGCAAGACATTTGCTGGCGGCCTCGCTCTCCAATGTGTCGAAGCTCATCAGGCAGGCATACATGACAACACTGAGCAAGAGAGTGCATATACGTCGTACCGTCATTCGACTACAAAAGACCTTGATAATGGGAATGTTGAATCCGGGTTTGTACTGCACAGCATGGGCATCGAAGGTTTCGCGTTCCTTGCCAACCATATCCTTCCACACAGTGTTGCGCTCGTAGTGAATGTGATCACGCATGTGCAGTTTAAGCTCGCCTATTGCACTTGTTATGTCGCCTTCCGTAAACACTGCAGCGTACATCTGCTCTATCAGCTTCATCGCTGTATCGATCTCCTGCAAGCGGCTTTGTTGAAACGGATGGGCAACGTCTACTATTTCCTTGCAGTACGTCGTGCGAAGGTTGGAGCCCGTGATCTTGTCCCACTTTTTGGTAATTTTCTGAAACGCCTCATGATTTAAATTGATATAGGACTTGAGCTCAGATAGCAAGATATAGATTGAGGAACACCGTGCACGAAAATTGTAGTAACGATTGAACTCTTGCACTTCAGTTACGCGTCGGTTGAGCGCCAAGTTTGAGTTTGGACGCCGCAAGAACTGCAGACCACGGAATCGGTTTGGATTATTGTCTCGACTGCTTAAGGACGGCGGGCCAGCCACTGTCTTCCATCGAGCCAGGCCGTTGTTTGCATTCTCGTAGTTACTGTTGCTGGATGGCACCCGGCTCACTGTAGGGGTTTCGCTTGTAGTGTGGTGTCTTGACAGATTGGGTGTTGATAAACGTCGTCGCGATGGTGTATGTGCGGCAGAACTCGTCCCCGTAGTCGCCATGTTAGGCAATTCGCTACGAATATCTGTTTCATCACCATCATGGTTCGTCGTCTCGGCGGCGGTGAGTTGGTATCCAGCCAAAAGCGAATCGAGCTTTTCGAGTTTATGTGCAGAATCAGCGCCCCAGGTCAACGACTGCACTAGGGTCTCGTCTGGAAGCGGCACGCCAAACTCATCAAACTGGGATCGAAGCGTCTTTGCATCGTTAAAGACTTCGACCTCTTTACTCGAATAAAACTTGCAGACCTTGTCAAGCTGTTTGTTGCACTCTGCAATAAACCGCTGGTCGTCGTCGTTTTCGTGTAGCTCTTCAGGGTTGATGGTCGGTGCAGTTGATGTGCGCCTGGATGACGGTCGAATGTCGTGCTGTGACGGTACTGTTACGGATTTCTCGATACCGCCTTCCTCAAGGGTACGTGCCATACTCGGCCGTCGATCCAGCATTTGCTGTACATTGATCCGCTCGATCCGATATGCCAGTTTCTTCAAATGATCATAGCTGAGAATGATAATTCAGTTCGATAACAAACAGAAAACATCATCAAATAATTGTTTGTTGTGTCACTTCACACGTTTCGGCTTTTCCATCTGATTATACACGCACAAGACTTACTCAACATATTGATCAACCCAATCCGGAACAGCATTCAAGATAAGCGTGTGGGCGAACTTCATTAGGTGACAGGGAGGTGGAGGGTTCACAATGCACACGAAAAACAAAAAGAACGAAATGTGGAAATTTTCCTTGTGTTTGTTGAAATATTATTATTACTTATTTTGGATCAAGCAGAAACCCCTCCCCCCACACTATTGTAATCGGCAAACATTGGACGTCACGGATGACCAAGCACCCATGATACTGCCCACAATAAAGTCGTTCTTTTCCTCCTCAGTCTGATGTGTCAAGATCTGTCGTAGCCAGGTGCAGTTAAACCGTCGCTGATCGTTACGTGCCTCACACCGAACAACCGAGTTGTACAGTTCTCTGATCTGTCGCTGACCATAGGTGCTCATGCGCACATTCTGTGTTGTGGCAAAAATTATGTTGGGCACGAATGTCTTGGGCGATAGCTTGAAAATGCGAGAGATCTCGGCCACAAAACCGTCTAATAATAACCATCATGATGGACACATTATCAGTCGCCTTTACATCTTCCACCATCCTTCCCTGGTCTAATATCGATAGTTCTTCAGTCATTTGCAGTTACCTGTTGGATCTAAAACCGCCTCAATGGCATCATCCAGCTCGTCTCGCACCTCTTCGTCAACATGCGTGAAGACTACTACCACAAAGTTCCAGAAATCCTTGCCTAGCAGTTGCTGGAACAAGCTAAGCATGTCTTGGGTATATGCGTCCAATCTAGTTTTTCCTTAAAACTTAGTTAACAATACGTGGCTCAACCTTCTGACAAAAGCTTCCACGAAACGAAAGTGAACAAATCACTTACCGGATGTCCTTGATATCAAATACTAAAAAGAATGAGCTGACGCCAAATGCAAGGCTTTTGAAATACCGGACCATTTCCTGTACATTTTGTCGATCTCGTGCAGAAGTATCACAGAGACCAGGGGTATCAATCATATGGACGTATTTGGTTACCGGCGCGTATTGCCAAGGTCTCACTACGCTATCGATCTCCATGGTAGTTGCCTAGTGATGAACAATACATCTGTGTTATGGGTCCTGTAGGCTGCTCTTTTCGTTGGCACGCACACTAAGTGAGCGAGGATCCTTTGTCATCATATACCGCTGCTTACATAAGCTTCACCTGTGCGAAAGATACGCTCGCCTGCCATGGCGTTCAGTAAGCTGGACTTTCCCGTACCAACAGCACCAATGGCGCTGACTACATGGGTTCGTGGATCTTGAAGATGAGCATCCCGATTAGCTTCGTTCAAAACTGCGTTCGAATACGTCATGCTTCTGCCGTTTCCTCCTTTACGTTGTTACTAGATCGGGGGGAACCGTATAGAAGAAATAAAGGAAAAGATACACTCGTCCAGAAAAAAAAAAAAAAACTTAGAAAAAGAAGAGTGGAGGAACAAAAACATGCTGCATGTGAGCGTTGTACAAAAAGGCTTTCTGCTCCGCCAAATGTACGCCAAGGTTCAAGAGCAAACAATATACGTCAATGGGATGGTTCGTACGACAAGACCAAATCATGTAAGTCTTGAACCAGCCTTAAAATACTACATACCAGCAGGAGCGTCTATGTGGCTGACAATAGTGCTAATAATCAGGTTCTCACCTCCGTTAAAATTATGTCTTTATGCATTCTGGTTCGTAAACATCTGTTTGGCATCCATATCTGTCACTGCGACTGTATGCAAAGAAACAATAGAAACTCAATATTTTCCAAGCCCAAGCTTGTTATAATACCCCTCCTAAGTACCGTGGCTGGTTCCGCGTTATTGGTGCATCAGGCCGTCATCCTGGAACTTCTAGCTTCGTACCCACTGGCGTTTTCTCTTACATTACTCAACCTATCAATGACACCCGCACTCTCAAAGGAGTCGCCTAATAAAGAAAAGCAGTGACAATAGCAAATAGCATTGTCTTGTTATTACTTCACGAGATGGCACGGGCTGAAGCATGTTACACCCAGCTTGGAGTATCAACGCAATACTGTATGTCTGACACGAAAATCTAATTTGGCAGTTATCATCAGTTAGTATAGTAGTGTTAAAAATACGCGTTCGCGTTCCAATAACAAGCATAAAATGCATGCGCCACACTATATGAAAGGACTTTGGAGACATTGTTAACTTTAAAAATATTGAAAGCTCATCTGGAATTCAATAATACCAGTAACTGGATATATATGCACTGACTTTATGGCTTTTGTAGTCTACTTAGTGGCATCTTTTTTGACCGTTGAACCGATACTGCTGCTACAGAAGGACATTGGGTTGATCATTGTAGCGAATATAGTCCATTCTACGGTAAGGACTAAAATATATATAATAATACGATATGTACCATGCTACTAGCGTGTCTGGATCGAGAGGCCTATATATTTTTCGTAATTATAATAGTAGTGATACAAACAAAAGAGGGGCGTTTGATCTCCATCTTGGCAAATACTTCCAACACCATCACTCTTTTGTATCAAATTCGGGTTGATTGTAATACAACATGGGAATTGAGTGGTGATCACCATGTACAGCAAACGAAGAAAGAAGTGAATCCATGAGCGAAATACATGTACAAGTTTTGGGTCAAGTATGGCGCAACACCAACAGAAACCTTAGCAACAGCTTACAAAGTCATGAGAACGGAACTCCTCCAGCAAGAATGCTCACTTGTGATTGTTGACAACATAGACAAATGAGGAAAAGAAGAATATACTTTCCTAATAAACAATAGATGCTGATCTTTTCAGGTGTTTTAAGTAGAAAGTTTATTTTTCTATTTGGGCTCAGCAGCAAATCGTCAAGCGATCACTTAATGATAGTACGCGTATGCTTATGAGATTTTAATGATATGCATGAGATTTGCAAAAAGTTGCTCAACATATATTACGATGGCGATGGTGCTGCAGACTACGATGCTGTACAAAGTTTCATCTACTGATGAAGACACAGTAGCAGCTTCAGCACAGACAGTGACGCTATGTACACTTTAGAAGATCAGTCTGAGGCATCACTGTTTGACATGATGATCGACAACATTGTTGATCTTTGTAGGGCGTAAAACCTTAATAGATATGCACTATTAACTAGTAATATCATCACTATCTACATACGAAAATGCACTCTACGAGAAAACACATAAGGTTGACTTTTTTGCTTTTGTCAAATACTTTGTGCATGGCCCGCCTTCTTACTTCCTTCCGGCAAGGAGGAAGTACAGGTACCGGCAGCAGAGTAGTGCATGATGCACGAATAGAAGAGAGAAAGCACAAAATGTTAGGGGTCGACACAATATAGAAGAACAAGTCCTTTTAACTTCTTACTCTTCCCCTATCCATCAAAAAGTACAAGGCAGCAGGCGCTTGGTTGTTTTTAAATGCCTTGAGTATACTCCTAAATTTTTATTTCAATTTGCATCTTTCGGTATAACCGAACTTACTTAATAATCTTAAGCATACTCACACATCACAGCACAGCACAGCACAGCACAGCACACACAGGCATTACAAGCGCACTCTATTTTTATAAACACTTTGTGCATCGTTTCACAGACCGATCACTTTGTCCTTCCCTTCTTTTCCGAGGAACATGTGTTGGATTTCGCTGATTTACCATGTGGTGTGATTCTCACAGTCGAAGAATAGAAAAACGGGTGCTGGTCTTCGTGACACATCCAATTACCCGCTTCTGCTATGTGCTTCCGCATATACTATGCCAATGTACACGCTTGAGTAATGCTAGACATTCTTGTCATCCTCAGTTGCCCTCATGGATGCCCCATAGTCAACAGTATCATCTCCAACCCCCGGGTCTCCGCTTTTTTCTTCCAACCTCCCGAGCGCTGTCCAATGAGAGGTCGGCTGCTGCATACCACCCGCACTCTGCATAATCTGTATGCCAATAAAGCGAAAACAAGTATATGATTGTTTACATCCATCAGCAGATGTTGCGAATAGCGGTGGCGCAGGGCGAGCCAGGCTGTGAGGACGAAGGAGCACAAGAATAAAGAGGACACGTAAACGAAAGAAAAGAAAGAAAGAAAGGATTAGGAAACAGATCAGCCGTGCCGATAGCACAGCACCAATACCAACATTACCAGCACACACACACACACTGCACACAACAAGAATAGACTTGTTACCCAGGTAGAACAAGGACGAACAAAGGTTTATAGGGGCCCGACAAAAACCTGTGTATGAGCCGAGTTTGGTAATGCCTGCTGAGTGGAAAGAGTAACCACAAGGAAGCTCCAAGGCTTGATTGTGGAAAAACTCCTCTCTCCCACTTCCACTCCCCCCCCCACCATCCCAGCTCCTTTTCAACCGCTTTCTCTTCTTCCCTTTCCCTTGTTTCCTTTTTCCCACTTTTTCTTCGTTCGCACAACTCGCAGCTGCGACTACCGCTCGCCGCCATTGCTAATGCCTCATCATCAACTACGAGATGCGCCCGATCGAGGAGTTCTAAAAGGCACTGAGGAAGTGCCCGCCACGGCACCCATATTCGAGGGCCACCTTTACTTGCAACATCCAGAAAAGAAGAGCCGGTGGCAGTGGCGTCTGTTTCGTTTTGATGGCACATCCTTCACTTGTCTGTCGACGCGCAAAATCAAGCTTCCGCCAGACACGCCTGTCGATGCCGTAGCCAGCCAGGACAACTTATTGATGTCGTCGCCATCTTCACATCATCAGCTGAACAACAGCAACCTCAACTCGTCGCCCTCGTTCAACACATCGCACACGTCTCCCTTGCTGGCCACGCCCAAGGACAAAACGCTGCGCTTAGTCTCATTGGCCAGCAGCATGCCTGATCTTCAAAACATCGACAAAGCAACAACAGACGAGCAAATGTTGCTACTACAGCAGCAGCAGCAGCAGCAACAGCAACAACAGCAGCAGATCCAACAACAGCAACAAACCGTCGTCATGGCCAGCTACTACCAGTTACCCAAATGGACAGTCGACATATCCAACATTTCCGCTATTTCCGTACTGAAGCAGCAACCCAAAAAAAGATCCCCCTTTTCTACGTCCACAAGCCCGAAATCAAAATGCTTCTGCGTGCGCACCTTCGATGGTCAGTGCTATGTCATGAAGGCCCAGAAACACAAAGATCTGGAACGCTGGCTCTTTGTTCTCACGAAAATGTGGAAATTTGCACAAACCATACGGAATCAAATTGCAAACCAGCAACAGCAACAGCAGCAGCAGCAGCAGCCTACCACCTCCTCGTATCGTCCCAGTAGTAAACAAATCTTTGACTATCCACCCGAGGCAATGCATCGACCCGTAGTAGACGCAAGCAGTTCTATGACGATGCGGAACCTTGTCCCTCCACCTCCTCCACAGCAGGCAACACCCAGGCCATCACCGTACGACAGCAGATACAAAGCGCCCATGCTGTCCGTGGAAAAGGTGCAATGGATTGACCAATGGCGGGAGTCCCTCGCTGAGCTAGCAGCATACGATACATCACCGCCGCCGATCGAACCCATTCCTGACGACGAAAACATGAGCTCAATCAGCGGACTCACAAGCATAAGCTTGCGTGAGAAATCCACCGCCGCACGAAAAGCGGCCATTCCACGACGCAAGTCATCCAAACGATCAATACGATCGGTTGCTAGTGCAACCAAACGTGGCAACGATGCAGCCACGACAAAATCCAATAGCATTGCACCAGCCGATGCATCGTCAGCCGCCATCCTGCCGCAGGAGCTACCCTTGGCAGACCGACCAAGCACCTCCCTGAAGAAGAAGCGGTCAGATGAAGTCAAAAACTGGATTTCCAATAATAACAACACCGTTACCGCAGCAGCAAACACTGGAGGAGCGCAAGGTAGCAAAGAAAGAAAAAACGCAGAAAAGTCTCATTTTGATTTGTCCCTTGCTGACAAAAGTGTAGCACCTGACATTGACTTTTTTCAAGACGCTAGAACTGTTTTGGATGGGGACGGTGACCAAGCCGTAGTCGACAGATCTGTCCGGTATCACTCGTCGATTCGTGGACGAAACATCCGAGTGGTCGAAGAAGAGAACCAACCAGCAGCAACAGCAGCAGCAGCAACATCGACATCAATGCAGACACCAAGGAAATCAATAAGCCATCGTGCCTCTACTATCGCCGACGACCAAATACACGGAATCTCACCGCTCCAGACACTTGCCAAAGCCGAGAGTGCGCATGCTCTACAGCAGCATATTGACTATTCAAAGCGTAGTAGCAGCCCGGCTCTTTTCTGGCATGTTACAAAATTTGATGATGACGAAGACGAAAACATGAGCTTAGCGGATCTGCAACGGTCGCTGCGTAGGATCAGCATGAATGAGCAGCAGTGTCACCCACAGCAGCAGCAGCAACAACAACAACAACAACAACACAACCCTTCCCCACAAAGCCGCGCACGGTCACCATCAGCGTCATCCATACTCGATCGGAGAATACCGCCGCTGGATCATCATCACAACAACCACCACCACCACCACCACCAGCAACATCATCACAACCACCTCCATCATCACCTTCATCACCCTCATCAGCAGCAGCAGCACCCACCTTGCCCTCCGCCACACCATTACTATCCGTCCGCGTACATCCCTCCATCTTCCAGTGCTGCCGTTGCTACTGGTGCGGCACCGCCTCCGATTGTCTCCCCCGCTGTTCCTCCTATGCCTGTCGCTGTCGGAGGCGGGGCACCCTCTTTTATCCATCCTACTGCTCCACCACCTCGTGCCTACTATGCACAACCCGTCATGTCTTCGTCGGAGTTGACGACCAAATCCATGCATCGTTATCCCGATCCACAATCTGAGCGACATAGCATGGAATACGTCAAAAAGAGGCCTCGTTCATGGATGATTCCATCGTCTACATCATCCTCTTCTATCGTGGACAAGCAGAAAAACTATACCATGACCATGAAGAACATGAATGGTTCAACCACCGCTATAGAGCACCCTACACGGAGATCTATAGATGTAATGGATACCCAAAGGAGTGGGAGTGGTAGATGGAGCTGAATCACCCCTTCTTTTAGTTTTAATACATTCCTTTTATACAATCATATCCTTTTTTACTACCTTCATCTTATACTGCTTACTAGTCTTACTCTCAAACCCTACATATAATCCTTCTCTTGGTACTACTGTCTTATAAAATTTACTACATGTTTTATGAACCACCAACCACCGAACATTACTCTATTGTATAAATTTTGGATAATACTACATCCGCCTTTCTTCGTTAATCAGAAGCTCAAGCTGCATGCATATGCAGTGATGATCTGTGGAACACAAGGAGCTATCGCTAGCTCGTTTCTGAACAAACAATGGTGAGATGCTCACTGTGTAGCAGGAATCTCTCAGATACGGTAGTGTTTGTACGCCGGCACTTTTCATGCCACTGCGGTATTACAGAAAAGAGAGGGCACTTTGACTTAGAGATGCAAGTTCATGATAACATTTCAATACCACGCAGACGGCAATCTTTAATGTCGGTTGCAAAAAGAATTAATAAGATCAGATGACAATCTTATACTAACGATTTTGAGCTTTTGTAAATGCATATTAATATACTCCACTGGCTGACACTGTTCCAGAAGTTGCAATGGTGCGTCCGTCGGTTGCTGTTGACTATTACCCATCCATTCTCTCCAATGAACCAGGCGTTACAAGTGGTCAGACTACTACGACTTGTAGCTATTTCTTCCCGTTGTGCTTTATTCAGATATCAGACCAGAAATCACTTTTGTCTGTCTATAAAAAGATGCTACGTACACTTTGAGCACTCAAGTGTAGAAGAGTGTCTTTAACGTGTTTGAAATACCCGGTGTTTAGTATCAGCTGGTTACAAATGGAGTCTTGCTGTACGACAACCACGTCCGTAAAAGCTGGAATTTACGAGATGCTTTCCCCATTAGCTGACCGTTTAATGGTTTGAGGACATGAGTAACAGTGTAAATGAGACTAATTGCCGTCATATATATGTACCATCACCCACTTTGTTAGTATGTAATGGACTTTTAAGCAACAGTTATCGACATAATAATTTGTCCTAAAACAGAAAGGGACGATATCAGCGAGAAGGTCACTCGACATGCAAAATCACCAATCCAAGCATGATAGTTAAACCGCAAACTATCGGTTGTCATAGAGTACCAGAAAGGAAAGTAGCAGACGTCATTCTTAAGCATGGGCAGGAACTACGGGTCTCGATAATGATCCGTTTTCATCTCACTATAAAGATCCCTGGGGGCAAGCCTACTTTGTTTTAAGAAGCTACTGATTCGCACTTTTTAATCTCACTTCGTGTTAAAGCCATCACAAGACATTGTTCCTACATGCCGTTGTGGCGCGACCGATCACCAACGTGTTAGTTTCCATGGATGTCCGTACGCAATGTTCGTCGTAGAATTGGATCTGATTCTGTACGTTATGAAAACATGAAAGTCGTTGAAAGTATGAGAGCAATTATTTACTTCGTCTTATAAACAGGGTGTCCCTAATATCATTATCCAGAACACGCCCACTCCAGGCCAGGCTGCAGCGACTGAGAGAAATGAATCCTTCCAAATCATTATAGAAAATCCAGTAGTGGTTGATAATGAGGCCGACACCTTGCTCACTAGACAAGGTATGCAGTTCTTTACGATTCTTTTTTTGCAAAAATTTGCAAAGAAAAAATTCGGATCATATGAATCTGATGAGAATACAATTAAGTAGCTGAAGGCAATGATGATGTCGAAACTGCCGCTGCACTCACTGCTACAGTTCCTGATGATACCTTGCGAGTTTGTTCGACCTGTGGAGCACCGGGTCATCTGCGTTCAACTCATCGCGACTGTCCTTTCAACCGTAACAACTTTGCATCCGAACACGGTGCTCAGTATCAGGTAGCCTGCACTGTTCCCTTTGTTCCAGAAAATATTTTTGGTCCAAACATCAGCTATGCTCCTGGAGACTCTTTCCGTCGTCATATTCTACCACGCATGGATACCACATGCTCCTTTTGCCATGCTCGAATGTGGATCGATGAACGAGTGAAGTTATCCTCAGTGTCCAATCCTCGCTTTGGCCTATGCTGCTCCCATGGACGGATCCGCCTTCCCACTCCACGTGCTCCTCCTGCTCCGCTTCTTGCGCTCTTGACCAACCACGATCCATCAGATGATGTGAGTGTGGACTTCCATACAAATATCAGAGCGTACAACAATATGTTTGCGTTTGCGTCTATTCGTGCAAACTTTGATCCTGTTTTGGCAAATAACACCAATGGCGTCCCAACATTTCGCATCAACGGCACGATGTACCATTGTCTGGGATCGTTACGAGCAGGAGAACAAGCTCAAGCCAACTTTTCCCAAATTTACTTTGCGGATACACAGGAGCAACTGGCAAGAAGAGAATCTCTCTTCACTGGCTTGAACCAAGAGACAGTTCAGATGCTCCAGACTGTTATGGAGGAGAATAATCCTTTCACCCGTACTTTGATGTCTGCTGCTGAGCAACATAGAGATCGGCCAATTGGTACTGTTAGTGTCGTTATACGTGGTGCACGCGAGTTGGGACGACGTTACGATCAGCAAACGTATCCAGATTGCAGCAATGGTTGTAGGAACCATGGTTGACGGTGTAGCAGCACCACACGATATAGTCATCCATGATCGTACTGAGGGTCTTCGCCAAATCAGTTCCCTCCATCCATCCTACATGCCCCTCCACTACGTCCTTATGTTTCCTTTCGGTGACGACGGATGGTATCTTGGCTTAAGATCCATGGCGACAGATAATGGCACAGCTTCTGTTACTTTGCTGGATTTCTGTGCATATATGCTGATGATACGTGATGGCGAAGAACAGACATTCCACCACCACTTTGGTCGCTTACTCCAACAATTTGTCGTCGATAATTATGCACGCATTGAAAGTTCTCGGTTGCTTTTCATCACGACTCACCAGGATGACTTGCGTTCTGAGCTGTACAGCGGTCTGGACGACGGTGTCGATCCACGTCAGGTTGGCCGTTCAATCATATTACCATCCTCTTTCACTGGCGGCCCACGTTATATGAAACAAATGCTGCAAGACGGATTAGCAATTATTCGACAACGAGGAAATCCGACGTTATTCATTACCTTTACATGCAACTCTAATTGACCTGAATTTACAGCTGAACTTTCTCCTGGACAAAAAGCATACGATCGTCCTGACATTTGCTCGCGTGTTTTCCACATGAAACTTGACGAGTTGCTGCAGCACATCAAAAGCTCATCTTGCTTTGGAAGAGTAGAGGGCTACATGGCTACCGTCGAATTTCAGAAACGAGGACTTCCCCATGTGCACATTTTGGTCATTTTGAACGAGCAAGACCGCCCACGAAATACAACGGAGTATGACAGATTTGTTTCTGCTGAGTTGCCGAATCCCGTGACCCAGCCTCCACTCTATTGTACTGTAACTTCGTGCATGATACACGGTCCGTGTGGAGAGGAGAACAGAGGTGCAGTATGTATGAAGGATGGTCGTTGCTCCCAAGGGTATCCCAAGCCGTGGAATGAAGAGACTCGCATGAATCGTGATGGGTATCCATTGTATCGGAGAAGAAGAAACAATCGTCACCATATCTTTGCCCGCAGTCGATTTCGTGCTGATAACCGCCATGTTGTGCCATATAATCCATACCTCAGCCACAAGTACGACGCTCATATTAACGTGGAAATATATACCTCTGCTCGCGCCATCAAGTATCTATGCAAGTACATCACGAAAGGATCGGATAGAGCACAGTTAGAGACTGTCCGTACATCAGCTGCTGCAGCTGATGGAACTGAGGTCATTGATGAGGTTGTGCAATACCAAAATGCACGTTATATTGGACCATCCGAGGCAGTTTGGAGAACCTTCGAGTACAGAGTGCATATGCACCATCCCACTGTTTCTCGATTGGATTTGCATTTGCCGGATGAGCAGTTAGTGACATTTCGAGGCGATATGACACCACAGGAGCTCGAGGCTGCACGCAACGCCGCTGCATCGGGGACAAAACTTCTTGCCTTCTTCCGTCTCAACGACCCACGTTTCCCAGTAGATTATAATCCCACTGCAAGTCAATTCCGATACACACAGATACCTTGCCACTATACGTGGGACACTCGCCGCCATCGATGGAGACCTCGCACCAACCCTCCTGTGCAAAACGTCGTATCTCGCATTTTTGCTGCTCCTTTGACAAATATGCCTCTTTACGCTCTTCGTTTTCTCCTTCTCTGTGCCCCTGGACCAAGCAGCTTTGAGCAGCTGCGGACATATAATGGCACTGTACATGCTACTTTCCAAGAAGCTGTTCTTGCTTGCGGTCTTCTAGAATCCGTTAGGGAATGGGATAGCTGTCTAGTAGAAGCTTCTGCTACAGCTCCATCAGCAGCTGCGATCCGTGCACTCTTCGTATATATCCTTACAAGTTGTTCTCCTGCCGATCCACTTTCCTTATGGAATACTCACCGTGAGAGAATGGTTGACAATTACTTTTTCGAGTTTCGCAGAATGCATTCTTTAGCTAACGAGGTCGAACTTCTGCCTGATCAGTATGAACAGATATATCAGCGCACCCTTGGCGATATTGAACTACGACTGCAAGTAACAGGCCACCATCTCGCGGAATTTCCTTATATGCCACAAAGCTTTGTCATCGAGTTGGATCGTCTGTCACCCTTAGAAGCGCTAGAAATAGTCGAACGCCGTGAGTACAGCACAGAAGAGCAGCGCCGATTGCTACAATCTTTGGTCCCTACTTTAAAACGAAGGTCAACGCCACGCCTACGATACCATCTCTGCTGCCATAGACACGCCTAACAACGACTGTCGATCACGAGTTTTCAAGTCGCAGCTTTTCAAGACCCTTTTGAGTCACGTGCGCTCTCAAGACCAGATTGCATTACCAGTCGCCTCATTTGGCATTGCTGCAATTTTGCTTCCAGGAGGCCGAACTGCTCACAGTCGCTTCAAAATTCCTTTGAATGCTGATGAAACAACCAGCTGCAATTTGCGTCTTGGTGGACCGCACGCCCATCTCATCGAGAGAGCTTCTCTCATTATTTGGGATGAGGCTGTTATGTGCAGCAAACATAATTTTGAGGCAGTCGATAGATCCCTCAAAGATATCATAGGTGCCGTCGATTCACGTTTACAGCATGTCCCTTTCGGTGGAAAAGTTGTCGTTCTTGGTGGTGACTTTCGTCAAGTGCTTCCTGTCGTGAAAAAAGGAACCCGATCAGAAATTGTTGCAGAATGCGTGAGCTCAGCTTCTTTTTGGTCTGATGTCGAAGTGCTGCATTTGACAGAAAACATGCGCGTGCGAAATTACGATTCAGGTGCTGCAACGTTTGCTGATACCCTTCTGGCAATTGGCGATGGACGATCGCCTTATGCCAGCAATTTTGAAATTCCGCGGAAATGGTGCATTGACACAAGCAATACCATGGCATTGATTGATACTATTTACCCTACTATCTGAAATCCCGATCCACAACCGCACGAATTCGCCAGCTGAGCCATTTTGGCTGCAAAAAACGTAAATGTCGATGCCATCAATGACGCTGCCTTCTCTGTTTTTCCTGGTGGCGCACGCGAATACAGCTCCAATGATCGAATCATTGACGCTGATGATCCAGAAGCAGCAGCAGCAAATTATCCCATCGAATTTTTACAAAGTTTGGCAGCCAGTGGAGTTCCTCCTCACCTGCTGCAACTCAAGGTTGGCATGCCAGTGGTGTTATTACGCAATCTCAATCCAGATGCAGGATTATGCAACGGTACCAAGCTGTTCGTAACGCGACTTTTGGATTGGTGTATTGCAGTAAAAAGGATCGACGAAGGCCATGAAAGGGAGGAGCATTATCTCCCGCGGATCAATATGTGCATAACTGAGGGCGACTACCCATTCATACTCTGTCGAAGACAATTTCCCGTTCGTCCAGCTTTTGCCATGACTATCCACAAGGCGCAGGGGCAAACACTCACTTATGTGGGTGTCTTTCTTCAAGAAAGTGTCTTTGCTCATGGTCAGTTGTATGTTGCTCTTTCGCGCGCAACCAATCCAAATACTCTACGCATTGCAGTCGATATGTCAGCATCAGCAAACAGCATTAATCCATCTACAGAAATTACCGTTTACACTGAAGTACTACTACATCCACCAGGTCCACAAACAACAACAACAGAACCCACCCAATCAGCCACAGCTGCTGCCACAACCATCACATCACCAACTACTATTACTACATCCACTACTCCTCCTGCTTAAATTCGTTTTTCCTTTCCAATATTTTTACCTTTTTCTCTATCTCTTGCCATAGATTTCCTTTTTACATAACATACAACACAAAATTTCTTTTCACGTTTCTTACTCTGCCATGATGCCATACGAGATAAGTATTCACGTGACGCAACCTTCTTTTTTCATTTTCCTAAGTCACTAACGAGTAACTCGCTCACGCACCTTAATGCCTTTACCGAAACACACCATCTCTCATCTTTACCTCCAGACACTTAAAAAATGCATGCCTATTTCTCCATATTGGCGACGCTATATGCTGGATCGGATTCCCACAATATGGCATAACATTGACCTGTGCACGCCATATCATGTAATATGTTACATTCTGTTCCAGCACGAAGTAAAAACGTTACGAATAAGAAGCGATGGTGGACGTTTAAGGTACGCGAAGAATAGGAAAAATTGTTGTTTTAGGTGTGTTATAGGTTGAAAAAAATCGAATTTGGAGAAACGCATACCCAGGTGCCATGCCATTCCAATGACAAGAAGCCTTGGTAGACCGTTGGGCGCATAATTCCTGGACTGCAGATGTCCCATTTTTCTCAAAAAATACACTTTAAATTGATAGATTGTATATTAGGGTTTAGTGTTAACAGTGAGCGCAGCGAACGTGTTTAGGGCTTAGAGGTAGGCGAAGCAGTAAGTAAGCTCGCGAAGCGAGCTTTGGTTAGGGTTTAGAAGGGGGTGTGGGGGGGAACCCCCCACCTTGGGGGTCTGGGGGGAACCACCAGGAAACATCCAATCCGTTGAATGAACCGGAGCGCAGCGAAGGGCTCATTCAGCCGAGCGAAGCGAGGCAGGTGGATGTTGATGTAATATTTAATTTGCTTCACTCCTGAAAATTATGCACAGACCGACGAGACGTATGCAGCAGCGAAATGCTCAATCCGACGGTGTTCTACATTAAGCCAGCGGCTGGAGTATATATATTCTGCTCTTTCATAATACTTATTGTTATTATGCAATTCTCCTCCTGCTTGTAGCTATACAATGCGAGAATCGAGCTATTATGTTACTACTGTGACTGTCCAACCACGTCAAGTTAGCTAGATGAACCGCTAGTTAACTTATAATCGTCATGCGTACAAAAATGGATGTGGGAGTGTTGTTGCAGTACTAAAACCTTACTCATTATTTTCTATTTCTGTTTGAGGGGAAAATGGTGGGGGAATTTGCACATATACTATGTAATCTGGAGATAATATGGGACGCTTCTTAAGTATCTTTAATTATTTGTATTCACTATCGCCGTAAATGGTCAATAAAAGGTGCGTTTGAACGCCAACGTGTATACGTCGAACCACGCAGCCACCACCCTCATGCATTTGTTAGCCTAACAGCTGGAATAAGGCAAAAGTCAATCAGCACCATCCCGTTTTGTCCCTTTCTGCTGCTACCTCTAAAAAAAATCAAATTTCAGTTGAGGCAAAGGAGGTTATATGCCTTATGCATAAACCAGGATCTCGATACTTATTCTGAGCTTTTTCCACCATCCGTAATTTCATCGTTAAAAAAGCAATCCTTGAAAGAGACTATTTAAGCAAAAGGTATTCTTATGGTTTCAATTGGCTCTACTTTATTCTACAAGACACGCTTTATTTACAAACTCACTTTGTCAGAAATCAGACCTTTTTTATAAACATGTAACTATAATCAAACTATTATCTGGTCTTCTCTTTCTTGAGTACCCGTGCTGAGGGGGCATCCTTTCTATCACAGCTACATACTGCTACCATGCCACCATACGACCCATCAAAGCATAGCAACACTCGCGCTACCATTGGCACATCATCTTTTTCACTCCCTGCGATTACAAAAACAGATGAACCCGGAAAGGAATATACTCAAGGTAATAAAGCACAAGCGCCACACGCATTTAAGATCAAAGCAAACGACAGCGCTGAGGATCTAGTTTTATTGGGCGAAGACGACACAAAGGCAATTGAAGAAACTTTCGGTGAAAGAGGAACCACTATGGTGGGTGAGCATCATCTCGCAAAAAGTAATGATGCCGATAGCGGATACCGATGGATAGTCATCTTTGGCGCATCTCTTTCGGCAATTACTGCATTCAGCACTATGCAAAGTTGGTAAATGAATAGCTCTTTACTGCATCTATGTCGAAACCTCCTTCTCGCCCTTTCCCTCTTTAGAAGAAAACAGAATTTACTGATATTCGAGCTTTTACACTTATCTAGGGGTAAGTGTTATGGCTTGCACAGCAATTGACACAATCACGATAATGAGGTATCAAACAACAACTGATTTTATCGCTACATTACTATATTTCATTTTCATTGCTTTATGTCATAAACAGGTGTCATGCAGGATTACCTGGTGCTGCACATGTTTAACAATACAAAACGGGCGCAAACACTCGTCAGCTTCGTAGGCACTATCTCCTATTTCGTATCAGAAATCATGACCCCCCTGGTGCAAATTATTCTTGAACGACTTGGTGTACGGATATCGCTATTGATAGGCACCCTCATGGTCAGTGGCGGCTTAATAGCCTCCGGATTTGCCACCACGGTATGGAGAACAGAAAAACTACTGGTGCTTTAAGGCTGATCATTCACTTGCAGTTGTTAATGTGTACAGTATTGTTGTATATTATAGGTGTGGCACCTGTATCTTTCGCAGGGCGTTTGCTACGGGGCCGGCATATCTACAATTTACTTGGTACGCGTGATGTAACAGTACTTTGAATTCCTGCGTTGTTGCTGCTCTTATTATGTGTGGCTACTGCTATGCGCTGCTTTTAACATCATCTTGCGTTTATATTTTAGGCCATTACGACAGTCATACCGCAATGGTTCGTACGAAGACGAAGTACAGCCATGGGTATTGCCAACAGTGGCATAGGATTAGCCGGCTTAATTATACCTTATGCCATGCATACATCTAACACTGCGCTTGGTGCTTCTTGGTATGTCTTTCTCAAGCGATTGAGTAAATGCGTATAGAGCACTATTTCATTAGCCGAATACGGTATTCACGCAAACACTTTTCGTTTTTCTCCATCTCGCTGTAAATAGGACGTTTCGCATACTGGGTTTTGTATACCTTGGAGCTAACCTGCTCGCATGTACACTTGTCAAAGAGAAAGAAAATAAGAAGAAGCCTTTCGATGAAGTGACTCCATCACATAAAGAAGATATTGTTCCTGGCAATAATATGGCAGAAGATGCTGAAAAACTGAACAACACGCTTTCAAGAGCTACAGTGTCAGAACTTTTTACGGATGTCAACTTTTTAACTTATACTGCATCAGCTTTTCTGCAAGTTTTGTCTAGAAATGTACCATTCTTTTTCCTTCCATGTAAGAATGGATTGTTAAGCAAGTGATGCTCATAGTAGCAACCTATGGAAAACATGACATAAACTAACTCTACATCACGTATATAGCTTACGCTACATTTATCGGACTAAGTACCACTCAAGGAACAAGTTTAATATCAATAGCATGTGCTGCAAGTTTTGTAGGCAGAATTTTGGTGGGGTAAGTTATGATGTAAAAGGTGCTTTCCAGAGGCGATGTTGCAAAAATAACTCATAATACGAGCTCATATAAAAGGATGCTTGCGGATCGATTTGGAAATTTAAAAGTGGCTGCACTGTTTGGTACAATTACCGGCCTCTCTTCACTGCTGCTTTGGATATTCGCCTACACTTATCCAGCACTAATAGCATTGGCAGTGATTATTGGGTTTTCCTTTGACACGTATTACATATTAAGTAAGAAGATCAATATAGTTGCTGTCATCCTCAAGCTCAGCTCTAAACAAGTTTTAATTTTTATAATCCTACAACTGCCAGTGCCTCCAACCTTACTGGAAATCCTTGGTCCACAGAAATTCACCACTGGGTTATCAATGCTGATGGTATTGACAAGTCCGGCCATCCTCGGACCATCGATGATTTCTGCTGTAGATGATGCATTAAATTGCGAGCAATTTCTTCCGCATAAAGTGTTTAGTGGTGTTCTACCAATACTAAGTTCAATAATCATGTTGGTTCTTGATCGCCGAATAAAAAAGATGCAATAATCAGATAATTGCACTTGTAAGAGACACATATACGGGTTTTACTTGAAGCGCGCAATAAAAGACTGGGACACATAAGGTGTCGGATGACGATGCAGAGAAAATTATCGGCTCGCTCTTAATGAACGTGTTTATCTTCTTTCTCAAGAACAGGCGAGTAGCATGGTAAGTAAAAGTGTAGTAAGTGTGAATTAAACGTTTGGGTATTATAGAAATAAATCCAATCTTACTACTCAACTCAATAACCATGAGCTGCTCATGATCCAAGTTCATGATGTTATGCACAAGCGAATCGGATCGAATACCGGATATCTTTTAAAGATATTTACATTGTGGTTAACGTCGCTACAGTATCATATGAAGCAAATTGTCGGGTGCCCTTTTTTCGCATGTGCATAGGGCTTGCGTACAAATTATGCTACGACGACTGATACCCAAGACAAGAAAAATAAGATAAATTATGGATTGTGCACTGCAGTGCAACTGTATGGTTGTATTTTAATAAATTGACTAGAGTAAAAAACCGGCCAAAAGACATGTTGCAGTCGCCGTGGAATTACTTAACCTGGGATCAATTTATAATTGCTGTGCGTAAGCCTAGTTTTACAGAGTGTGGGACTTAAATCACGTCACTGACTATATATAGTGGAACAGTGCTCAAACTAAAGGGACATTCAAATTTGTGAGTCACTTAACTGAACATTAGCAACACATATCCGAAAAAAAAGGAAATAATGGCCGCTATGCACTATCCGAAACATGCTGTAAACACCTAAGCTGTAGTAGATGGTGACAACAGTTCATATGTACGGTGTATACAGTGCTTCCAACTGGCAATGTCGTACACGGTCAAAAATGATGTCGCCAAACAATTAAAATCGATGTCGTTGTGTGATCAACATCAATTTCGCACTTTTAGGAACCAAGTCGTATTTTTAGAAACCATGTCGCTCACATTTGAAAATAAAAGTCGTGTCACGATGATTTCTTGGCACACTCGAAAGATATAAAAGTAGGCCATTTCATCAACTGGATCTGTTTTTTTTTCTTTTTCTTCAATTGTTTAAGATTGAAATGAGTGCAATATTTTTATTTGAAGATGGACATGGAAATGTCGTTGATGAGAATGGAGGTCCTGAACCAATGGAGTATATCGTTGATCAGGATGAATTTGTCGTTGAGGCGATTGCGACTCATAGCGAGTACTTGAAAAATATCCCCTCTTGTGAATTTTCATCGGTTTGTCCAATGCTGACAGAAAAGCCAAAAGATGAAGACATTTGTATGAAGGATGCCAACGTAAAACGAGATTACGTGCGCTATACCGTTCAAGATAATGTTCGATTTTTTGATCTGAAGATTGAGAAGTGTATGAGCGCATCAGCTGCAGCAAAACAGTTGGGCATTCACCTTCGAACAGCTCAGAGATGGGTAAGGCAGTACAGCTTATGTCTTGATGGCATCTTTGATAATTGTAAGCAGGTTGGTCGTAAGTGTATCTTGTCCAAAGAGCATAAAACGGTAATAATCAACTTTATTGATGCTAATCCCTCTGCTTCTATTGTTGAAGTGACTGAGCATTTGTTGAATCAATTCGATGATCTGAAAGTTTCACGTAGCACTGTTTACAATTTCATGAAAAGCGAATGCAACCCTTCGTTGAAGAAGGCTGATTTTGTTTCTGTCGAAAGGAACAGTCCAGCAAAGATTGAGGAGCGTCACAATTGGGTTTGTAAATGGGAAAATACGGACATGAACTTCCTAACGAACTGCGTGTTTCTTGACGAATCTGCTTTCGATATAAATATGAAACGCTCAAGAGCTTGGTCCAGGAAAGGTACGCGTGCTATTGTAACTCGGCCAACAACGAGAGCAAACACGACGTCTATATTGGGCACCATCTCCGCTGCAGGTTTGATTGCAGTCGGCGTAAAAAAACCAAGACCTGCGAAGAAAAGAAAGGCTGAAGGATACATAAGTTCAGGAACTGTTACTGGTCACTATATCAGTTTCTTAAAAACTACACTCGATGAAATGGACAAACATCCACATATGAAAGGCCACTATATTGTTATGGATAATGAACCCATTCACACACATGAAAACATAAAGAAGTATATTGAGTATCGAGGATATAAATGTGTGTATCTTCCTACTTACTCTCCAGAGCTTAATCCAATTGAACAATTCTGGGCAGTGGCAAAAAGTAAGGTTAAGCGTCATAGGTTTTTGCAGGAATACACTTTGTCCAATAGGATTACAGAAGCCTGTAACAGTGTGAAGCAAAGTCATTTCAAAGGTTTCGTCTCGCATTCTTACCAGTGTTGGGACAAATGTCGAAACAGACAATCTATGTAATGACCCAAACGAATGTGCGATTAGGGGAAAACGGTAAGTGCAATCAGGAAAAAAAAGGCTATCCAAACTGCGAGCCAAATAAAAAAAGGCTATCCAAACTGCGAGCCAAAAAAAAAAGGCTATCCAAACTGCCAGCCAAGAAAAAAAAGGCTATCCAAACTGAAAAAAAAGGCTATCCAAACTGCCAGCCAAGAAAAAAAAGGCTATCCAAACTGAAAAAAAAGGCTATCCAAACTGCCAGCCAAAAAAAAAAGGCTATCCAAACTGCGAGCCAAAAAAAAAAGGCTATCCAAACTGCCAGCCAAAAAAAAAAAGGCTATCCAAACTGCCAGCCAAAAAAAAAAGGCTATCCAAACTGCCAGCCAAGACAAAAAAGGCTATCCAAACTGCCAGCCAAAAAAAAAAGGCTATCCAAACTGCCAGCCAAAAAAAAAAGGCTATCCAAACTGCGAGCCAAATAAAAAAAGGCTATCCAAACTGCCAGCCAAGACAAAAAAGGCTATCCAAACTGCCAGCCAAAAAAAAAAGGCTATCCAAACTGCGAGCCAAATAAAAAAAGGCTATCCAAACTGAAAAAAAAGGCTATCCAAACTGCGAGCCAAAAAAAAAAAAGGCTATCCAAACTGAAAAAAAAGGCTATCCAAACTGCCAGCCAAAAAAAAAAGGCTATCCAAACTGCCAGCCAAGACAAAAAAGGCTATCCAAACTGCCAGCCAAAAAAAAAAAAGGCTATCCAAACTGCGAGCCAAAAAAAAAAAGGCTATCCAAACTGCCAGCCAAAAAAAAAAGGCTATCCAAACTGCCAGCCAAATAAAAAAGGCTATCCAAACTACCAGCCAAAAAAAAAAGGCTATCCAAACTGCGAGCCAAATAAAAAAAGGCTATCCAAACTGCCAGCCAAATAAAAAAGGCTATCCAAACTGCCAGCCAAATAAAAAAGGCTATCCAAACTGCGAGCCAAAAAAAAAAAAGGCTATCCAAACTGAAAAAAAAGGCTATCCAAACTGCCAGCCAAGAAAAAAAAGGCTATCCAAACTGAAAAAAAAGGCTATCCAAACCGAAAATTTCAAACTCCAATTTCAGAGTCATGGCGTGTGTGCGTCAATGCTGTGAGCAGCGCCTTTTATTCACAAACCGCAAAAAAAAAGAAGTACTGGTCATTAACAATCAATACACAATCACTAAGAAAAGGCATACACGGTCATTGAAGATAAGTGCATGCAGCCAAGTTAGAAATGCCATTGAATAGAATGGAGAACAATTTGACAGCAGACACTTGAAAAAAAAACAAAGACGAAGGGAAAAGACAACAACAAAGTACTGGCGGGACAAAGCACGGATCCTTTTACAAAGACACTGACGATTCTACTGCAAAGATCTCAACACAAGATGCAGTAATGGAATGGCCATTTGAAGCAGGGGACGGTCCAAGGGTTAAAGAGAAGAAAAGGGGGACAAAAAGTTCAAAGCTATACACTATGAAGGAGCTTTGCTTAACCGCCGGTCTCTTGAGATCTCGCTCTTAGGCATCGTGCATTTTGACGTAGGACATTTTCATTTCGACACATGGTTACAATTCACGATGGAATGAACGATCATTGAACGATGACGGCCAGCTAATATTGTATCTGTGGTTCTTAACGGGTATGCTTTTTTTTTGCTATAGTGCATTCGTGCTATATTCTCAACGATGTGCTAATATATATATAGGCAGGATCAGTCAAAGGTATTATGTTGTTGGCTCTTTCAGCCATGCGTTGTAAAGGAGTTCGTGTTTAAGAAAAGAGGGACGTTTTAGGTAAAGCATAGAAAACATGATATGTAAGCAAGCGTCGAATATGATTGGCAATATACTAATTCTCTCTATTCCCTCTTAAAACCAAAGATACACGTACCTGTCAATACACCATAGGGACCAAAAGATGTGAGTACTATATATATGCTTATGGTATAATATTAGAAGTGTAGGTAAAACCCTACCAAAGATATGGTTGTAATGTGCCGTAAATGAATAAAGCTTTCATAGTAAGATGTCTCTTCAATACTACATGGATCCTTCATCTCTAAAATACAGAATAATACATATATGGACGGGAATTGTGCATCTCTTATTAATGCAACATCTGATGGTAAATGTCAATATGAGACAAAACCTTTGTGCGTTCTGTTAAAGTATGATCATAAATAATTGAGAATCGCGGACCTAGCATAGTCTGTAGTAGAAAGATCAAAAAAATAAACAAGCGCCCTCTTCAATACACATACTTTTCTACTACTGCTATTAAAAACACGCAATGTCCAACAACAACAGCAACACGCCTATTATTCTCGACCTCGAAAACGAGAGTGTTCCAGAGTGGCTACCGATTGCAACCTACAGAGCGACGATCGAGCGCGCACCTCAAGTGTCTGGTCATTGCTGGGTGAAAAAAGATCACCGAAATGGCAAAGGAATTCCGATCTGTGAAAGCAATGGCAATGAGATCCAACAAGCGAATGACGCGACGATTTCGGGAGAAGTTGTTGAGGAAAACGAAGTAGAAGAAAGTAGAGGCACAATAAATCAACAATGAATACAAATAAGGAAAAATTAATTATGTACCTGCATTAATCTATCTCACAATATAACATCACTTATAGACATC